TTTTCTCCAATTGCAGTTGAGTTTGGGTGTGTTTTGCTTCCCTGTCTTCTAATTTGCTAATTTGGTCCACCCCTTCTCCTAGTCTACTGTTGAAACTTTCCATGGTGTTTTTTATTGCAGCTATATCACTCTTTATTTCTTCTTGGTTCTTATATAAGTTGTTAATTTTTTCATCCCTCTGGTTTATGAACTGTATGACCCTTATTCTGAATTATTTTTCTGTCAAATTGCATGCCTCTGTTTCACTTAGCTGCTTTTCTGGCGATTTCTCCTTTTCTTTCCTTTGTGGGTTTCTTTGTCTTCCCACTTTTGCTCTCACTGAAGGATCTAGATGTCGAATAGAGCAGGGGCTGCTCCTTGGGCGGCAGTGGCTCCTCAGGCGGCGGCTATTCCTCAGGCAGTTGCAGCAGAGGTTGCTCCTCAGTTGGCGGTGGCTCCTATGGTGGGCTCTGTTCACAGCAGTGGTGGCTCCTCTGGCTGGCAGGGGCAGGCTGTCTGTGCAGCTGCTGCTCCTTGGAAGGGGATGGGCTGCTCGCACGACTGGTGCTCCTTGGATGGGGGCAGGTTGCTCGCAGGGCTGCTGCTCTTCATATGGGGACGGGCTGCTCATGTGGCTGCTGCTCCTCGGACAGGGTGGGCTGCTCACGGAGCTGCTGCTCCTTGGATGGGGGCAGGCTGCTCGCTGGGGCTGCCACTCCTCGGATGGGGGCAGGTTGCTCGCAGGGCTACTGCTCTTCATACGGGGACGGGCTGCTCATGCGGCTGCTGCTCCTCAGACTGGGGTGGGCTGCTCACGAGGCTGCTGCTCCTCAGACAGGGGCAGGTTGCTTGCAGGACTGCTGCTTCTCAGACAGTGGTGGGCTGTGTGTGAGGCTGCTGCTCCTCGGACGGGGGGCGGGCTGCTTGCACAGCTGTTGCTCCTCAGATGGGGGCGGGCAGCTCTCGCAGCTGCTGCTGCTCTGATGGGGGCAGGCCGCGTGAGGCTGCCACTCCTCGGACTGGGGCAGGCTGCTCACATGGCTGCTGCTTGCGTGGTCGCGGTGCCCTGGGCGTTTTCCAGGCATCCTCTACCCTTCCCAGCTGTGAATTGTCTCACCAGCTGTGTCTACTTTGCCAATGTCATTCAATTTAGTTGCTCATTCTATCTGCTATGGGACAAGACTGGGGACCACATGTTCCTCTTATTCCAGTATTAATGGAATCAGAAAACATGGCAATGAAGTCATCACTCCAATTCTCTTTTAATAGCTGGCACTAGAATTCTTGCACAAGATCTATCCTTATTGGGAAAAGACCTAGGTTGGACCACTCGGGAAAGGGGAATACCTGTGGGGTCATGGATGTTGGCTGGCACCATGGATTCTGCAGAATCACCCAGAACAGGATGAGTTGCCTGTGACACTCAATGTGTCAGGCATTGTGCTAGGCTGTGGAACACCAAGGTGAGCAAAGCCAGAGTTCTTGCTCTCCTGGTACTTGCACACCCAGCACACGGCAGTGGCAGCGGCCAACCATGGGCTCTGCATCTCTCTCGGGGAAACCAGAGGTTTCCTTCCTACGCCTCCCCAGTAGAGAGGAGACCTGGGAGAGGAGGGACGGGCACAGACGCCATGGCCAGATAGGATGCTCGTTCTCCAGAGAGTCAGCGCACAGCGGTGGCGGCAGCGGTGAAACTTTTACTTTTTGATACTCATATTTTGTCTCTGTCTTGTCAACTGCTGCTGCTGCAATTTTTGATATCTCAGGCCAACAATTATCATTTTCATGTAAAAACTAAAAAGTTTGTGATATATATACATATAATTCTACCTCCACCAGTATTTTCATAAGAAATTATAAGTGTTCAATATAGACAGACAGATAGTTAATAGAAAACTTTACCTTTAAGATAGAAAGACACTGGCTCCAAAGTCTGTCGTATGCCCATTTGGGGGTCTTTTCTCTTCTGAAGACAGAAGGCCAATTTTGTGAGTCAGAAAGTGCAATTTCATGAGATCTGCCAGACTAGAGGTGTTTAATGTTTTGGGGGAACAGTGTCTTTAGACTTTGGATACATTAAGAGTAAATATTATCTTCCCCCTAAGAAGTTTAAGACATTTTAAAATAGAGCCTGTTTTGGACTTATAAATTCCATGAAGGCTACCTCCTATATTCAGATTTCTTTCTTACTGGCATTTTTTCTTAATTTGGTTTTCTTATTGGCATTTTTTCTTAATTTAGCATACATTTTATTAAATGCTTTTATTTATCTCAACCTAAAAGAATATTGAACTGAGATCTCACTCTGTGAATTCTGGTGTATATTTTTTAATTTGTTGCCTCAAGTCATACCAGTTGCTTGTTTTTAGTTGCTTCTATCCTTGTTAAGTCTAACACTACTGTCTGGAGATCCGTCTTCATTGTGCCAGGTACTCGGATTTGTGTTATGTTTTGGGGAATCCAGGAAAGGCTCCTCTGGATTCTCACAGTTCAGTTGGGTAGGTGAGATTAATACACAGAAAATACTGAGGACATAGCTTAGACTTTTTCTATATTTTTTAGTCTAATTAAGAAAAGTAAGAACAAAATTTTTGGAAAATGAGATAGACATCTTCTGTAAAGTGATCTAAAGGTCTCTAGTGAATGTAAAGTTTTAAATACTAGCCCTTGAAATTACCAGCAAACTCAAATAATTTACACACTTCTCTTTGAAATTGCTTACTGTGTTAAAAAAATATATTAGTGTTTAGTGACTATATATTTTCTAATGAAAAATATTAAGGATTTTTATGCCTCAAAAAATGTAGCCCATGGCCAGTATGACTCAGCTGGTTGGAGCTTCGTCCTGTACACCAAGAGGTGTCAGGTTTGATTTCTGTTCAGGGCACAAACCCAGGTTCCAGGTTCAATTCCCAGTTGGGGAGCATGCAAGAGGCAGCTGATCAATGTTTCTTTCTCACATAGATGTTTCTCTCTCCCTTCTTCTCTCTGAAATAAATTTTACAAATATATAGTTGAAAACAGATGCATGTGAGGTTACTTATACCTAATAAATTTAGGTGGAAAGTTATTTTAACTTAGAAAAAAACTTAACTTGTTCTGAGTTTAGTATACAATGAGGTCTTCAGTGTTCTTCCCAGGTGTTTGAAAATTTCCTTATTTTGTTTTTTTGTCAGATGTTCTGTTTTTTTAAAAAATCATTTTTCCTCAGGCACACTGGAATAATTAAGAGAAAAAATACTTTACCTTTTCTCTTAAGGAATATGAGGAAACAGTTCTAATAACCTTGTACATTAGCCTATATATTGAGTTCTATAGCAGGAACAGCAACCCATTAAACAGTAACATTTCTGAAATAAAAAATCACAAGTGGGTAATTTTCTTTTTGTCCTGTAGTTTTTCTCAAGAGAAACTATAGCTGCAGAAAGGAGAGCATGAAGTATTTGCTAGATGCAGGAAAATGTAGGTCACAAATGAGTAATAAGTCTGGTTAAGAAAAGCAATAAAAAGCATGACTAATGTTTCCAAAGCTTTTGTCATCTCAGTAAAGACACAGTTTGTGAAACAGTCCTGCAGAGAGTGTCTTGGACTTGTTTTTTAGAGGATTATTTTTCACAAATAGCGTATATGCTACAAACTTTCATTGCCAATAGTTTTTAATTCATGTATATGCATTACAGATTAAACTGCTAAGTTTATTGTTTTTAAATTGTGAAGGCTTTAGAGAGGAAAAAAATTCATGAAGGAGTTTAGGCAATTTCCATAGAAACAGAAGCTAAATCCTAAGTAATATATTTTTCTAATAACTCTGTAGGGTAGATAAGCTGTGCCAGATTTCAAGAGAACACCTGCCTTCCTGTTTTAATCCATGAATAATTATTAACAGTCCTTTTATACAAAACAATAGAGGCCCGGTGCACGGATTCGTGCACATTGAAAAGAAATTAATTAGAAGGTGGCCGGCGGGGCGGAACTGGGCAAGACAGGCCGGACACGTCCTGGAGCCAACCTCCCACAGGCGGTGCTGAGGCTCAAAGGGTGTCTGCGGAATGAGCAGGGTCCCTCTGGCAGGTGGGGTCCCTTGGCCTGGCCTGTGGGGATCGGGCAGAAAACCAGCTCTCTGACATCCCCCAAGGGGCCCCAGATTGCAAGAGGGCGGTTCTTGGGTGACGCTACCCGGAATCGGGCTCCCTCTGCAGCTTGGCAGTTCCTGCATTAAGCGTCTGCCCCCTGGTGGTCAGTGTGCATCATAGCTACTGGTCAGAGCATCTGCCCCTTGGTGGTCATTGTGTGTCATAACTACCAGCCAGTCACTTAGGCTTTTAAATATATAGATAGATAGGAGAGAGAAAGGGAAGAATGTTGATATTTTCTAAGAATCCATCTGTTGAGAAATATATAGGAAACAGAAAAATAAAAACAACTCAAAATAGATTAGCTACATTATGATTGATTTTTTCTCTAAGAATTTGAATATGTTAAAAAATTTTCTAACTTAAAACTGAAAGCAATTTTTTAATCTCATAAATTATCTTATATTGAATTCAGAGGGAAGCCTAGTTTTTAATTGTGATTTAATTGAAAAATGCCTATATGTTAAATTAACTTTTTTGTAATTGCAAAGCTTAAAAACAAGATGTTCTATTTGGGACTGTTTGTTTTTTTAACATGTTTGTTGTTGTTTTTTATTTCAGAGAGAGGAAGGGAGAGGAAGAGAGAGATAGAAACATCAATTGTGAGAGAATCATCGATCAGCTGCCTCCTGCACACCCCCTACTGGGAATCGAGCCTGCAACCCAAGCATGTTCCCTGACCGGGAATTGAACCAGTGACCTCCTGGTTCACAGGTTGATGCTCAACCACGGAGCCACACCGGCTGGGAGGGACAGTTCCTAAATAATACAAAGGAGAAAGATACTTATTCAATTCTTTAAGTAATTATTAAACACTTTTATATGGCCATGATTTGAAAGTAATTATCAGTTAATTGTTTGTGTTACTCTTCTTTCTCCCCCACACAGATGGAATTAGACACAGCATTGAGTGACTTGGAGGCTGCAGATTTTGCAGAACTGGTAAGAGAAGCAGTGAGTTTCAGGAAAGACAGTGTTGATTTCTCATTTTGTAAATCAGTCATTCTAAAAATATTGCAAGTGAACATGCAGTCTTGAAATACATAACATTAGGTCTCTATTTTGACAAGGGCAAAGTCTGTTTTGCTTACCTTAAGATTTTCTACTCAGTTGAACATATTTGTGCCTGGCCAGTTGAACATCGACCTATGAACCAGTCTGATTCCTGGTCAGGGCACATGCCCAGGTTTCAGGCTCGATCCCCAGTGTGGGGCGTGCAGGAGGCAGCTGATCAATGATTCTCTCTCATCATTGATGTTTCTCTCTCTCTCTCTCTCTCTCTCTCTCTCTCTCTCTCTCTCACTTCCTCTCTGAAATCAATAAAAATATTTTATAAAAAAAATATTTGTTACATAACATATATGTAAAGATTAATTACATCAGTATCATTAAGAACTGGGTTTTGTGAGACAGGATATACATGTAATGTTGATTAAATTATGTAAAAATCTGTAGATCTGGATTTAAATTGAAAGTATAAGTATGGTTTTTAATCTTAAAAAAAAAAAATGGTGTTTCCTAGTTCTGTTAAGGGAAAAGGCCTAGAAATCGTGACCATCCCCAGTAATAAGGAAGACCACTTGCACCCAGGCCATGGTGCATAAGTAATATTTCTTGCTACAAAGAACCATGACTCCTCAGGGAAATGACTGGATCCAGATTAGGGCCTGAAAATAAACACGTGTATCATCAGGAGTGCCATTTTAACAAAAACTAGATCATAGTGATATTTTGTTCTGCAGCTTGCATTCTTTGCAAAACAGTATATTCTAAAACATTTTGTGACTACTCAGGTATGATACTGTGTTATATATCTAATTTTGTTAACCATTCTTTTTTGCTAAAAAATCACTTCCAATTTTTGCATATAACAAATAATTCTATTAAAAAGTGTATGTTTTTTATTTTTTTTTACATACCACACAGTGGCCCTCAAATAGGTTATACCAATTTGTATTATCAAAAATAATATACGTTAATGTTAAATATCATAGATGATGTGTAGGTAGATGCTTTTTGTCTTGATACATTTATTTTAATCCCTCATGGTGTAAGAAATCTTATGTTTATTTTTAGATGTCTCTAATCAGTAGTTTCTTATAAGAAACAAAAATAAAACTGTTTTAAATCAAAATACTTACTTTGCGCACTACCTTTCACCCTAATATCCTAGTATATTGATTTCTAATAAAGGCTGTGGAAAATTCAGTTACTAAAGAATATAATTGCCATTTTAACTGTTGTTGTTTAACTAGGATTTTTTAATCCACTGTGGTTTTCTCCCCCACCCAGTCTGAGGATTACTATGACATGAGGCGGCTGTATACGATTTTAGGGTCTTCTTTGTTTTACAAGGTAAGTTGAAGCTTGAATCTTTATAAATGTTCAACTGCTATATGACCTAAATTTTCTCAAACTTTTGCAGACATGAAAAATGTATCTATCTCTTTTCCTCTGAATGTAGGTACCCTAAAATTAAGATCTTAAAACTTGTACCTAGACCAGGGGTGGGCAAACTTTTTGACTCGAGGGCCACAGTGGGTTCTTAAACTGGACTGGAGGGCCAGAACAAAAGCATGGATGGAGTGTTTGTGTGAACTAATATAAATTCAAAGTAAACATCATTACATAAAAGGGTACGGTCTTTTTTTTTTTTAGTTTTATTCATTTCAAACGGGCTGGATCCGGCCCGCGGGCCGTAGTTTGCCCACGGCTGACCTAGACAATAAATATTTCTGGTTTCATTGTGTTCTAAAGCATTTATAAATTTGTAAAGAAAAAACTATACTCAAAGAACCAAGTGTATAAGATATGGGAGAGTGGTTTCTGGTTTCCTTTTGCAGTAGTATGCTTGTTTCTTATCTTTAGACTCACTATGCATCTTTTTATTTTTTTATTTATTTTATTTTATTTTTTTTTTACTATGCATCTTTTTAATAAATCTTTTAACGTTAAGTAGTTAACTTCCACATAAAGAAAGTTAAATATCCAGAGGCATGGATACATGGAATAGACTAACAGCTGTCAGGGGGGACAGGGGCAGGAATGGATGAATAAAGGTAAAGGGATTAGCCAAAGAACATCTATATTATAAAAGGCCAATGATGGTAACGCCATAACGACCAAATGACCGGTCACCAGGAGGTGCATGGAGCACCTCTCGGGCCCTCCCCCCACCACCCCCTTAGGGCACCGGCACGTCGGCAGAGCGTCATGGGGCGCCTGTAGCATCCCTGGAACGTGGCGGGGTTCCAGCAGCATCCGCATAGCGCGTGAGGCGTCGCGGGGCGGCAGACATGGCCCTGATGGCAGGCTAGGCCTACGGGACCCTACACGCTCACGATTTAATCGTGCGCTGGGCCTCTAGTATATGCATAACCCATAGACACAGTGCAGTGATGGTCAGAGGAAAGGGAGGCTACATAGGGGTGGGTGGGGGGTCGAGTAGAAATGGGGACATCAGTAATATGTCAGCAATAAAAATAATGGGGTTTTTTTAAAGAAAGTTAGGTGTCAGTTGAATTTAAGTGTTTTCATTTTTCAACTCCTCATTCTCTGCTTTCCATCCTCAGAATTCAGTTCTATTCTACTTTTGCCATTCAGGCTTATACTACGCATAGATGATCTTGTTTTGTGCTACAATCTACCTGTTGTTGACTTAAGTTATCATAAATATTTGATCTCTAGTTGACCTCAGTGGGTGGAGGGAATTCTTTTTACTGTCTTAAAACTGGAATATTTTAAGCCAACTGAAGAAGTACCTATAAAACTCTTAGAAATATATTATGGGATTATTGCTTTATATCACTGGTTGATTTTTGTTCTTTGTGGTTAAATTCAAGGGTTATTTGATATGCAGTCATTTGCCTAAGGATGATCTTATTGATATTGCCGTATATTGTCGCCACTATGGCCTACTGCCTTTAGCAGCAAAACAAAGAATTGGTCAGTTGGTAATATGGAGAGAAGTGTTTCCTCGACATCACCTCCAACCTTCTACAGATTCAAACACTGAAGTCTTTCAGGAACCTGAAGGGAGATATTTTTTGCTAATTGTTGGCTGGGTGAGTTTGCCTTGGTTTCTTTCTTGTTTTTTTTGTTTGGTTTTGTTTTTGCCATTTATTATGTAAATAAATACACAAATATGATCATTTAAAATTATGAACATATCCAACATCAGTATTCAAGAAAATGTTACATGCCCCTTATTCCTTTTTTTTTTTTTAGCATCCATTTAATACCCATGGAGAAATATTAATGAATCCCAGGATAAGATTTTAGCAAGTTCTTAAGATCTTTTGTTCCCATTTTTTAAATATATTTTTTTATTGATTTCAGAGAGGAAGGGAGAGGGAGAGAGAGATAGAAACATCAATGATGAGAGAGAATCATTGATCGGCTGCCTTCTGTGCACCCCACACTGGGTACCACACGCCCCACACTGGAGATAGAGCCCACAACCCAGGCATGTGCCCTGACCCAGAATCGAACTGTGAACTTCTAGTTCATAGGTCGACGCTCAACCACCGAGCCATGCTGGCTGGGCTTGTTCCCACTTTTATAGTGGTTTTATCCTCTGATTTGTTTTGGGAAATAGAGGGAGACATAAAAAGAACATAGAATCAGAATAAATATGTGATTATAAATGAAAGGACTTCTAGTAATTGAGGCTCTTAGAAAACTACCTTAGGGAATTACATGTGCCTAAGTAGTGACTGATGGTGTATCAGGACAAGGCAATACAAGATTTGTTTTCAAGGGTGATCAAGAAGCACTGAGCATATCTAAGAAGGAAAGGGGAGGGAGGAGTTTTTAATAATCATCACGTGGTTATGCCATATGCCTATATGTCTTCAGTATTCATAAACTGATAGATGCATATTGCATATAAATATCTTCATGTAGCTAAATCTATACTAACAACTTTTTTCTTATAGAGGCATTATATGTTATGTGTACTATTAGAAGCTGGAGGCTGCTCATCCAAAGCTATTGGGAACCCTGGACCAGACTGTATATATGTGGATCAGGGCAAAACAACTCTTCAACAGCTGGAAGGAGTAGGTGGCCGCATAAATGAACGGCTGGCATCTTCTCCAAGCCCCTGCTTATCTTGTGCTGACTGGTTCCTTGCTGGATCACATGAAAAATTAGATTGTTTGACAACCTCTCCTATCCTCAGTAGGCTACAAGGTATTTCCAAAGCAGCAACCTCTCCAACCTGCAGAAGAACTCTTTTTGGTGACTATTCCTTAAAAACACGTAAGCCCAGTCCTTCCCGAAGCAGTGGAGGATCTGACAGTGGTTGTGAAGGTGGAGAAGGTGTTGGCCCGAGCCCCCACACTACACCAGATGCAGTACGGAGGCAAAAAGAATCCGATGGCTTGGAAGAAAGTGGGGCCTTGCTTAAGGTGTGTGTGTGCGTTCAAGTGTGTACATTCTGGGAGCTGAGCTGTCTTTCCAGTCCTTATTTTATAATTGGAATAGAATTTTTTAATATATTTTTATTGATTTCAGAGAAGAAGAGGAGAGACAGAAAGAGAGAGAGAGAGACATCAATGATGAGAGAGAATCATTGATCGGCTGCCTTCTGCATGCCCCACACTGGGGAGTGAGCCTGCAACCCAGGCATGTGCCCTGACCAGGAATCAAGCCATGCCGGCTGGGGTGGAAGAGTTTTTTGGGTTGTTGTTTTTTTTTTAATAGAATTTTTAATGGCAGATCATTCTTCATTTGAACTGGTGGTGGTTTTAGTCACTGTTGGGAAACCAATGATTTAGAACCCAAAAGAATAAGAAATAATAAGTAATATCCAGGACATCTGCTTCGACACTACTGACAAGAAGGGAAACTTTAACCCTGCTTTCCCTGTTCATCTCAGTCTTCTCTATTTACAATATTAATAGGAACGGCCTAGTTATGGGGAGTTTGGGGGCTCATCTGACTAAATAGCCAATAAAATGTTCAGCAAAAACAAAAAGAAAATCAGTAACTTAAAATATATGTGTGTGTCTTGTTCTATGTTTTTATAAATTTTTAAAAATCTGCACTTGTGAAGGTCTGGTCTCCATATCAAGAATTGAAAATGAGACTATTAAGCAAAGAGAATGTTCATTTTTCAGACTGCTTATTTATCATACTTTATGCATGTTTTTTTCCATGAAAATACCATACTATATCTAAATGATTGTCAAAATAATCACCCCGGGAGGCTTTCTACCTATTCTAAAGACGCTGCTTTTTTGAAACATTTTTAACCCTTTGCACTCCGAACCATTCTGGACATTGGCTACCAGCTACTCGACGCTACTTTGCGGCGGAAACGTGCATTTACAGACCCTCGTATTATTTAGTATAATTTTGGAACCAAGTAACGTATTATAATGATATTGGACTTATATGAATTGGGTGACATCGAGAAATGTATATTTGCAAAAAAAAATATTTTATTGTTTATAATTTTGTACAGTATGATAAGTTTTGTAACACTCCCCAATATGCATTGCAGGCTGATTAGTGCATGTTTGACAGTAATAAGTGGTTTGACACCTGCCACCAGGTGTTTTCCTGTTAGAACACACAATGCAGTCCCGTTTTCTTTGTCCCACATTGGGAATATGTAGTTTATTGTTTAATCCGACACAAAACCCGCTGACATTTCTTGTATATATCTTAGTAATTTTACGATATTTTGATTTAATTTCTTGTGCCATTTCAAGATAAAACTTCAGGGAAACATGCATGTCTCAAAAAGTTGCGTTGAAATAACTCAATTCCCCGTAATCACTAATAAACTGCAATGTCCCCTAAGAGGGGACATCCGAGTGATATGCTAGAATTCTGATGTCCCCTGAGAGGGGACAGCGGAGTGCAAAGGGTTAAAAGTTGTCATTTAAGTGGATGGAGGTGATGAAGCATGATGAAGAAGTCTGAGAAGGGGCAGGAATAAAATGAGAGTCTGCGTGTCATGGCAGAAATAGTCATGGATTTTATCTCCTAATTCCAAATAACAGAGCACTCTTGGAGCCCTAAATGGATATATTTAGGAAGTGTTCACATATGTACTGTACTTATTATCATAGTCAGTGAAATTGGTAGGAAATGAAGTTTAAGGATATTTGGAAAGAATTAGGAAGCCATGAACAACTCCTAAAAAAACCTGAATTAATCTCTAAGATTTAGCTATTGGACAACTGTTGATTGAACACCTACTGTCTGCCCAGGTCTATGCTACACAAAAGAGATAGATACAATGATGAATAACATATAGCCCCTGCCTTTGAGGAGTGCAGTTTGGTGAGGGAGACAAATACACATACATATAAATTATAACAAAACTTGGTAAAGGCTCCATAATGGCTGTGGTAGGAGGGTTTTGGGGAGAACTTTCATTTCCTTCTATGACACGGCTCTGGGGTCTCTGACAGCAAAGGATAAGCCAAGAGGCACAAGTTAGCACTGAAAGTATTTAAAGGTAACATTGCAAAATAGTTCTCTTAGAAGGATATTTAGTTTTTACATTACTTCTGCTATTTAATTCTATTCTTAGGCATAAACTAATCTACTGAACTGTATTTTTCAGGTCAGCAAAAAGAAGTCTACTCTTCCAAATCCATTTCATTTGGGAAACTTGAAAAAGGAACTTTCCGAGAAAGAATTGGAAGTATATAACACATTGAAGTAAGAAACTTCCTTACAATATTCTTTTTCACTTAAACTCTTGCTTTAAGGAAATTTTACAATGAGAATGTACAAGTCCATAACATGTAGAGATTTTGTGCAACAATTGTAATTATATCTTAAATACCAAAGGTATGCTATTTCTCTAATGTTCTTCATTACACAATAGGAAACATACTCATATTATCCTATATAATAAAAGCCTAATATGCTAAGTGTCTGGTTGTCCGTTCAACCAATCAAAGCATAATATGCTAATGATATGCTAAGGCCACTCAACCGCCCACTATGACATGCATTGACCACCAGGGAGCAGACAGCCGACCGGTAGACCAGTTGCTATGACATGCACTGACCACCAGGGGGCAGATGCTCCGATCGATAGGTTAGATTGCTGCTGGGGTCTGGCCAATCAAGACTGAGCGAGGTGGGCCAGACACGCCCTGGAGCCCTCCCTCAGCCCCTACCCCTGGCCAGCCCCACCCACGATCAGCCCCCAACACCCCAATCAGGGGTGGGGCCGGCCAGCCAACTGCCCATGGTCCCTCCCCCCAGCCAGCCCCGCCCTCGATGAGCCCCCATCGTGTGGGCCAGCCGGACCCCACCCATGCACGAATTCGTGCACCAAGCCTCTAGTAAGAGATAAAACACATACAACCCAAGCCTGTTTTGCTTAATGGTTGGAGCATCAGCTGCCGACTGAAGGGTCATGGTTTTAATTCCTGTCAAAGGCATATACTTTGGTTGCAGACTTGATACCCAGCCCCAGTCCCAAGTGCATGCAAGGGCAGCCAGTCAGTGTTTCTCTCTCTCTCTCTCTCCCTTTCTTCCATTCTCTCTGAAAAATCAATGGAAAAGGTATCCTCAGGTGAGGATTTTAAAAAAGACACATATAAAATAATAGTTCAAAATGTGAAAGCCACCCTTTATCTCTCTTCAACAGGTAACCTCCCTTTTGTGTGTCTAATTTTTAGAGTTTACTATTTTTATGCTCTAGTAGATGCTGTGGTATGCTGCTCAGATACTCCTTATCCCAGAGTGCTCATTCCCAGTACCTCACAGAGATAATGGAGGCAGTATCTAGGCTAAGAGCCGAAATATACCTTTGCTTGCCTCTGTGCTCATGGCTGGAAAAAAAAATCAACTGAAGAAATATTTTACTATAGATACCAGAATTAGAATGGGGCAACCTGAATATTTGAGATGCTGATGGGAACTGCTGTCTATATATTTAAAGATTGCCAATCAGAAGTCAGCAGTAGAGAAAAAGAAAGCAAGGTATAGTAGATCAAGTTACAGAGTCAGCTGAGCTGTGCCACTTAGCTATGTGACTTCAAGAAAGTTAATCCAAGTCCTCTGAACATTGATTTCTTCATGGTTAAAACAAGGATGGTAATATTTACTACCCTGCAGGGTCATTATGAGAATTAAGACTAAGATATTTTAAAGTATCTACCCTTGCACAAAGAGGGTATTCAGTATATTATTATTATAGGTTCTACTGGCCTATTTGAGACCTAAATAGGGGATGAAAGGATAGAGAAGAAGAAGAGAGGAGAAATAAAGATACTAAGAGAATACAGAAGAGAAGTAAGACTATTAATGAGAAATAGAATACAACGAGTAATTGCCATTGTAATCTAGAATATTAACCCAACTCTGCAGTTAGTAATAATTTTATTTTTCTTCAAGATCATCAATTTAACTATCATGGTAAAAGGCTTTAATGCTGCTAACTTAAATGTATTTAGTTTGTTGAAAGATGTTTTTATATGTGATCCACCCTTGACTGATAGCATGTTTATGGCTTGAAGAGATTTGGGCCAGACATGGGCTAAGTTATTTATTACCAACAATGGAAAAAAAGGGGATTGGCCAATTTGGGTTGTGTAGCAAAGGGGTGAATTAAGTTACTTGCAAGTGAATTGGTGTTTGTTTATCAATTCCATAATACTTGCCTCCATTAGGGAATTGATAATAACGCTAGTCTGTACTTCAGTTAAAGAGGAAGAGGGAATTAAATGAGGGAATGAAATGTTTGGCCTAGTTTTTCTTCCCTAATTAGACTCCTAATATCTATCTATCTATCTATCTATCTATCTATCTATATATATATATATATATATATATATATATGCATACATATATATATATATATATGTATGGCTAAGTGACCGTCCGACCGGTAGCAAGGCAGACACTCAATGCAGGAGCTGCCAAGCTCTGGAGGGAGCCCGATTCCAGGGTGTATCACCCAAGAAACCCTCTCACACTCTGGGACCCCTTGGGGGATGTCAAGAGCCGGTTTCAGCCTGATCCCCACAGGCCAGGCCAAGGGACCCCACCTGCCAGAGGAACCCCGCTCACTCCGCAGACACCCTTTGAGCCGCAGTGCTGTCCCTGGTGTGGCCAGCTAGGGAAGAACTGCAGGAGGTTGGCTCCAGGGCGTGTCCAGACCATCTAGCCCAGTCCCACCCCACCAGCCACCTTCTAATTAATTGCCTTTCAATGTGCACGAATTCATGCACCGGGGCACTAGTATTGTAGATAAAATAGTAATTAGGAATCTACACAATTCAAAATAAAGCAATATTTTTACATTTGCTTAAATATCTTTTTTTTTTTCAAGATTGACATCTGGTCCTGAGAACACACTTTTCCACTATGTTGCTTTAGAAACAGTGCAAGGGATCTTTATTACTCCTACCCATGAAGAAGTGGCCCAGCTAAGCGGCTCTATCCACCCTCAGCTAATAAAGAATTTCCATCAGTGTTGTCTCTCCATTCGTGCAGTTTTTCAACAGACCTTGATGGAAGAGGTAGGGCACTGCTATAAATACAGTTTTATGCCAGTTTCATTTCTATAACTCTAAATATTCTCTCTAAAAGCTCTTTAATTAATATGTCCAGCTATGGAAATTCTCAAAACAAGAAACATAGTGGCTTCTGTATTCTGGAGGGTAAGCCAGAGGGTTTGTTGATGGATTAAATAAGGGTTATAAGAGAAAGAAGAACCAAGGATCACTCCACTATTTTGACCTGAGCCTCACAAAAAAAATATTTATATTTCACATAAGTCATTGCTTTGCTAATGATTTTATCAATGGGAAATTTAGAGAGATACATCTGTTTTAAGTTTAATGTGTTTTAAGTATATTATAAAATCATCTGTTTATTCACTAATCTACACAGTAATCTACTCATTATTAATACATTCATTAAGTACCTACTATGTACCAACAACTTTAAAAATAATAATACAGCTCTAGATGAGTTAGCTCAGTGGATAGAGCTTCAACCTGCAGGCTGAAGGGTCCTGGGTTCTGTTCCAGTCAAGGGTATGTACCTTGGTTGTAGAATCCTCCCTGGCCTAGTCCCTGGTCAGGGCACGTGCAGGAGGCAACCAATCGATGTGTTTCTCTTACATCAATGTTTCTCTCTGGCCTTCCCTCTCTCTTCCACTCTCCCTAAAAATCAGTGGAATAATATCCTAGGGTGAGGATTGTTTTTTTAAAAGAAATACTACAAAGATGCCCTGGCTGGTTGCTAGTGGGTTAGAGAGCTTCAGCCTGTGGGCTGAAGGGTCTCGGGTTTGATTACCAGTCAAGAGCATGTACCTGGGTTGCAAGTTCAATCTCCCACCCGGTTAGAGTGCATGTGGGAGGCAGCCAATCGATGTGTCTCTCTTACATCCAATGCTTCTCTCTCCCCTTCTCTCGTTCCTCTTCCCTCCCTTCCCCTCTCTAAAAAATAAAAAATAAATGGGGGAAAAAATCCTTGGGTGAGGATTAACAACAACAACAACAAGAAAAAGCAAAAAAACAACAACAAAGATGAGAAGTATATTGTCTCTGCCTGGAAAAGAAGCTTATCCTGTACTGGGGAAGAAAGACCTATAAACTGCTAATATAATCCTATATAATAAAAAAGAAACATGCAAATTAACCATCCCTCTGCTATGTACAAGCCACGCCCACCAGCCAATCAGGACCGAGTATGCAAATTAACCCAACTAAGATGGCGGCAGCCACGGCGCTGGAGCGAGCAGGAGGCTTGGGTTGCCGCCGGCGATGGAGGAAGCCAAGCTTCCCGCCTGCCCTGGCCGGCCCTCAGGTCCGCTCAAGTCTACAAAGTTTCAATTATAGAAGATAAATAAATCCCAGAAAAAAAGGAGAGTCTGGGAGCTTGGGTCACTGGGGGCGTGGCCAGCCTGAAAACGGCCATCAGCCCTTCATCCAGGCTGGCCAGGCACCCCAGCGGGACTCCCCCACCCTGAAGGGGCTGTGGGCAGCCTGAAAACGGCCCTCAGCCCCTCACCCAGGCTGGCCAGGCACCCCAGCACCCCAGCAGGACCCCCACCCTGATCCGGGACACCCTTCAGGGCAAACCAGCCAGCCCCCACATGTGCACCGGGCCTCTATCCTATATAATAAAAGGGTAATATGCAAATTGACCCTAACAGCAGAACGACTGGGAATGACTGGTCACTATGACACACACTGACCACCAGGGGGCAGATGCTCAATGCAGGAGCTGCCCCCTGGTGGTCAGTGCGCTCCCACAGGGGGGGTTCTGCTCAGCCACAAGCCAGGCTGACGGCTGCCAGCACAGTGGTGGTGGATGGAGCCTCTCCTGCCTCAGCAGCGCTAAGGATGTCTGACTGCAGCTTAGGTCTGCTCCCCGCTGGCAAGTGGACATCCCCCGAGGGCTCCCAGGCTGCCAGAGGGATGTCTGACTGCTAGCTTAGGCCCAATCCCCCGGGGAGTGGGCCTAAGCCTGCAGGTGGACATCCCCCAAGGGGTCCTAGACTGCGAGAGGGCATAGGCTGGGCTGAAGGATCCCCCCCCCGCAAGTGCACAAATTTTTGTGCACTGGACCTCTAGTATAACATAAATACTAATACAGGACTATGAACAAAATGTTCCCTATAAAAGTCAAGGGACACTTTTATCTATGAAGTCTTTTATTGGAGACTAGAGGCCCGGTGCACAAAAATTTGTGCACTGGCGGGGGAGGGGAGGTGGAGGGTGTCCCTCAGCCCAACTTGTGCCCTCTCACAGTCTGGGACCCCTTGGGAGATAACCACCTGCTGGCTTAAGCCCGCTCCCCGGGTGGCAGATGGCAGGCCCGATCCCTCAGTGCCTGCCCCGCCTCCCTGGGTCACGCACACAGTAGGGCCGATCCGGAGGTTGAGGCGCCTCCCCGGGTCGCACACACGGCAGGGCCGATCCGGGGGTTGGGGCACCACCCCAGGTCAGGTCACACACGGGACGCCCCGGGCAGGTCGCACACAGGACGCCCGGGCGGGCCAGCCAATTGCTGCTGCCCCGCCCGGCTGCCCCGGGTCGGGTCGCACACGAGATGCCTGGATGGAGGCTGGGCGGGCTGGCCGATCACTGCTGCACTGCCCGGCCGCCCCAGGTTGGGTCACACACAGACGCCGGCCGACCCGGGTTGCAGATAGCAGGCCCAGATGGGGGTGGGGGGTAGGCGGGATGGCGCTGTCCTGCCCTGCCTGGAGTATGCAAATTAGCTGCCATCTTTATTGGTGGTTAATTTGCATATCACGCTGATTAGCCAATGGGAGGCATAGCGAAGGTATGGTCAATTACCATGTTTGTCTATTATTAGGTAGGATGGTATTTAAAGTATAAGAAAAAGTAAAAATTTTCCTGCAGGTAAGAAGAATATTATTGCAGGCTCTTAAGTGCTAGGATCGGCACTATTAATACCAGTTAATACTAATAATATCTATTAATTTACAGAAAAAGAAAGCACTAAACACTGCAGATCACTCAGGTTCTACAAATTTGGTCTCTTCTCTAAACCCTGTGAAAGAACATGGAGTGTTGTTTGAATGCTCACCTGAAAACTGGACTGACCAGAGAAAAGCACCACCAGTTATGGCTTATTGGGTAGTAGGGTAAGTGGAAAAAAGTATTGAAAGTGAAGTAAAATGTTAGAAAAGTGAAAGAAATGTGGTAAAGTTTTAGGATGTAGGCATGAAATTATTAATCTAACTATAATATTTTAATATATTTTAGAATTTTATTTTATTTGCTAAGTATCTCCTTTAAATTCCTCTCAAGTCTTTTCTATTAAAAACAAATAGCTTGCCCTGGCTGGTTTGGTTCAGTGGATAGAGCATCAACCTGTGGTCTGAAGGGTCCCGGGTTCGATTCTAGTCAAGGGCACATGCCAGAGTTGCAGGCTCGATCCCCAGTGGGGGGTATGCAGGAGTGGTTCTCTCTCATCATTGATGGTTCTATCTCCCTTCCTCTCTGAAATCAATAAAAATATATTTAAAAATAAACAAATAGCTTTCTTATTTTACAAAATTATATTAGTGATAAACTAAAAAAAAATGACTTCACAATTTTATAGCTATTTCCTTCTACCCCTACTTCCTCCTTTTCTTCTATCCTTTCTTGCCCTCTTCCCTTTGTTCTCCTCCTCCTCATTCCCCACCAACTACAAGTCCTTGCCTGACCTGGCCCCTGCCCACCTCTCTGGTTCCACCTTCTGTCACTCTCCTCCTCCATCCCATATGCGTAGCCACATTGGCACCCATCAATCAAATCTTGTTTTTGCTATTCTTTGTGTATTGGCTGTTCTGCCTTGCATGTCCAGCTCCTTGAGATTCAGACCAGTTCTAAGAAGTCATCTCCTCAAAGAGAGGATCCATAATCTCTTTCCTGTATTAACAGGGCTACTCAGTTACGCTCTATTTTATAACCCCTTTATTATTTATTTTCTTATTTGTTTATGGTCTTTCTCCCCCTCACTAGAATGTTAGCTCTATGAGGTCAGGAATCATATTTGTCTTGACCACTGGCACCTAACACATATATTGATAAATATATAACAATTTAGTAAATGGAACTGTGCTTGGCAAACTGTGGTGGTGGGTGGGTGTTATGGCAAACAGAAAGATAAATTCACACTCATTGTATCTAGCAGTCTTACATCTAGCAGAAGAAATATGAACTATGCTCATATATCTATATATTTATGAATATACTAGAGGCCCAATGCACGAAATTGGTGTAAGAGTAGGCCTTCCTTCCCCCGGCACCGGCTTCCCTCCAGCACCCAGGACCTGGGCTTCCCTCCAGCCACCGGCAGCCACCCAGGACCCGGGCTTCCCTCACAGCCTCAGCTTTGTCCAGAAGGAGGTCTGTAAGGACGTCCGGTCTAATTAGCATATTACTCTTTTATTATTATAGAATATGGAGATAGACTAGATAGATAGATAGAATAACTTAGTTGATACAACCAAATGCTATGGGAATCTCTAGGATTACAAGGAAAGGCTTAGAGATTCCATTTGATCTGGTTTAGAAAATTAATTGGATTTGAATAAAACATTTTAGGAAAAAGAAGGGATGAACAAATCATAAGGCATAGCAGTGAGTAGACTGGTTTGCCAGAATGGTAAAAGAATGCCATATACCAGTGGTCGGCAAACTGCGGCTCATGAGCCGCAGTTTGCTGACCACTGCCAAAGAGAAAGTGAAAAAGACCAAGCTGGAAAGCAGAGAGCCTTCAATTCTAAGGAATTAAATTTTGAGGGAAATACTGAGCCAATGAAGGGTCTCTTAGTTGGGGGTAAAGACGTGGTGGAGGAAGGGGCAGGAAGTTAGGTGACACCAACTGGACATCTACCATGTAGTACTAAATTGTATGACAAACACTTGACAAACATTATCCAAAGCAGTAATTCCTGTGTGCCGGTCCATGGGATTAGAATCACCTGAGACACTTGTTAAACTCAGAGATGCCTACACCCTACCCCAATAAGCTCCCTTGTAATTCTGATGTATAACCAACCAAGCTTGGGAGCATCAGTTCAGTTCTGTAGTGTGATCAGAGCTGTGCTATTGGATAAGTAAGCATTCCAGCAAATGGAATGGTATGGATACACGAGAGAATAGAGATAGGAACAGTTAGGCACACACACAGTGTGCAGTGGAACAGTTAACTGTATTCACAACAATTGGAATAGAAAGAATCAAGGTGTCGAATTCTGATGATGCAGGTCTATGTAGAATAGAGACATTTAAGGAAGTCAGGCAGAACTGCTGATTTAGTTTGATTTACATAGTATTGATTAAATAGATTTTAACTCTTTAAGAAAACCAAACAGCCCGGCCAGTGTGGCTCAGTGGTTGAGCATTGACCCATGAACCAAGAGGTTCGATTCCTGGTCAGGGCACATGCCCGGGTTGTGGGCTCTATCCCCGGTAGGGGGCGTGCAGGAGGCAGCTGATAGATGGTCTTCTCTCATTAATGTTTCTATCTCTCTATCCCTCCCCCTTCCTCTTTCTAAAATCAATAAAAACATATTTAAATTAAAAAAGAAAACCAGGTAAAATTTCATTGTTAATCCCAATTCAATACTATCTGCAAAAAGAACTATCATATATTTAATATTTTAATAATAATTAACTTTTAGAAAGTAAATGTCAATCTTTAATAACTTGTACTTAAAATGATGGTATCACCATTGGCTTTACCATAATAACAATGACTAAATTTAATATTTAAAAACAGGGATATGGTAAAACATATTGATAAAATACGCTTTTTACACTGTAGAAAAATAAAAATAATTGACCTAAGGCACATATCATTTATTTAAAAGTAAATCTAGCTGCATTTCCCTCTACTATAGATTTGGATTAGTGGTTTTGTTTGTTTGTTTGCTTGCTTGCTTGCTTGTTTGTTTGTTTTTGGTGGCCCGTATGGGGAGATTTGGATTAGTGTTTTATTACTGATACTTTCAGAAACAAAATAAATAAATAAAATAAAATGAATGGAAAGTTTTAACTTTTCTTTGTTATTTGAATTTCTAAAATAAATGTTTTCTTTTCCTTTACAGGAGACTCTTTCTTCATCCCAAAGTTCAAGAACTTTATGTCTGTTTTCATGACTCAGTTACAGAAATTGCCATTGAAATGGCTTTTAAGTTGTTCTTTGGATTGACCTTGTAACTGTTTTCTTGCTACACAGCACACTGTACAATAAGAAGCACTGAGCAGTGTTAGGATTGCTGAAATCCATACACAGAAGATACAGTTTAGTTTCTTTTCACTGAACTTAATATTGTTAAATATTGAGATCGTATGCTGTTGGATTTGATGCACTAGATCTTAATTAGTATTGTGAGACTTTTGAAAAGATACTTGATCAAAATATGAAGAAGGAGTTGTTAACTTATTTCCATTTTGGTATATAACATTAATTTATTGACTAGTTTGAAATAATGTGAAGTGTTTTATGTAAAATTAATATAGAAATATTTATCTTGGAAAAATACTCAATTCGTTGTGTATTTATCTCAAGACTAATATTGAATCTGGTGAAAGAGTCAGGAAATTGAGAGAACGTGACCAGTCCTGTAACAATTAGTGCTGTAACCATGAGCAAGGGCACTTCTCTGAGCTCAGGGCATTAAAGTATCATGGGTATTAAGGCACTGTGTTTAAAAATATTTATTAAATGTCTTAAATTTCTTGATATTTTCCCAAAAAACACTATGATCTTTTTTTTAATACCGAGAATTATTAATAAATGCAGCTACTTATCACCTCAGATTTTCAAACAGACTGAAAACTTGGGGTTTTATTATAGCAGGCTTTTTTTTCTTCATTTAATAAAATTTTAGTCTATTGAACTGCTTTTCTGGTATCAAAGAATCATACTGACCACCACTCAAAAACTGAAACAAAAAGATAAAGCAAACTACAGATCTTAATAAGGAGGAATCATTTGCTATGTTATAGATGTATACCGTAATGTCCACATTGTAAAGACATTACATTTTTTAAAAATGAAACCAAACATCATCTTGGTTTTCATCTCTAAATGGATATTAAAGTAAACAATGCAAATAAACTTAGTATACCTTTTTTCCAAATATGTTCTAAGTCACATCTGAAAATAGATTAGTTTGAATACTGGACAATAAATACTTATCTGCCACTCTATTAAATAAAGGGGACAAAGTGATAGTGCAGATACCACAGAGGTATATACTCTTTGGCAGGTATAGAAACATTAAGTTGGATTTTGTTAGCATCCTGCAAATGGGCCCTTTCACCAAAGCCTATTGATGCAAAAGATTATATAATTGCCATTTTAAAAAATACCAAGTACTGTCTTATCACCATCATATACAAGGTGGGGCAAATATAAGAATAAGCTGTTTTCTCACAACTATAAACCTACTTTTGTCCCACCTGTATTTTAAACTCCCCACAATTCCATTTTAGAGTCTACTGCCTTTCCTCCCTCCCTTTTCTTTCGCTGTTGTTGATTTATTTTTATGGGGTTAAAGAACTATACTCAGCAAGGGACTTAGTGCCAAGGGACTTCAATGATGATGCCTACAGGCAAGATAGTAAATTTGCAGTGCCTGCTTTTTTATATTTCTAATACAAATGGGAAAACCTGTGAAACCAACTTAGTAGGTTTGTCTGCTTTGAGCATTCTTGAGAATATTGTGAATAAATTGTTTGTTGTGTGTGTGGGTTCCCTCTAAATAGTGCTGGCACATGTTATGTGCTACAAAAGTGTTAGCTGCTGCTACTATTATTATCAAATATCCACTGGTTGAAAGCCAAGGAGTCAGCTAAATCATACCTGCTACTGTACAAAATGTTGGAAAGAAGCTGAGGAAAAGTATTCAGCACTAAACATTTTTGAGAATAGGATTTATACTTTGGCTGTTTTTTAAAATATTATTAAATGTTACTAAAACTTTAGGGACTAAAGTTTAGTCTATACACTAAATTGTGTGAAAATAATTTAATTTTGTAGAGCTATATTTCTATATTCCATATAATTGAAGCTATTTTTATACTGTATTGATAGTTTTTAATAAAGATGGTTTGGAGTTTGTGGCTGTGTTGCCTTTTCATGCATTGGTCCAAAAAATGTTTATTGAATTTTTACTCTGTGCCAAGTGCTGCTCTGGATGCTGGGGGAAAAAAACAAATAAAAATCCCTACCCTCATGGGAGTGAGGAGCACAAAGGCCATGAGACTCTATACTTAATTTAATATTAACACGTAAATCACCAGAACTGAGTCTGTTCCCTACATCAGTAAATAAAATGCAATGCAGCAAGTTAAACATTTTCAGCTCAGTCTGTTGAAAGAGCTGATCTAAAGTTCTTAAAGTGGAATAAAAATATGGAATAAAAAGCCATATTTGTAAGTACTTTCAGTTTTGCTGTCTTCTATCAGTGAATATATACCATAAGTTAATAAGCTTGAGGATATCATAAAGGAATCTATACTAATAAAAGAGTAATATGCTAATTAGACCAGATAGAATGGATGTCCTTCTGGACATCCTTCCGGACAAAGCCGCGACGGCTGCAAGGGCCAAGGGCAGGCAGCCATGGTGGCCGGCAGTGGCAGCAGCAGCGGGGTGATGGAGGCGGTGCCTTCCCCTGATCGGACCGGTCGCCTCCTGCAGAGGGAGGCCAGACTGCTGCTTATCCCCTGAGGGCTCCCGGACTATGAGAGGGGGCAGGCTGGGCTGAGGGACCGCCCCCTCCAGTGCACGAATTTTCATGCATTGGGCCTCTATTATGTTATAAACACTATTGAGTCAAATGCAGGGGTAAGGGGAAAGGGAGGCTAGAAAGGAAGGAAGAGAGCACGGCCCCAGGGAGCGGCTGAACATTTGCTTTTCTGTCCTCTGAGATATTCATGTTCCCTGCGACCAGAGATGTTTCCTTTGACCACTCTTGGCACCTTGGAGTGGGATTCAGGTAATCAATCACCCCTTAAATTTCTCCCTGAGTGCTTGTTAACGCTTCAAACTCCCTGTAAGGAGATTGAAACTGTCATTTTTCAGAATTTTGCAAATAAGACACCAATCATTTATTTCTTGATTTCACAAAGGATCTTAAAATCAATGTAATGAGAAGACTTTAATGTTTTTAAACCTATGAATAATGACTAGTCCAGTGATGATGAACCTATGACACGCGTGTCAGAGGTGACACGCGAACTCATTTTTTTGGTTGATTTTTCTTTGTTAAATGGCATTTAAATATATAAAATAAATATCAAAAATATAAATCTTTGTTTTACTATGGTTGCAAATATCAAAAAATTTCTATATGTGACACGGCACCAGAGTTAAGTTAGGGTTTTTCAAAATGCTGACACACCGAGCTCAAAAGATTCGCCATCACTGGACTAGTCCAATTTCTTCAGAAAGATTAATCTTGCGACAACATGTAAAATGGAGAGAGACTTGGGCTGAAAAACCAGTTAAGAACTGAATAAGTAGCTATAGAAAGGAAAGTAGCATGAAACACCAGACCAGTAGGACTTGCCAACCTTTTATGTGAGGTAATCAAAATATTAACAAAACTAGAGGCCCGGTACACAATATTCGTGCACTGGCAGGGCCCTTAGGCCTGGCTGGCGATCAGGGCCGATTGGGGCCTTCTGGCTGCCAGTCGGGGCCTCCCTTCCCCAGCTGCCAGCTGCCAGCTGCTGGCTGCCGGCTAGGGCCTTCCTTCGTTCCATGGTGCCCCCTGGTGGTCAGCACACGTCATAACGCGCAACCAAATACCCAAGGGGACACTTTGCATATTAGCCTTTTATATATATAGATTCCTACTCTGGCCTTTTGGCCTACATATTTGGTGTTTTACTAGTGGCAAGTAGCATGAAAAGTGTTAAAACACACTTAATGAAGAAAAACTTAGAATGTAAGTTCAAAATTGTCAATAACTCATCTTGGGTTTTCTGGGTGTGTTTCAAGGCTGCAGATCCTACAGAGTAAGAGATGATAACACAGTGTCTCCATGTATGAGAAACTATCAAACAGGCTATCAAAAGGAATCAGGAATCTATTATAGAGGGATCTCTAGGATATACGATTTCTTTAAAAAGGGAGGTGGAAGGAAATGGAGGCAGGCATGATGTACTGAGTGAGTATTCTTGCCCAAAGAAGTCAAACCTGAGTCTGCTCAGCCTCAGAGGAGTTCTCAAAGTGCAGGAGAGAAGAAGTGTAGGCGTCACCAAGACGTCTGGGCCTCCATTGAGGTCAAAACTAAGATAACATCTGCCAGTGTCACTATCATTCTCTCATTTGTGTAAGTGCTCTAGCAGCCACATGGGGTGTGGCACTGCCACAGGCGGAACAGCAGTTATGTAAATCCAGCTGTCTTTCCTTCAGACATGAGCTTTCCAAACATATAAAACAAGGCTATGCTCCTCACTACATTTTGTTTGTTTTGAAAAAATATTTTAATTATTTGTTATTTTAAATGAATTAATAGTTTTACATTTTTTTTCAATTTCTGAAATGGCACATATCAATTAATGTCCCACAAAAACGGAAGCTTCCTTGGGCTCCTAATTTTTAACAGTGAAAACGGGGGTCCTAGAATAAAATAGGTCCTGGCAGGTGTGCTCAGTGGTTAGGGCATTGCCCTGCGCACCACGGAGGGTCCAATTTCCGGTCAAAGGCAAGTACGTGGGTTGCAGGTTGATCAGGGAGGGCCCAGGTTGGGGCTGTGTGGGAAGGCAAACAACCAATGTGTCTCTCTCACATCAATGTTTCTGTTTCTTTGTCTCTCTCTGTTTCTCCCCATTCCTCCCTCCCTCCTTTCCATTCTCTCTGGGAAGCAATGGAAAAATATCCTGGAGTGAGGATTAACAAAAACAAAAAGTTTGTGAACCGGGAGGCGAGGGCCTTGGCGCTGGAAGAAGGTCGTGGCGCCTGGACTGGAAGCTTCTCGCGCTCCCTGCGGGGTTGGCTCTGCGGGTTGCATCGCCAGGGAGGGAGGGGGGGAGGGACACAGCGTGGGGCGACCGGCCGGCCGGGAGTGGCTTCTGGGGGTCCCCAGCCAGCGGAGGGCCCTCAAGGTCGCCCTCCGAGCGCCGCCAGGTACGTGTGTTTTCCTTGTCTCCAGCGCGTCCGTCCGGAGCGCACTCGGCTTAGGGAACAAATAAAAACCTGGGTGGTGTGTACGAAAAAAAAGAAAAAAGTTTGTGAACCTCTGTTCTAGAACAGGTCACTGGCAACCTGCACATGAGCATTGCCTGAACCCAAGCTGTAATATGAAAAGCCTCTCCATTTCCTCTGAATGCGCAGTTTGGACTGAGAGGCACTGTTCTAGATGGCATTGGCCAATTTCAGTAAAATAAAGGAGGAAGAACATGTTGACTTATGCTTCCGGGGTACCAGCGGCAAAAGCAGTGACAAAATTAAAGCAGAAATTAAAGCGATTTCTAAGAGAAAAATGAAGAGTAACCAATGAAGAGTAACCCTGGGAACTAAAACTAACCTCGGCTCATCCCACACTGCTCTGCTCTAATTTGCACACTATCTTCATAGAGAAATAGCTGCTCTTCGAGGCTCAGAAGCCATGGGTTTCTTCCCGGCTGCAAGGAAAAACTCAGGGCACCAACACTTACCCAGACAGCACGCGTGCGCGCGCGTGCGCACAAGTGCACGCGCTGGTAGCTACGTGTCGGGAGTCACGTGGCCCGCACCGGTGGCGGCAGGCGGTTGGAAGTGCATGCGCAGCTCCCCGGCCCCGCCCCACGTGGTGCGCCCATCTCCCAGCATCCTCAGCGCCGCTTTCCCGCCAGGACGACGCTCAAGCGGTTTTCTGCTTCCCTTCGCCTCTTCCGAATACGTTCCAGCCTGCTGCTGCTGGATTTTTACGTCCGTCATCCCACCATGCAGCGTGACCCTCCGAAGAAGAAGCCGGAGAAGAAGACAGAAAAGCGGTTCTTTGATGCCCTGTCCTTCGGGAAGGACCTGCTGGCTGGCGGAGTGGCGGCGGCTGTGTCCAAGACGGCCGTGGCGCCCATCGAGCGGGTGAAGCTTCTGCTGCAGGTGCAGGCGTCGTCCAAGCAGATCTCCCCCGAGATGCAGTACAAGGGCATAGTGGACTGTCTGCTGCGCATTCCCCGCGAGCAGGGTGAGTAGGGGCGGCCGCCATGCCTTCCCCCGCCCCCACCCCCACCCCCGTGGATCGGGAGGGGACAACTGCAGGGGCCAGGGCCGTGTCCGTTGGGGGGTGATGGGTTTGTTTCCTCAACTTGAAAAATTCAAGAATGGTAACCAGTCTAAGAGGCTCTGCTTTCCCAGGGCCTGCACGTGACCAGTCCTAGTGCAGGGGAGAACACCACCTTCTCTTTCTCTAAATTTCTCCTTCACAGCAGGATTTACATACACCTTGGCGTAGAAGGCAGTGTTTGACTCCCAAGATTAGAGGAGAGGAGATGCTATTAAGCATTTTGCTGTGTGTTAACAAATGTCCAGATTGCTTAAATACTTGTTGAAATACTATGTTCTCCAAATATGGGACCATTGGGGCCTCCCGGTACTCTGATCCCTATTCGGTGAAAAGAGGTTCTGTTTATTCTTGAAAACTACTGAAGAGGCAGTCACCTCTGCACAGATTTGAGGGGGGAGCAAAATAACATAATAAAGACAAATAATTTTTTAAAAATATATTGTATTGATTTTTTACAGAGAGGAAGGGAGAAGGATAGAGAGTTAGAAACATCGATGAGAGAGAAACATCGATCAGCTGCCTCTTGCGCACCCCCTACTGGGGATGTGCCCGCAACCGAGGTACATGGCCTTGACCGGAATCGAACCTGGGACCCTTGAGTCCGCAGGCTGAAGCTCTATCTACTGAGCCAAACCGGTTAGGGCTGACAATATTTTAATGCAGTATTTTTTAAAATCCAAGATGAGCAAAATAAAATTTTAAAGACAGGATCAGTATTACCAATTTTTCTTTTGCATCAGATCCTGTCTTTGTTTAAAATTTTAATGTTTTTGTGGAGTCTCCTCTCCCTCCTCTCCCCCCCATTAATATTGAAAGAAAGATTTCAAGGGCTAAATAATGAAAGTGCTTTGTTAGCCATTAAATGCCTTCCGGTTGCAAAATGGCTCCTAAGTTAGCTCAGAGAATGTCAGGATAAATGTATCAGAAGTCTTCTATAATCCATCCATATAGTTGGATTCAATTGAAAACTCTGTACGAACTTTTTTTTTCTTAAATATATTTTTATTGATTTCAGAGAGGAAGGGAGAGAGAGAGGGAAACGTCAATGATGAGAGGGAATCATTGATTGGCTGCCTCCTGCACGTTGGACGGAGCCAGCAACCCAGACACATACCCTTCACCGGAATCAAACCTGGGACCCTTCAGTCCACAGGCGGACGCTCTATCCACCGGTTAGGGCTCTGTACGAACTTTAAAAAGGAAATAGGCCTATTGACCCCTGTCATGTCTTGTTCTGTGTGTTCAGAACAAGACATGACGTGGCTTCAACTCCAGTGCAGTTCCCTCTTCCACTCTTAAGTCTGGGTCAGGGTATACTCTCCTATAAAAAGAGCGTTCTCTTCCTAGGGATAAATCTGTTGGGCACAATATGTAGAGTCCAAAGTAGACTCTAAAGGCATCGTCTAAATTATGAATTTTAAATGCCCATCTGAGAGCAGAACCCAGAAAGCATAAGAGTGGTTCACATTCTCCACACCCCATTTATTTTATTAGAGCAAGTTCCCCATTTCCTTTAAGGTTTTTACTAGAAAAGTAGGAACGTCTTTCTCCTTAGTTTATATTCTAAAACCTCTTCAGAGAAGTAGGACTGCTTTATTATTAGCTAATCTACTTTACATATTTAGTCGGGTGAAGTTAAATATTGTGGTCAGATTGTGCTGACCAGTGCTGATTTATATTTTAAATGTTCTTGGTAATATTTAAATCTGAACATATTCAATATGGCTCTTATAAATTGCAATCATTCTGAATAGTATTTTGGTTTCTGGTTTCTATACCTTCAAAGATGAGATGATAAAAGCAGAACTTGAAGATGTTTCCTATTCTTGTATACAGGGCCTTCTTATGAATACACCACAGTATATATCCTACGGTAAAAGGTTAATAATTCACAACAGGGTTAATATTGCCATCTAGGGGCTTTTTGTGAAACTTGTGGGGAATTTTTTAGTTAGCACAAAGATAGAGGGGTGTAATCTTTAATTGTAATAACGTGAAAGATAAAATCCAGGGAGGCTAAGCATCTTGCTGCTATACATGGCCAGCCCTGCACAAGGAAGACTTATCCTGTATCCTGAAAGACTCAGATTTCTTCTACTGGATATTGTAGCAGTAAAACCTGTTTATGATTATCTAAGCCTCTAACCCAGCCGTGGGCAAACTACGGCCCGCGGGGATCTGGCCCGTTTGAAATTAATAAAACTAAAAGAAAAAAAAAGACCGTACCCTTTTATGTAATGATGTTTACTTTGAATTTATATTAGTTCACACAAACACTCCATCCATGCTTTTGTTCCGGCCCTCCGGTCCAGTTTAAGAACCCATTGTGGCCCAGTCAAAAAGTTTGCCCACCCCTGCCTAACCCATGGGTTCTCAACCTGTGGGTTGAGACCCCTTTGGGGGTCAAATGACCCTTTCACAGGGGTCGCCTAAGACCATCAGAAAACACATATATAATTACATATTGTTTTTGTGATTAATCACTATGCTTTAATTATGTTCAATTCGTAACAATGAAATTGAGGGTCACCACAACATGAGGGACTGTATTAAAGGGTCGCAGCATTAGGAAGGTTGAGAACCTAACCTAACTCTGATTTAATCTAAATATAAACTATCTGGGCATAGTTCTAGTAAACACCTCTGCTTTCTTTCTAGCCCAAGGATAGATTTCTCTATTCTTGCTCTGAACATAGCTTTAAACATCTCTCTGGATGTCTTTGATACTTTTTATAAGCTTTCCTTGGATTATGAAAGCTTCTGGATTTATCCTGAGTAATGCTGTTCTGAAAGATTTACTCTATTCTTTAGTTGGTTTTATGATCTTCAACTTTGTGGGGTTTTTTGTTTTGTTTTGTTAATCTGTTAATCCTCACCTAAGGATTTTAGGGAGAGTGGGAAGGAGGGAGGAAGTAGTGGGAAGGAGAGAGAGACAGAGACAGAGAGACAGAGACAGACATCAATTGGTCGCCTCCCACACGCGCCTCAACTGGGCCTGGGATCGAACCTGCAACCCAGTTATGTGCCCCTGACCAGGAACTGAAACCAAGACACTTCAGTTCTCCAGTCACTGCCAGGGCTGATCTTCAACTTTGTATGTGCAGTTTTATTTAATACTGTTTAAATTTGTATTACACAAGTAATGCATGTTTATTATAGACAATTAGAAAAAATAGAGAAGCAAAAAAGTAAAGACAAATAATTGCTAAAATCACCACAGTTAACATTTTGGTGTCTGTGCTGTGATGTTTCACTGAGCAAAATATGCATATGGAAATATATTCTTAATTAAAGCAATTGTTGTATTTAATATATTGTGAAATAGCCTTTAAAAAATCTGAACTCTGCAGTCTCATTTTTAAGAGCCTACCAGAACTCTTCTCATTTAGGTGTTCCTGGCCATGAGTTCATCAGCTATCTTTAATCTAAACTTTTCCAAACTTATTTTTTTGAAGGCTAGAGCAGTGAAGTTTTTATTTGAAGAATGTTTTGGGACATGCAAATAACATTAGATATTTACTTTATTTAAATAAAATGAGAAAATAAGCTTTACTGATATTTAGTGTGTGAATTGGCACTGGCATTTATAATTGGGCCAAAAGTCAGTTACATATCACAGGACACTAAGGCATTCTAAAAAAGGAGTAGGGGTTAGTTCCACAATGTAGAGGGGATAACAGGCACTCGTCCTCAGGTATTACATAATAAACATGTTATAGTTTATGTTTGCTTAGCTAAATGTATCTACAGAGACAAGAAGACTATTTGAATATTTTAAATTATCAACAAGAATATTTGAAATATAATGTACACTATTCTTAAAAATTAACCTCGCTCTAAAGATGCCTTAAGATAGTAGGAAATGATGGCATAAAAACATCATGTGGCCCAGTAGTTGAGTCAGCCTATAAACCAGTAGGTCCCAGTTTGGTTCCTGGTCAGGGCACACGCCCAGATTGTGTGCACAATCCTCAGTAGGAGGCATGCAGGAAGCAGTCAATCAGTGATTGTCATCATTGATGTTTCTATCTCTTTCTCCCTCTCCCTTCCTCTCTGAATCAATAAAAATACATATTTTTTAAAAAACATCATAATTAGCAAGATATATGAAAATATGTTCTAATGGTTCAAATAAGTGCTCATTTATATTCGAATACCTCCTAGCAATAAGTTTTCCCCAAGCAACCTATTTAAGTAGCTCTTTGTCATTCTCCATCTCCATATACAATTTTTGTTCTTATGACCACTTGACATAAAGTTTTTTTAAGTGAGGAATCTTTATCTCATTCTTTAATTTCTATTTTTGGTATACTACATAATAGGTATACTAGCAAAGGCATATGACTTTTAAAAATGTATACATATTTATGACAGGCTACATATATTTTTACTGATAGGCATTCTGCCAAAATATACTGGGACCCACTAGTCTAGAATATATTCTAACTGTGCCTAGCATTCCCATTATTGGCTGTAAATTGACCAGTAAATGGCCAGTAACTGCTTCCTATTTCCCATCAGTTCTATTTTAATTCTTGATTATTTTCTCAGAATTAAGTTCAGAGTATGTTTTTTCTTGCCCTTAAATTTTGAAGAGATTATTTTTTCTGAGCAATTAAGATACTGATATTATCAAAGATACCACAGTTGCTATGTTTTTCTCTACCAATTTTGTGATTATACAGAGTGTCCCAAAAAAATGTATACACACACTTTAACAGCTGATACCTCAATTTGGAAAATGAAATGTATTTTATAAATACTGCCTTTATAATTATTCAAACTGGTATACATATTTTGGGACACTCTATATATTAGGAAAGTGTCCTTTTAATCTGTATGACTGCTTTTCCCTTTTTTTATTCTGACCTAAAAAAGGCTTGTTTTTTTATTGAGAATAAATTTTTATAGAGAGGCAGTAGAGATTTAATAGCTCTAGGTTGGAGTCAGAACTGGAATCAAGTTCCAGCCCTTCCCTTACCTTGTGAACTTAAACCGTTTTTATTTAACCTCTCAGCCTCAATTTTCTCAGTTGTATGCTACATACCTGATGATATGGTAGTTGTGAGGTTAAACAAGATACTGCCTATAAAATATTCAATTATGTGTCTATTGCATAGTTAGTGCTCAATAAATTTTAACTCTTTAAGTCATTATGTATGCATTCATAAATTTGTAAACATGTATTTCTGATGTTCATTTGTAAATAAGTGCATCTGAGATAAACTTGTGTAGAGGAGCAAAAATTTTCTTTCTACCCCTCTAGCATCTTTGAATACTCTGATAATCAAATTAACAGAAGACATTTTAACAGGAGAAAAGCAAATTTAATTGGGTACATACATGGCCCTATAAAAATCTGAGAACCACAGGCAGACAGTTGAGGCTTATATGTCCATTCTGAGCTAAGAAGAATGGGGTAGGGTTGGGTCTTCCAATGGGAGGAAGAAAATTTACAGGAAGATAGGAAAAGCAAATATTTTGTAAACAAATGTTTGTTGTGTTTTGCTGAGGTAATGGGGCACTGAAGAGACTTTGAACAAACAGATCCTGCCCAGCTACCACCAGTTTATCATACCTAGCTTATACTCTTTGATAATTCTCTTTCTGTACCAAGCCCTCTCTCTAAATTTGTTCTGGTAATTAAGGAGAAGGTTAAAATAAATTTAGAAAGCCTTCTAGCTTTTTGTTTCTTAAAAACAATCAGCCCAAAATAATACTTACTCCAGAGACACATTTTGGGGTGGCAAATTTTATTCCTCTATGCTTGAACAGAGGATAGATTTTTTTTTAGTCTGAGGGAATGCATTTTTTATCTTTAAGATGAAGAGACTAATAGTACCTACCTCATGAGTGATTATGTGCAACTGTTTTATATTCAGCTTATGGTTCACCAAGATTCTGGGGATTTTCCCCCACTAAATATACTTACTTATTTAGCAGATAAGTATCTTTCCCTCTGTGTACTACACTAATTTAACTTTCAGGTTCTGAGTACCAGCCCAGTAAGCTGAAATTATTTTATTTTTTCCATCACCATTTATTCCCTCTATGCCCTCTTCCACCAGCACCACCACCCCCTATCTCCCTCCCCACACCCGACAATTACCACCTGTTATCCATGTCCATGAGTTCTCTCTTTTTTTCTTTTTTGTTCAATCCCTCCATCCCCCCTCCCATCCCAGAGCTATCTGCCTGCTCTCTATGAGTTGTCTTTATTTTCATTTGAATGTTCATCTTTAGAAGACTGATTTTGGGTGTTCTCTAAGCTAGGTGGAGAGGTATCTTATTCAGAATAGTAAGATGAAACCATTTGACAATTTGCAATCTAGTAAAAACAATTATGGCTACTGAAGAGCAAGCCTGTTGCATTCTGGGGCAGCTCTGGATTATAAAGGCAGCTCTGAAATATAAGGGTAACACATATTAGGATTGGTCAATCCATTGAGATTTGAAGTGGGAAGATTATTAATCTCTAAAGTTTCTTCCAATCTCTCTATCAAGCCTTCAATTATAAATTGTTCCCTTTTCTGTCTGGGTTTCAGAACGTAAAGATAAGGATGCTTTAGACTTCTGTCACTTTCTCTTTCTCATAAGTATGTATACAAACCAATTCTGTTCTAGCAGCCTTACTACTATAGGAATTGTATGTCAGGATTTGGAAATGACGCTTAGAGTTACTAACTTCTCTGACAAATACTCCTGAACTGTTTTTCTAACTAGTGAAGAAACCTATATTCAACTGATAATGGTTTTCCAGAGGTTGTTAGGTATTCAAGGCTTTTTATTGGAAACTAGAGGCCCAGTGCATGAAATTTGTGCACAGAGGGGAGGGTGTCCCTCAGCCTGGCCTGCCCCCCTCACAGTCCGGGAGCCCTCGTGGGCGGGAGGCGACCTGGTGATCAGGGGAAGGCAACGCCCCCATCACACCTCTGCTGCTGCCACTGCTGGCAGCACAAGCCTCAGCCAGCCCTGGTTACCTGAGCCTCGGGCAGCCCTGGATGGCTGGGCAGCCACCATCCGAGGCTTGCCTGTGCCTTGGGCTGGCCCTGGGGCTGAGGGGACTGGGGGACTCCAGAGGAAGGCGCACAGAACTGCCGGGCCCACCTTGGGGTAGGACTGGCCTTGCCATGCACCTGCCGCCCTAGCGGGGCTGAGGGGACTGGGCGCCGCCATCTTGTGGCTGTGGGCACTGCCATCTTTGAGGGCGTGGCAGTCAATTAGCATATTCCCTCCTTATTGTCTGTGGGTGCCCAATCTTTGCGAAGGTGTGAGGGTCAATTAGCATATTCTCTCTTTATTAGATAGGATTAACAAAATTGAAATGGAAGCACATGGAGTTAATACTACTTTTTTTCTTCAGTGGAGACACATAAATTTTTTTTCATGAGAAATGGATTTGCTTTTAAATAGTTCAAATAACTAAGTTTGTTAAAGCTATGGGAATTATTTAATGATAATACAGTATAAGTTTATATGTAGTATGTTTTCTTTTGTAGGTTTCCTCAGTTATTGGCGTGGCAATCTTGCAAATGTCATTAGGTATTTTCCAACACAAGCTCTAAATTTTGCTTTTAAGGACAAATATAAACAACTTTTCATGTCTGGAGTTAATAAAGAAAAACAGGCAAGTATAGATAATATCTCTAAAATTTTCTAAGAAATGGTTGGTTTGTCTTACGTATGATGGGCAGATGTACTCAAGTGGTAAAAAAAAATATTTAAAACAGTTACTGTTAACACAATATTTCTAAGTTATATAAATTATATGTGAAAACCACAACTTTTACAAATTTCTTTGAACAGTTTTAATATTTAAGGCATCTCTTGTCTCAAAGCAGTATTTCTCTGAATAAATATTAATTTTAATGTAATTATATTTTATAATCACTGCTACACTAGAAAAATTTAGCATTTTGCCTGCTTTTATTAAGCAAAAAAGAAAAATCAGGCAAGAGGTATGTATTTCTGCCCTAGCTGGTTTGGCTCAGTGAATAGAGTATTGACCTACGGACTGAAGGGTCCCAGACAAGGGCACATGCCTGGGTTGCAGGTTCTATCCCCAGTAGGGGGCATGTAGGAAGCAGCTGATCAGTGATTCTCTTTCATCATTGATGTTTCTATCTGTCCCCCTCCCTTCCTCTCTGAAATCAGTAAAAATATATTTTTTTAAAAAGAGATATGTATTTCTAACTCTGAGGTAATTTATTCCTTAAAAAAGCAAGTTGTTTCTTCTTTATTACTAAGGACCTATTTAGCTGAGTTTTGTTTTTTTTTAAATCCCCACCTGAGGATATTTTTCCATTGATTTTTAGAGTGAGTGGATGAGAGAGGGAAAGACAGAAATATCCATGTGAGAGAAACACATCAATTGGTTGCCTCCTGCATCAGCACCACCAGGGTATGGGCTGGGGAGAGGAAGAATCTGAAACCGGGGTTAAAAATTGAATTGAGACCCTTCGGTCCCCAGGCCGATGCTCTATCCACTGAGCCAAACCAGCTAAGGTTAGCTGAGATTTAAAGTGCATAGTATAGCCCTAACCGGTTTGGCTCAGTGGATAGAGCGTCAGCCTGCAGACTGAAAGGTCTCGGATTCGATTCCGGTCAAGGGCATGTACCTAGGTTGCGTGTACATCCCCAGTGGGGGGGGGGTGCGGGAGGCAGCTGGTCGATGTTTCTCTCTCATCGATGTTTCTAACTCTCTATCCCTCTCCCTTCCTCTCTGTAAAAAATCAATAAAATTTATTTTTAAAAAATAAATAAAGTGCATAGTATATATAATCTAAAGGCATAATTACCTCATGTGTCCACTCTCGCTAATTTGGGCTACTTTTTCTGGAGGCCATTAAAGTATTTTGCAATTTCAGTATGTCAGCATCTAAACTGTACCTCCTAGACTGCCTGGTAAGAAACAAAGGACATGTAGACAAGTATTCTGGATAGTATGATATGCGTTATTACAGATGTTTACTTTAGAAAATCAGTTTGTAAATCTGGCCTTTCAGCCTTTAGAAAAATAAGGATTTCACACAGTTAGGTTCTGTAGTTTAATAACCACATTTTAATTTAATATGTTTCAGTTCTGGAGATGGTTTTTGGCAAACCTGGCTTCTGGCGGAGCAGCTGGGGCAACATCCTTATGTGTAGTATATCCACTAGATTTTGCTCGAACCCGAATAGGTGTTGATATTGGAAAAGGTATGGGATTTTTAGAAATACTGACCCTTCCTTCTTTGTGTTTTGAGTAATGTATTATTTATTCTAAAATTATGCTGTAACAAGTGTTAGTTACAGTCTGAAAATTGTATTCTCAACCAAATGGTAAGGTCATAGGGGCTAAAGATTACTACTTTTTTCCTTTTCCCTTAAAAGAGGGAAGGGGAAGGCCAACACTCTAGTAACAAAAGAGCAAACATAAAGACTGTTTAAAACTTACTTTCTTTTTTATCTCCCTGGAGAGCCACCTCCTAGATCCCTCATACACTTACTCCTGCCTCAACTATGACTCCTCTCTAGGTTATATGTACAGCTCTCATGCTAGAGATTCCTTTTCCCACTGTTCCTATGTATTTTATTTACCATATCTTCTATATTTTTGTTATGCAACTGTTTTGGTAGATTATGTTCTTCAGTAGCTTTCTAAGCTTTCTGAAAAGAGTGGAACAGGAGATAAGTTGAGATCTTGCTTATTTAAAAATATCTCTGTTTTATCCTCTTAATTCTTGGCCATATAAAAAAGTTCTGGGTTTACATTTAATTTCTTTCACAATTTAAAAAGTATTACTCTGGATTCTAGTTTCTAATATTGCTCTTATGAAGTTGATCTCTTACTGTTGATCCTTTTGTATGTATATTTTTTCTTTTTAATCACCTTATATCCCTGATGACCTGATATTTCACAAGATGTATCTTTGTGTGAGTCTTTTTTCTGTAATTGTGGAGGCAACTCAGTCTGGAGCCTTATGTTCATTTCTGAGGATGGCAGAGGAGAAAGAGACTTGGCTGCTCAGGGTGAAGTAGATTTTGAGTACCCAAATGCTACTTTGCTTTCACTACAAGAATAGTACAGTACTTAGTCCCCCTAATTTCTAAGTTTTTCTGAGGTTGGAGTCCAGGGCTTTCTTCTCAACAATATCTCCTTCTGCAAGAAAATAAGTTTCAGTTGTCTCTGCTCTACTTAGTGAGGTTCCACTCCTCCACCTCCTTCCCGTCATGCTAAAATTTGTGGATTTTTGTCAATGTTCTTCTTTGCCTATATGGCTTTAAACCTGTTTTCTTTACTAGAGGCCTGGTGCACGGATTCAGGCACTGGTGGGGTCCTTTGGCCTGGCCTGTGCCCTCTCACAATCCAGGACCTCTTGGGGGATGTCGGAGGCCCATTGCACTGATTTGGTCTGATCCCCACAGGCCAGGCTGAGTGGCCCCACCAGTGCACAAATCCATGCACCGGGCCTCTAGTATGCATATAAGATCTTTGTTAATCTCTTCCTACCCTCCCACCTCCTCCCTTCCCTCTGAGATTCATCAGTTTGTTCCATGCTTCCATGCCTGTGCGTTGAGCATCTGCCCCCTGGTGGTCAGTGTGCATCATAGCTACGAGTTGAACAGTTGCTTAGGCTTTATATATATAGTATCATTTTAATAAAATGTCTTAAGGGAGCAGAGATTCATTTAATAAATATTTCTCCATTGAATGCTGTGAACCAGGTGTGCATGTGCACGCGCACGCTCTCTCTCCCCCCCCCCCCGTCACTTTCACACACACACACAAAATATAAAACATGGAATTTGCAGCTCATGTACCTTATAGTGTAGTGGGGGACACAAGTAAAAAACAATGAAGCAATGACTAAAATATACTGCCACTTAGCAGTAAATGTCATAACAAAATTAGGAGAAGGGAGTGACATCAATTTTAGATAAGTGATCAGAGAAAATATCTCAGAAAGGATAACAGTTTGAGGAAAAATGAAAATAGGGGTTCCATCTTATCATGTTTAACTGGCAGTCCAAATTTTCTTGTTATTGCTAAGAAAGTGAAAATAATTCATGTTCCTTATTTAAGTTCAGCAGTTTTGTTTTCTCTGAAAATTGGGAGAATTTAGCTTATTTTGAAGAATTATATTCTACACATAATATTTCAATTATTGGCAAAGAGTTCAAGTCAGGGGACAATAAAACAAAACCAACAAACACTCAAAAACTGTGACACTCCATCTAAAATGTTAATGATTCTTAAGTTACTAGTTTTTAGTTTTGTCTTTTTGCTCTATTTGTCTGTTTGCTCTTCAACTGAAACAAGTCATGAAGGTTTTCATTCCTAATGAAAACTAAAAATTTCTAAATTCCTAGTTACATTTCTAGGAACTTCTGGTAATTTTATTGAGCCTATCATATTGCTTGAATTAGATTGGTTTTATAAGAGATTAATATTTTAAAAAATGTAAAGATACTATTTGAAACCTTAATTATTTGTTAACTAATGGGAGAATTTTGATGTATGCTTTTATTTTGTTAGATTTTTAAGTGGCAATTCCAAATACTTTAAATCTGTAAAATGTTTAAATAAAGTATTTATCTGATGTATAATGCTGCTAATAAATTTTAAATGGCTTTATTTTAGGTGCTGCAGAGCGACAATTCAAGGGTTTAGGTGACTGTATTATGAAAATAGCAAAATCAGATGGAATTATTGGTTTATACCAAGGGTTTGGTGTTTCAGTACAGGGCATCATTGTGTACCGAGCCTCTTATTTTGGAGTTTATGACACAGTTAAGGTAATTTGGGGCTTTAGTATATATTAAATGGTTCGTTTCCTTTTTTAAATTCTTTATTGTTTAAAGTATTACATATAGTATTACATATGTCTCCTTTTTCCCCTCATTGATCTCCCTGGCCACTATCTCCCTTTCCCACCCCCCCACCCCCCACACATGCCCTCACCCCACTAGTGTCTGTGTCCATTGGTTATGCTTTTATGCATGCATACAAAGTCCTTTGGTTGATCTCTTACCACCACCACCATCCCCTCCTTCCCTCTGAAGTTTGACAGTCTGTTTGATGCTTCTCTGTTTCTGGATCTATTTATGTTCATGAGTTGATGTTGTTTATTGTATTCCACAAATGAGTGAGATAATGTGATATTTATCTTTATCTGACTGGTTTATTTCGCTTAGCATAATGCTCTCCATGTCCATCTATGCTGTTGCGAATGGTAAGATTTCTCTCTTCTTTACAGCAGCATAGTATTCCATTGTGTACATGTACCAGAGTTTTTCAATCTGCTCATCTGCTGATGGGCACTTAGGCTGTTTCAGATCTTAGCTATTGTAAATTGTGCTGCTATGAACATAGAGGTACATATGTCCTTTCTGATTGGTGTTTCTGATTGCGTGGGATATATTCCTAGAAGTGGGATTACTGAGTCAAAGAAGAGTTCTATTTTTAATTGGTTTATTGTTTTAATTAGTAACATGTTCAGTAGATATGTTTACTTATAATTATATAAATCAAAATAAATGATGGAATAAGAGACATTATAGAGTTGTTTAATCATGACTTTGCCATACCTAACTAAATTATAACTCTATTGTGGATCTGATTTGAGATATAGAGCATAAACCCAAACATTAAGTTTTTTTGCTGTTTACACTGAAAAACTCACTATACATCGTATTGCAAATATGAAGCATTCTGGTTAGGCTTACACCACAGTCAACTCTTTGACATATAGAAAGGCTCTGACAGAACTTCCTGATTTTACATTGAGTTTATTATCTCATTTTTCACATGCAAATAGTAAGTTTACTATCACCATTTTAGAAAGTAGGCAAGGCATAATTAGTTAAATATAATAAATGCTACTATAGCTCAGGTGTTTATTAGGTACTGTTAGATTCTTTATTGTATTCTCCAGATTGTTTTAGCAATTGCCTTTTCATTTCAGATTTTAATATCATTTCCATAAGGTAGGAAAGAGAAAGAATGTAACAATGGCTACCATTTTTGAGCTATTACTTAGTTCTAGGAACTTCATTAAGTTCTTTACATCCTCACAGTGTTCTATGATAGCTTTTTTAAAAAATGTTTCTCTTGCCAAAACCGGTTTGGCTCGGTGGATAGAGGGAAACATACATCGAGAGAATCACTGACCAGCTGCCTTCCGGTCGAGGCCATGTACCTGGGTTGCGGGCACATCCCCAGTGGGAGATGTGCAGGAGGCAGCTGATCGATGTTTCTCTCTCATCGATGTTTCTGGCTCTCTGTCTCTCTCCCTTCCTCTCTGTAAAAAATCAATAAAATATATTTTTTAAAAAAAATGTTTCTCTTGATTTTTGAGGGGAGAAGGGAGAGAGAGAGAGAGGGGGAAACATACATCGAGAGAATCACTGACCAGCTGCCTCCTGCATACTCCCTATTGGGGATCAAGCCTGCAACCCGGGCATGTATCCTGACCAGGAATCGAACCAGTGACTTGTTCAACCACTGAGCCACACTGGCTGGGCAAGGATAGCTTTTAATATCCCCATTTTAAAGATAAATAACTGAGGAGTGGTTAAGTAATTTATGTACATGGCAAGCAAAATATCCCATTATCTTAATAACTATATCATAATGCTTTCAAAATTAGGCAATGAAATTAATATTAGTATTATTTACTAAATTAGATTAAACGTTGATGGAAGTTTTATAATAGTTTTCTATATTATCTCTACCCTCTATTAAATATAGTTGCATATCATTTTTATTATGGTTCAGACATAGAACTTTTAGTTTATAGTGTGCTTTTTCTTATTTATATTTACTTAATAATGGAAAAGTTTATGTGCACTTTCCCTCTTTGCTCTATTAGCACCTCTAGTAGCTGTGAAATTTAGGAATGTTTCTTCACTAACTTAGTGCTTTAAAGCTGTTTATCAAATATTATCTTTTGATGATAATAGCAGGCATTATTATTTCAGTTTTTTTCAACTCTGTGAAGAGCCATGAACAACTTTTTTGGTCACTAGCTGTTATCTTCCCTAGTTTTAAGTGCCATTAATGACAAATCAATTTAGAAAATATGCTTTTTTTCCCCAAATATGTTTTTATATATAGTCATGTATGACATTCTCCTTTCTAACTGATAGCATGCTAATATTTCAGTTTTTCCACATTAAATTCAACTGTTTTTAATTGCATCTTAAATATAAATGAGCCTTCTTTCATATATTCTTAAGAGTTATTCTTTGACTTAAGATTTAAGATGCTTTAGAAATTCAGATAGTTACTTTATACATTTTTTTTCTAGGGCTTATTACCCAAACCAAAGGAAACCCCATTTCTTGTCTCCTTTTTCATTGCTCAAGTTGTGACTACATGCTCTGGAATACTCTCTTATCCCTTTGACACAGTTCGAAGACGTATGATGATGCAGGTATTTTATATTATTATTTGAAAGTTTAGTTGAGTTTTCCACTATCTCTGATACTCAGGTATAATTTATTCAAATTTTAGAGACATTTTGACTGGAAAATAGGTCATTTGTTAATAAATGCATGCTGTGCTCTCGCCCAGTGGCTCGGTTGGAGCATTATCCCATTCACCAAAAGGTTGCCATTTTAATTTCCAGTCATTTGCAGGTTCAAACCCCTACGGCAGGCAACCGATCAATATTTTTCTTGAATTCATCGCTCTCTCTCCCTCCCTCCCCCTATCCTCCCTCCCCCTATTCTCCCTCCCCCATCCTCTCTAAAAATCAATAAAAACATATCTTCAGGTGAACATTAAAAAATAAATAAATGCTTGTAGTTTTGACTTGTATTTCTTTACTGTTACTATTATTAGACAGCCAGCATCCAGCAAAGCTTTTTTTTTCTTCTGCTATGAGAACAGAAATGCTTTCTACTCCTGTAGCATATATTGTTTGAAGGGTAGAGGAAGATGGTAGGGATTTAATGAGTATGTCTGTCTTAACTGAATATTAGATCAAGTAGAATAAGGCTAGTCACAACTTAGGTAATATCATTAGTTGTAGTATATTTCAATAAAAGTAAATAATTTTTACTTCAAAGATGAAAACTTGTTAATGATCTATGTTTTAAGTATAGTCAGTTTTGATACATTCAATCTCCAGTGCTGTTACTTGTTAACATTCATTCATTCAGCAAATATTTGACTGCCTAATCTATGCTAAGTTATGGTGACACAAGTAAAATAAAGCAGAACCTGCACCAAAATTCATAGCGTAGTATTGAAGGCATACAGTTAATGGTTTAAATAGAAATGTGCATAGGTTCTGCACATGCTTTAGAAATTTAGCATTGTTTTATTGTTTTAATTAGTAACATGTTCAGTAGATATGTTTAGGGTGCCCAAATGCTTACTGTGATCAGATGTGGCCTCTTGCAGAGCTCATCTCAGTAAATAGGCATTTTCCCTGGGGAGAGAACATTCTAAGCAGAGTGGAACAAACATAGTACATAGAGGTACACTTGAGAAGTAGTTACTTATACCCAGAAGATAGGTTTCATGGGGCAAATGCAAATAATGAGGCCAGAAAGCTAGAAAAGTTCTGTATGGCTTACTATGCCAGATATTGCCCTAAGCATTTTACACTTTAACTCATTTAATTCTCAGAGTAATCCAAAGAGGTGTGGTTACTACCATTACCCTCATTTTATGTCTATGAAATGGTCCTGGAAGAACACACTAGGCCACCAGAAAGGGTAAAACATTATTTAACCTATTACATCATTCTTGGACCATCCTTAAAAGTTATTCCATTTATACCTTTGTTTCTTCTTGATCTATATCTAGCTCTAGTTTAATATATTGATAACTTTTTATCTTCACCCAAGGACATGCTTAGAGAGAGGAAGGGAGAGAGAAAGAGAAAGATCAGTGTGAGAGAAACATCAATTGATTGCCTGCTGTATGCTACCCTGACTGGGAATCAAACTGGCAATCTTTTGATGCACAGGACAACGCCAACTGAGCCACTCTGGCTGGGCTACATTGAAACATTTTTTAAATGAAAAATTAATTTATACAGTATAGTAATAAGTCTGTATTGAGGATTAGTAAATGGTACTGTATCAATGTTAAGTTTTCTGATTTTGATAACTATACTTTGGGTATGTAAGAAAATATTCTTAGAAAATGCACACTGAAGTGTTTAAAGATAATGGTCATGATATCTGCAACTTACTGTCAAAATAACTGCATTTCAGTCTATTGCTAGGGCTGCTGTAACAAAGTACAATAGATAACAGAGATTTATTTTCTTTTTTAAAAAAATACATATTTATTTCAGAAAGGAAGTGAGAAGGAAAGAGATAGAAACATCAATGATGAGAGAGAATCAGCTGCCACCTGCACCTCCCCTACTGGGGATTGAGCCCACAACCTGGGCATGTGCCCTTTACCAGAATAGAACCTGGAACCCTTTAATCTGAAGACCAACACTCTATCCACTGAGCCAAACTGGCTAGGGCAAGATTTATTTTCTTACTGTCTTGGAGCATAAATGTTCAAGTCAAGGTGTCCACCAGGGTTGGTCCCTTCTGAGGGTATGTCTCCTTGGCTTATAGATGGCTGTCTTTTCCCTACGTCTTCCCATGGTCCTTTTGTCTCTCTTCTTAAAAAGATGGCCATATTGTATAACAGTGCACCCTAATGTGCTCATTTGATCTTAGATACCTTTATAAAGACCCTTTCTCCAAATATAGTTAGTCACATTTTTAGGTATACTGAGGATTTAGACTTCAATATGTGGACTTTGTGGGCACACAATTCAGCCCATAACAGTACTGTTGAATTTTTGTACTTTTATTTTATATCCCACAACTTTCTTAAACCCTATTACAAATACTAATCTATGTGTACACTCTTTGAATATTTTTTTTTACACACAGAGGTCTACAATCTGCAAAAAATGCCAGGTTCTTTCATTTCTTTTATCAATACTTACACCTTGTATTTCTTTTTCTTGCATTTATGCACTGTCTGAGACTCCTGTTACAGTGGTATATTAAAGAAGTAATTGGCCACCTTGTCTTGTTCTAATCTTATAAGGCAGTGGTCGGCAAACTGTGGCTGGCGAGCCACATGCGGTTCTTTGGCCCCTTGAGTGTGGCTCTTCCTAAGCCTTAGGAGTACCCTAATTAAGTTAATAACAGTGTACCTACCTATATAGTTTAAGTTTTAAAAATTTGGCTCTCAAAAGAAATTTAAATCGTTGTACTATTAATATTTGGCTCTGTTGACTAATGAGTTTGCCGACCACTGTTATAAGGAGTGCCTTCAGTGTTACATAATTTAATGTTAGCTGTGGGGTTTTTGTAGTTATCCATTGTCAAGCTATGGCTGTTCCTTTCTGTTTTGGGTTATAATAGGTAGTAATTATGAATGGCAGTCATGCTTTTTCTATATCTATTGACATCAGATCATATTTCACTTTTCATGTGAATATATAATATTATCTTAACCTATTTTTTAAAATATATTTTTATTGGTTTCAGAGAGGAAGGGAGAGGGAGAGATAAATAGAAACATCAGTGATGAGAGAGAATCATTGATTGGCTGCCTCCTGCACAGCCCCCACTAGGGATCAAGCCTGCAACCTGGGCGTATGCCCTTGACCAGAATTGAATCTGGGACACTTCAGTCTACAGGCTGAAACTCTATCCACTGAGCCAAACCTGCTAGGGCTGTTTATCTATTTTCCAGAGCTAACCCAACCTTTTGTGCCTGGAATAAATCCAGCTTGGTCATGATGTGTTGTATTTTGTATCCCTTACTAGGTTTGAGTGGCTAGTTTTTGTTCAGGATTTTGGCATCCATGTTTCAGTGACATTGGCTTGGAATTATTCCTTCGTATATTGTCCTATTCTAATTTTGATATCAAGGCTTTGTAAGCTTCATAAAATATGTTGGGGATTCTTCTTAATTTTCTCTTCTCTAGAATAATTTATGTAAGATTAAAATTAAATGTTTACTGAATGTTTAGTAGAACTTAACATATAAAGCCACCTGGTTTTCCTTATGAGAAGATTTTCAGTAACTGACTGAATTTAATGAATTTATTCCATTTTTTTTCTATTCTGTTGGTAAATTATGCTTTTAAGAAATTCATTTTTTAATTTATTTATTTTTTAATTAAAACTTCTGAGTTTTCCAAATAATTGCCATGAAGTTTTTTGTAATATCATGTTACTCTTCTTCTTCTTCTTTTTTTTATTGATTTCAGAGAGGAAGGGAGAGGGAGATAGAAACATCAATGATTAGAGAGAATCATTGATCGGCTACCTCTTGCACACGCCACACTAGGGATCAAGCCTACAACCCGGATATATGCCTTGACTGGGAATCAAACTGTGACCTCCTGGTTCATAGGTCAATGCTCAACCATTGACCCACACCAGCTGGGCTATCATGTTTCTCTTAATCTCTGAATCATTTGCTATTTCTAATAGTTTTGGTGCCAGAATGTTTCCAGAAATTTATCAGTAAATTATTTTAAATAACTAATTTTTGGCTTTTCATGCTTTCTGTTGTGTTCATTTTCTGTTTCCTTTATTTTTTTTATTTCTACTTCCTTTGGGTTTATTCTTTGTCTAAAAATGTTTAGATTGCTCATTAATTTCCTTATAAGTTACCACTCAAGCTGCATCTTAAGGAGTTTTGTGGTTATTACTAGGTTTAAAATATTTTCTAAGATGTGTTCTTAATATCCAAACATGATATTTTTCTAGTTATTTTTTTTTTACTATCGATTTAGCACTTCATTGCAGTGTGGTGAGAGTATAAATAATGGTTTGTGATGCCATCTTTTGAAATTTGTTAAGCCTAATATTTGCTCAGTTTTCAAGTATTCCTGCAAAGTATGAGTATTCTCCGACCACTAGATATACATTCAATATATGCCCATTAGCCCAACATGCTTACTCAACATGGTATTCATTTTATCTGTACTTAGTGCTGAATAAAATCTAAACGTAAAAGCTCTTATAGTAATGGTAAACTATTTGTCTTTATGTAGAGCGGTGAGACTGAACGGCAGTATAAAGGAACTGTAGACTGCTTTGTGAAGATATACAAACATGAAGGAGGCGTTGCATTTTTTCGTGGTGCCTTCTCCAATATCCTTCGTGGTACAGGGGGCGCTTTAGTGTTGGTATTATATGATAAAATTCAAGAATTCATTAATATTGGTAGTGGAGGTAGTTCATAGGAGATTGAGAAATGCATACATTTAACTTGTTAAACATACAAATTATATAGCTGCCATTTGTATATATTTTGATAGTTTGTTATTACTGTCAGCATTTTTTAAAGTGGTAATTCTACAATAAAGCATAAGCTTTTTCAAGCATTTAAATAAAAATCAGATAAATGTGGGTTTCCTTCCCACTAAGACTCAAACTCACTTTACTGAGACATTTTACTTAGTAAATGTTATTTTTATTAGTTAAAATCTTTTTCTTTTGTGATGAAAAATTAAAAAGTATAATGTTAAAATATAAGAAATTAAAGTTCTTAAAAAATGCTATTATTTTAATGTAATTGTCTTCCCTTCTTTTAAAATCATATGACATATTTCTTTAAAGCTTATCAGAAGATGTCATCATTATATCTTTGGGCATAAGTAAGCTTTCTTCAACATCTCTACTAAAACAGCTCAGTTTATTACTAAGTATAGTGGTTATGGTATTATATAGCTTTTAATAAACCCAGATTCTGGGTCTCATTTAAAAAAACCTGATAATGACATTAATGACACTATAAACCTGTAGTTGGGAAAAAAGAGATACAAAATGGCATATATCTGCTAACTTTTTTCTTTAAATAAAATCTTGCTAATGTGAATATATCTTGGAACAGAAAAAGTCCCCTAAAAAATTAGTTTGTGTATCTGGTATTAATAAAGTAAGTTTAAAGGTTATATCTGAGCTTTTTTAAAAATTAATCTTTATTGTTGAAAGTATTACAGATGTCTCTCTTTCTTTTCCTCATTGGTCCCCTCCTCCCCCATCTCTTCCCCTCCCCAGGCCTTCACCATACTATGGTCTGTGTCCATGAGTTATGCATATCCTATATAATAAAGAGGTAGTATGCAAATTGACAATCATGCCATCACACAAAACGGCCGCCCCCATGTGATCACAAGATGGCCAGCAGGGGAGGGCAGTTGTGGGCGATCAGGCCAGCAGGAAAGGGCAGTTGGGGGAGACCAAGCCTACAGGGGAGGGCAATTGGGGGGGGGGACTGGGCCAGCAGGGGAGGGCAATTGGGGGCGACTGGACCTGCAGGGGAGGGAAGTTGGGGGTGATTGGGCCGGCAGGGGAGCAGTTAGGCATTGATCAGGCTGCCAGGGGAGTGGTTAGGGGGTGATCAGGCTGGCAGGCATAAGCGATTAGAGGTAATTAGGCAGGCGAGCAGTTGGGAGCCAGCAGTCCCGGATTGTGAGAGGGATTGGGCCTAAACCGGCAGTTGGACATCCCCCAAGGGGTCCCATATTGGAGAGGGTGCAGGCTGGGCTGAAGGACACCCCCCCCTCCCAATGCACGAATTTCGTGCACTGGGCCTCTAGTATGCATATAAATTCTTCAGTTAACCTCCACCTGCTGCCCCCTCCCCTTCCCTCTGAGAATCCTCAGTTTGTTACATGCTTATGGCCATGTTACCCTCCACACATGGACTATTAGACTTTAATTAGCTTGGATACTAAGCTACTCCCACTGTAACATGGAAAGGAAGCTCCAGATACAGGCCTGCTCCTGGAACCCCAGCTACACCTTTTCCAGGACTGGCTTCTCCCAGTAAACTTTGGTTCTATTAATCGTTTTTGTCCACAACTTCATTCTTCAATTTCGTAAGACATTGAACTGGACTCAAACACCCACATTTTTTGTTTCAGTGGGGAAAGAAAAGAGGGACATCTGTAATACTCTCAAATTTTTTTAAATGACTCTATTTTTTATGTTTTTATTGATTGTAGAGAGGAAGGGAGAGGGAGAAACATCAATGTGAGAGAGAAACATTGAACAGCTGCATAGGACCAAGCCCACAACCCAGGCATGTGCCCTGATTGGGAATTTAACTGGTGTCCTTTTGATGCATGGGATGATGCTCAACTAACTGAGCCACACTAGCCACAGTCTCATTTCATAAAAATACATATTTTTTTATTGATTTCAGAGAGGGAGGGAGAGAAAGAAACATCAATGATGAGAGAATCATTGATTGGCTGTCTCCTGCACACACCCCCATGGGGATCGAGCCCACAACCCTGGCATATGCTCTAACCAGGAATTGAACTGTGACCTGGTTAATAGGTTGAAGCTCAATCACTGAGCAATGCTGGTCTGGCCAGGTCCTCATTCTTGAAAAGGTAAACTTCTTTCCTACAAGATAAAGACTTATTATCATGGCGTACAATATCCTTCATGATCTAGCTCAACTTCAGCTGTACATCATATCTGCCCTAGGCACCACAGGCATACAAGTAACTTCTGATTCCTCAAATACAGTATGTTTTTTGATACTTTTGTGCTGTTGCACTTGTTGGTATTTTTATGTCATTTATTTTCTTTGTAGAGTTAAATAACATGCCTAAGGCCCTACTGCTAGTAAGTTAGGCAAGCCTGGGACTACAACTCTCTTTGACCCCCAAAGCCTGTTATGCTTCTAGCCACTAGGTACGCTCATTTCCTCCCAGGAAATGTAAAGAATGTGGTAACAATCTCTTGCTCCTGGCCTCAACTATTTACTTTTACTCTGGTATTTTAAGTGTGTTTTTTTTTAATAGAAAAATCATTCTCACACCCTCGTTATACAGACAGAAAGCATGGGTAATTATATGGCCCTAGGAGATTCAGGAGATTCTGGGATAAATCTAAGTGGTGGGCCCAAGAGGATGATGGCTGCATAGGCAACTGAGGGAGAGGGTCAAAGCCACGTGCCACTGGGGGCGGGTTTCTGTGGGGAGCCCAATAGCCAATCCCCATTGTGCTCGCGCACTGGCCCACGGGAGGCCCCTCCCCAGCCTGCGGTGTCCCTGACAACGGCAGCGATGTCCACCAGGAGCTCCAGTGAACTTGGGAAGGTGTGACTCCCTAATGTAGAAAGACCAGAGTCAAAGCAGTACTGTACATTCCAGGTTCTCAGTATTGCCTTGAAAATGGACTTCACGGTTTTTATAGCAATAGCAGCAGGAGTTATAGCCACACTTGCTGCTGCTGCTGTTGTAGCATTGATAGTAGCAAAAAGCATAAATTCTTTTAAGAAGTGGACAAATAATGACAATACGAGCACTGGAAAATTTGGTGAAACCGTCAATTTCAAGATTGAAACCAGTAGGAAACAGGATAAAGAATCGATCGAGAAGGAACAGAAAATATCCGAAGAATTAGTAGAAGAGGAACAGAGAACATCCCAAGAATTGGGTGAGAAGGGCCAGGAATCATATGAAGAATTGGGCAAGAAGGAACAGGAACCCCATGAAGACTTGAACCAGAAGGCACAGGACAGCCAAGCTCCGTAAGTGTAAACTATGACTTGGTTAATTTCAGAAGGACAGACAGCAGATGCTGATCACGGGAGAGGGACACAGGGCTGGGCCACACCAGGCTGCTATCCCGCCCCCTACAGGGCAGGTGCTGGAGGGAAGCCCTGGCTTGCCCGGTGTAGTGGTGGCGGACACACAGAAGTCACTTTTCTGAAAAACCGGTTTTTGGCGGCAAGGGTTAGTGGAGGGGACTGCATCTTTAGAATGGGGCGAAGGAAGGTACATGGAGGGGAGGTTGTCAGTGTGCTGGTTTCTTGACCGTTTCGTTTGGGGTATTTCAAGCCCTGGTAAGGAGAAAGAAAACACACACACACACCAAGATCTATCTGTTGAGTCGGCTTTCACAAAGGCATTGAAGTGAAAAGGCCGCTTTCCCCCTGTCGGCGGCGCCCTTGGGAGAGGCGGCCGCGCTGCACAATGGGCGCGACCTCACAGAGCCGAGCGCGGCGGGCGGCACGTGGGCCCCTCGGGACGGCGAGGCGGCGGCTGGGTGCTGGGCTGCGGTTGGCCCTGAAAGGCTGGGGGCCCGTCTCGGTGGCATCCCGGCGCTGTGCCAGGCCCGGGTTGCCAACCACAGCCCAGGGCCGCCTCCGAAGCCGCGGGGCGGAGCGCCGGGCGGGGGCGCCGCTCCCCGAGCCAGCCGCAGTGCTCCCGGCCGCCGCGCGAGGGCGAGCGAGCCAGCGCCGTTTCCTGCCTCCTCCCCGATCCTCCGGCTCCGCCTTCCCATTCCTCCCCGCCCCCCGTCCCCCCGCCCCCCGGCTGGCTCAGCCTCCTCCATTTTCCAGATCTTTCTCGAACCCGCAGCTCCACGAGCGGCCGTTGCCCGAGCGCTGACGGAAGCGGCCGAAGCAGCGGCTCGCGCGTCTCCCGGGAGGCCGAGCGCGCAGGCTCAGAGCTCGGTAACTGCCGGTTGGAGACGCCGACCCGCAGCGGAGAGACCCCGGCGGCGGAGGCGGCGGTGCGGAGACCTCTCCCTCTCCGCGGTTGTCGGACGCGCTGCCCCCGATTTAAAGCGTAGCGACTTCAGGTCACCTCTCCTTTGCTTCTCGTAGGAGTCGCAACCCCAGGAGCCACAGCCCAACAGAGGACGCGGCCCCCACCCAGGAGCTTTCGGCACCAGCATCCCGACGACTCGGCGGCGGGATGTCTGTGGTTGGCATTGACCTCGGCTTTCTCAACTGCTACATCGCGTAGGGGGGGGGGGGGGGCATCGAGACCATCGCCAACGAAGTACAGGCGACAGGTGTACCCCGTAAGTGCCATGTCCGGTCCTCATCGGGAGGCGCGCCGAACCCCGGGGTGACAGGTGCAGCTCGGCGAGCCAGGGGGGCATCGGGCTGCCCGCCCCGCCCAGCACCCCAGCACCGGGACTTCACTGGCAGTTTGCGCATCGCTACTTTCTGTTCCCTAGCGGCCCTGCTTTCGTTTGTGGCAAGGGGTTGGGGTGGGACGCCCTGAATATTACAGAAAGATCTCCCATTAGTTCTTTCTAGTGGGGCTTGCGGGAAATTTTCGGCCCCGGGAGCCCCCCCCCCCCCCGCCCCCGCCAGCTGAGTGAAAGAATTCTGCAATTCATTCTGCCCTTCCTGCTTTCCCCGTCTCTCTCTGCGTGACAGCTTTCTCGCAGGAAAGTAAGAAATGAGAGCTTAGACTGCACACATGAGAAGATGAGTTATAGGGTCATCTGGCCCAGAAATCTTTTTTCCCCCATTTTCTTTCTTTCTTTTTTCTTTTCTTTTTTTTTGGAACCAGTTGCGGTGTGCAGGGTTTTCCCCCAGTGTCCTTGAGAATTCCAGGTAATGGCCCGGTTTCCAGGGGCGTGTGTATTAACACGGATTAATAGGAGAGAATTGGGGATGGGAGTCGTTGGCCTCTTGTATGGGTAATGTACATCCTTTAATGGGAAATGGTGGAGTTAGACTCTATCCAAAGCGTATTTCTGCAGAATGAATTGTTGGGAGAGTCGGAGGCGGCTGTCCTGTATAAACATGCTTGAAGAGTGACTGTGTTGTGAACACTTGATGAAAGACTTAAAAGAAGTGGCATTATGTCATGGAAACATGTTCCATTGTTTCTTTGGTCTGGGAAGTTTGTTGGTGAAAAACATAATAGTAATTAGGGCAGGGATATGAAAAATTGGCTTCGTGTTATAAGCTCCTGTTACCGGTAATTTTATGAGGAAACCAAGTTTCCATGTCTTACCTTCTATGGACAAGTAACTAAACATGTTAATTTGATCTTTCCGAATGACCCAAAATATAATAAATATAAAACTAATCTTAACCAACATCAGTGTTAAGCTAAGCCTTTAAATAATTAAATTACTGCAATTCTATGAATAATTTTTAAATATGTCAAGATGTCTAAGAGTAGCTTACTTGAAGCAGTCTGCTTTGGTTTCTTTGAAGAATATTCTAGAAGGTTTTATATAACCTTTTCCAGATATGCACTATATTTCTATTGAAATTTTGGGTCTTTATATACTCAAATATGAGCTTAGGTCAGTTAATCTTCATAGTACTGTTAGAACTCTTCTTTTTACATTTAAAAATGTTTTCCATGTTCTAGTTGTCAAGCTAACATGACACAGATATTTCTAAGATATAAATATATTATGAAAGGATTCTATGGAAAAGAGGATATTCAGTTGGTTCAGCATCCATATAATTTGCACATTTGTTTCATTTTTTAACATACTTGATTATGTATAAATGAGAGAATACTGTGTGTAAACCAAGGACAGTTCAATGAAACAAATAATTGCTTAATTTTGGCCTACAATTAAAGGACGGAGGCCAGGTAATTTAACATATTAATTCTTTAGACTTCACCTTTGTAAAGTTGGGAGTGCTTATACTAGCCTCTCATGTCGTGCATAAATTGAAGAGGGAGAAAGAAATTAACAGACATAAATTGAAATTAGCTTAATTTTTCTGAAAATTTTCTTAAAAGAATAATTATACAAGAAGTACATGCTTATTGTAGAAATATGGGCACATTAAAAGATGAAATTAATAATTATAATTATTCCACCCAGAAATAAAACTTGCATGGTTTTCCCTGCGTGTGGTTTAAGAATAGATTACACTTTATATTCTGTTTGGTAACCTCATTCTATCTAAAACATATCTTTACACTAATTTTAGCATTTTTATCATTTCCTTAATTTAATCTATCCCTTATTGGACATTCAGATTGTTTATATATATTTTTATAAACAATATAACTATCTTTGTAACTAAAAATTTTTTAAGTAGCTAATCTTTACTGGAATTTTTATGTGGCAGATACTAAGCTAAGATCCTTCTATTTTAGAGAGAGGAAGGGAGAGGGATAGATGGAAACATCTATCAGGTACATGGCCCATTCACCCTAGTAGGGATCGAGCCTGCAACCTAGGCATATGCCCTAAACAGGAATCGGACCATGACCTCCTGGTTCATGGGATAATGCTCAACTACTGAGCCACACTGGCCAGGCTAGAACTAAATTTTTTACTTTTAATTCCTTCAAATAAATTTCTAGAAATAGAATTAATATGTGTACATTTGAAAGGCCTTAGATATGTTTGTACTGTTCAATTAAGTATACAGATGGGGATTGGAATTTCCATTCCAGGCTTAATTATATCAAAGTAATTAGTTTCAACGTAGGAAAAGAAACTGCAGCCAAAGATCCTCATTCAATATCAGATTAAAGCACGTGGTCAACTAAAACATTCTGCCATGTTGATAATAGTGCTTGCACTATCATACATACCTCACTAATTCTATTAGTTTGGTATTAATAGCTATCTTTTTTCATAAGAAACCTAAAGCAGAGTTAAGAATTTTTGCCAAGAACTAGTAAGCAATAAAAGATTCAGTTCAAGCCACTTTGATTCCAGAACCCCAATGTGCTTCCATTATCCATTCACATATACAGACTAGGTTACTGGGGATGTAATGATCAAAGGGATAAATTACCTGGGCAGTTACTGTACTGAGAAACATCTTTGCTCTAATAACAAACTCATCTATTTTTGGCTAGTTTCTAAGAAATACTATCTTTTTAAAAAATGTTTTAATATACTTTTAAGTTATTTTAATAACACAGAAATTTATTTTGTTTAAAAAATCATAAAAAACATAACACAAAATATGTTAGTATAAACATAAAGGAAAGTAGTGTGGAAGACTACTAGTATAAACTATTAACAATGGCTGTTTCTTGGAAGTAGAATTAGGGAGGGTGTGCTTTTAATACATAGTCTGTAATGTTTTGAATTCTTACGAATGAACATATTTTACAATGAGGAAAACTGATTTTTTGAATGAAACTATTATTTCAAGATATTTTTGTTAGGTGTATTGTTTTATCATCAAAATTTTGTGTGAACAGACTTATTATTCAGTGCCCTGACTTTCTGTCTCTATTATTTTCCCCTATTTCTTTACCAGTGTGTGAATAACCTGACAATATGGGAAAATATTATTTATACATTACATCTCATATATTTGGGATGTCCTCTTCAATGCACAAAAGTAGAAATCACTTACTTTGGGGTATTACAATTTTTTTACATCAAAAATGCCAAACTAGCCCTGGTGAGGATTTTTTTTTTTTTAAGTAAAAATAGGAAACCAAGCTAAACAGATTAACAGTGATTATAGTTGGATAGGAGACTTTATAGTGATGCGTTTTGGGGGGAAGAGGAGGCTTTTATGTTTTTTTATTAAATATTCTTTGTATTATATGAATTGCTTTTGTTTGTATATTTTACTATGAGCTTATGCCATAGTTGATTTAAAATGCTGAGCCCAGAAGGCATGGCTCAGTGGTTGAGCATCGATGATTCAATTCCTAGTCAGGCCCGGGTTACAGGTTCCATCCCCATTGTGGGTTGTGCAGGTCTCTCTCCCTCTCCCTTCCTCTCTGAAATCAATAAAAATATATTTTTAAAAATAAAAATAAAAGATAAAGTGCTGAGGAATTACACAAAGTAAATCTTCCCCTTTGTCCTTTTCCAACCACCTCTTAAGTGTGTACTATGTTCCTAGTTTTATGCAAGTATGTGAGCATATGTACATAACTGGGATGTTTTTCTATTTGTTTCTTAACCAAGTAGAATTACATTTACACATTTTGCAGTTGCTTTTTAAAAAGTATATTGTGGACATCTCAAACTTGTACATAAGGCTCTAATTTACCTTTTTAATGGCCATAAAGTATAGAAACTCTGCCTGTTAGTGGAAAATTCAAAATATTATTTTTCTGTTGACAAACAAAAATTCAATGAACACCTTCACTTTTTTAAAAATCAAATTGTGCTGAGATGGGTGGTAGGGCAGACTTCTCACACTTTAGCATGCCAAAGCTAGGACTATAAAAACATTTTATTTTATGATTACTTTTATCCTCACTCAAGGGTATGGTTTTGTTGATTTAAGAGAGAGATGAAGGGAGAGAGAAGGAGAAGAGAGAGTGAGGAGGGGAGAGAGAAGGAGGGGAGAGAGTAAGAGGAGAGAGTGAGAAAGAAAGAGAGAGGGGGGGAAGGGGTGGGGGAAGGGGAAGGGAAGAAGAGAAAGGAGAAAGGAAACATTGATCAGTTGCCTCCCATAGATGCCCTGACCAGGGATCAAACCCAAAACTTTGCCCTAACCAGCTTGGCTCAGTGGATAGAGCGTCGGCCTGCAGACTGAAGTGTCCCAGGTTCGATTCCGGTCAAGGGCATGTACCTGTGGGCATATCCCCAGTAGGGGGTGTGCAGAAGGCAGCTGATCAATGTTTCTCTCTCATTGATGTTTCTAACTCTCTATCTCTCTCCCTTCCTCTCTGTAAAAAATCAATAAAATATATTTAAAAAAAAAAACTTTTAGGTACACGGGATGATGCTTCCAACTAACTGAGCCACCTGTTTATCTTTTAGTAGAATATTAGCTACAACAAAACAAAATAAATCTTCACTCATTGCCTTGAATTTGTGGGTGAGAAATTCTATAAGGTTTCTAGAAGGCCAGGAATGATAAATACAAATTGCATAATATCTGAGTTTAAGATATTTAAAATGCCATTGGTAGTCTTTGTTGGTATGTGGTTGGTCACTACAGTATACATTAATGAATAGAACCATGTTTTGATAAAACTTTATTTACAAAAGTTGGGGGCAAGTAGTAATTTGCAAAGTGGTCTAGAATTTTCAATTTATTGTGTACTGTTACTTGTTTTTGAACTGGTAGATTTTTAAGTAAAAATCTCTAATCTAATAATCTAATAGTTAAATAATATGTCTAATGCATCTAATCAACTTTTCAAACATTGTCTCTATGTAAATGTTTATGATTTCTATTAATGGTTTCAAGTTATGAACTAATTTATTTTTGAATTATGCTTACTAAACGCATTTGGAAGCTCTTAAATATTTTTAATTTAATATATTTTTATTGATTTCAGAGAGGAAGGAAGAGGGGGAGAGAGAGAGAGAGAGAGAAACATCGATGATGAGAAAGAGTCACCAATCTGCTGCCTCTACATGCCCCCTACTGGGGATTAGCCCACAACCCGGGATGTTCCCTGACCTGGAATCGAACCACAACCTTCTAGTTCATAGGTCAATGCTCAACACCTGCCAGGCTTAAATAAATTTTTATTATTTTTATATGTTAAAATGTTGTATACATTGTCCATACTGAAAGATTGGCAAGTTTTTATTATTACTAAATATAAGGCCTAAAAGAAGTCCTATTTTTCAAAGAAAGCAAATGGTAATAAGTCCTTTGAGAATATTCCTCCCTCACCTCCTCCTAGGGCAACATTTTTCTAGATAGTTAAGTTTGGAAAATAATAACCAGATATTTTTGTGTTATTTTTATGGCATAACTTCTCAGATCCCTTCATTTACTTATAGCCATTGAAACACTCCAAGAATGTTTTTCCCAACTTATTTGAATGTCTAAGCAATAATATTCCACAGGATAATATTTGAAAAATGATGCAGTAGGTCAGTGGTTCTCAACTGGAAGAGATCCCCCCCCCCCCCCACCTAGGGCACATCTGACAATATCTGAAGATATTTTTCTTTGATACACTGGAGGTAGAGAGAGGTTAATGCTACTAGCATCCAGCAAGTAGAGTCCAGGGATGCTTTTAAAATCCTACAGTGCACAGAATACCCCCACTCTGCCAACAAAGAATTGTCTAGCCCAAAGTGTCAATAGTGCCAAGGCTGCTTTATGGACATGTTGGCAATCATAGTTGAAATTGGCAGTGTAAGGAGCTAACCCCTTAATTTAAAACAGTTGATTGCCCTCTCGTATCATTAATTGAGCTATTGTGTTTCTTAGAGTCTACTCAATGATAGAAGATGAAGCTACAAATAGTAATTGTGATCTTATAAAAACTGGCAAGGGAAGGTCAGATTTTTAAAAATAGGGCTATATTAAAAGTGTAAGTGGTAAATCAGTGCATTTTGAAAGAAGCAAAGAAATTTAGAGTGCTGACCTCTTAAGTGAGAAATCTCTTATTCTGCTGGCAGTATGTGTTTCCTCCAACCTAATCAAGCATGTCCTTATAAAAATAGGCTCTATAAGAGAGAGGGAAAGTTCATCTTAAATTTTAAGGGAAAATATAACTTTCTTAAAGTAATATACTGTCATTTGATTTTTATGTCCCTCCTCTACTAAAAATGACATAGGACATTTAGAAGTTCTGTTTGTTTGTTTAGAGTTCTGTGGCATTCTCTGGGAATCTGTGAAGGCCAATATAGTGACAATATTAAATTGAATATTATGGATTTAAGCTGCATTGTAAACACCTTTTTTTTTAGGTACAAAATGGAATTTCTAAATAGTAGCTGAAATAATCTATAAAAGTGTTATATATGTGAATTATATGTTATACATTTGTATAAACAATTGAATATCCTTTCCTATAAAAACTTATATCTGCCTAATATGTGATATAAAGTGTCCATTTCCTTTGTTATCACTAAAGTTAGGTAAAAGTTTTGAGAGCAAATGGGTATTTATTTAGATATTTTTTAAAATCCTTGACAGATATTTATTTAGTGGTTATGTTCTATAATATTTTTGACAGAAAAATTAAAGAAAGGTGTTTGAAGACCTTTAGCTATATTTTCTATATATTGACTATTTCCAAGTTATAACATTAAATTTTTTAAACTTTATATTTCTACTCTTAACTGAAGAGAATATCTGATTATGGTAATTGTTTAGCTTTCTCTGTGAGGTAATGTATATGTGAAGTATATATCAAAGAATCTAGCACTTACTTAATAAGTGATAGTTGTTGAATCAATCTTATTTGGATCTAGTGTTCTAAAAGAAGTTAAACTCTTGAGAAATCAACCTAAGAATGAGATTTTCTGTGCACTCAAGTAATGGTGGTGAAGTATTGAAAAGTTAAAAATTATTCAGGAGATTACTGTGCTGAGTGAAATAAGCTAGTCAATGAGAGACAAATACCATATGATCTCACTTATATGTGGAATCTAATGAACAAAATAAACTGACCAACAAAAGAGAAACAGAGGCATGGATACATGGAACAGACTGACAGCTGTCAGAGAGAAGGGGAGAGGGGGACTGGAATAAAGAAGGTGAAGAGATTAGCCAAAGAACATATACGCATAACCCATAGACACAGACAACGGTGTGGTGATGGCCAGAGGGAAGGTTGTAAGCAGAGGACTTTGCTGACCTTAGTCTTTAGGAGAATTCTCTGGGTATCATATTGAGAATAGACGTATAATATATACCGGAAATGTCCTCAGCAAAACACATATTAAAATGCTTTCTCTTCTTTTAAGCTTTTATTCAGAAATCACCTTTACTACTAGCTTTTTCTAAACCTTATTATCTAGATGTGATTAGTCTCTTTTTTTTTTTTGCTAATGTCACTCATAATCATATTCTGATTTTTTTAATAGACTGTAAATTATCCAAAGAGTGATTGTAGCTAGTATGCACACAATGCCTGTAACTATTTGTTAATTAAATAAATAGTTACCTTAGTTACAATGGAAATCATGGAAATACTTTCTTGAATCATTACATTATTGATAATAATGTTACTCTATACTTGCTTTTATAAGCAGAATTACATGTAAATGCAGAAATAAAAACAGTAATTGTATTGTTCAAAGCATTTACCTATACTCACTTAATTAATACAGTCCTATGAGCAGGTGTTACCATTACTATCTGCCAGATGGGAAACTGAGGAAATAATGGTTAGGTGATTTCCACAAGGTTATTTACTTGTTATGTAACAGAGCCAGGATTTAGATCCAAGCAGCCTGTCCTTACTGAATACAGTTAGTTTTATTTATTTTTTATTTTTGTTAATCCTCATCCAAGTATATTTTTTCCATTGATTTTTAGAGAGTGGAAGGAAGGAAGGGAGGGAGGGAAGAGAAGATCAGAGAGAGAGAGAGAGAGAGAGAGAGAGAGAACATCAATGTGAGAGAGACATATCAATTGGTTGCCTCCTGCACACTCCCCTGCTGGGGCTGGGAATTGAACCTGAAGCCTAGGTATGTGCCCTTGAATAGGAATTGAACCCGTGACCTTTAGGTGCCAGGGCTCATGCTGGAACCACTGAGTAATACCGAGCAGGGTGAATCCAGTTTAATTTTATTATTAAGTCATAAACCAATAGAATTTGAAAAACAATTTTAGAAACCAACACAGTGTTGCCACCAATAGAACATTTTTAAAAAGTATAACATTTATTCTAACTATTCCATTTCTTATGAAAGTTTAAAAATATGTAAAATTCTGATTTTAGATAACCTCTTTTTAAAATAGTACATGATTATATTAATCCTTTTAATTTATTTTTATATAAGGTGAAGTGGAATAATAGCACATTGATATAAAAACACCATGGGAAACAATATTGTTTTTTTCCCCTTTTAGGGCCTGTATATCTTTGGGATCAAGAAATAGAGCCATTGGAAATGCAGCTAAGAGCCAGGTAAATTGTTAATGTAGATGTTTTGATTTATTGAGACAATTAACTGAATCTTGGTAACTGAGCTCCCATTTTACATAAATTAAGAGTGAAAACAAAGAGTAGGGAAAATATGATAGATACTAAACCTTTGTATTTTATTATATATATTTTGCTTTGGTTTATAAAATATTTTTAAATTTTATTTATTAAAAATCTTTAGTTGTGAAGTTAGGATGTGCCATCATATAGCATCAGTTTTTCACTGTATAGTCATTTTCTATGGGATATCCTATCTAGAACATATACTTCAATAACAAGTGAGTGATGTCTTGGTAAAAGAAGGTAGGAAGAATGGAGGAACTAATTTCCAGAGGAACCCAATGTGGCTACCAGTACTTTACATGGAATCTGTTTAAGTCTTCATATTTCTAGACTTCTGAAATACTTATGGTAGCACATTCATTTTTAATGTTCCAGGCTACAGGTTCATTGTCCATGGACTTTGTTTTTTGCCCTGAACTAAATGCCCTTAATAATTACTTTTCAAATTTTAATGTATGCCTGGGTCTTCTTTTCTTCATTATTAAGATAAATTTGTTTAATAGGGCTTTTTCTTCATGACTTTGTAGGAATAATTGCTCATTTATCCAGGAATTTTTGCTTACAATTTTTATCAAGTTTGTCTTATAATTGGTCTAGATATGAATATGTTTGTATCTTCTACTTTCATCTGTATATAAAAAAGCCTAAGCAGCCATCCGGTCATTTGATTGCTTGACCGGTAGCTATGATGCGCACTGACCACCAGGGGGCAGACACTCAACACACAGGCATGGCAACATGGAACAGACTGATGAATTTCAGAGGGAAGGGCGGAGGGAGAAGGGTAGGAAGAGATTAACCAAAGATCTTATATGCATACTGGAGGCCCAGTGCATAGATTCATGCACCGGTGGGGTTCCTTGGCCTGGCCTGCGAGGATTGGGCCGAAATTGGCAGTCCAAAATCCCTTGAGAGGTCTCCGATTGCAAGAGGGCGCAAGCCAGGCCAAGGACCCCACCGGTGCACGAATCTGTGCACCGGTCTCTAGTTTGTACATAAATGTTGAGTTGGTTCCAAAATGACCCCTTCACTAAAGTTTACATCTCATATTCTGGCTGATCTTCTAAGTGTATCATAGATATCAGAGTCTCTAAAAAAAACAAACTATAAAGTTATTTCTCCTATAGAGCTAAAGACCAACATGTTAATTCAGCATTCCTGCAGTTTTCATCTCATAATTGAAGATCAACATCTATTTGGCTTTTAAAGATCACTAAGAGGGCACCAATGGATCTCAGTAATATTCTATTGTTAGAACTACATGTTCTAGTTAAAGAAAAAATAGCTTTGCCAAAGTACAAGCCATTTACTAATTAGCACTTTAACTTAGCACCATGCTTCATGGAAGGAGTTTTAATTTACTAGCCTAGGAGCAATTCGTTGTAATCGAAGCAACATAGTAGTACATGAGAAATTTCATAAAGAATTACGTATTCAGAGGAAAAGAAAGAAACATTTTAAGTAAAAAGTGAAAGTGGAAAGAAATAAGAGAAATCAAAGATACTAATTTTCTTGAGCAGCGATTTCAACCTTTTTCATCTTATGGCACACATAGACTAATTACTAAAATTCAGTGGACACCAAAAAAATATTTTTTGCCAATATGACAAAAAAATATATAATTTTAATTTATTTACAAAAATAATAATAATAGTGATTACCTACCCTATTGCTCCAAAGTGATTTTTTAAAAACTCAGGTGCCTATACTTGTATATAAGGAGTTCTGTACCAAGAATTAATCAGTCAGACACAATCAGATGCAACTCTATTATATGACCTATATATTTATGGTTCGAGACAAAGGCATTCACACTAGATTGCTATTGTCATGTTGGCTGTTGTCATTTTTTATTTGACAATCTAAGGGAAAAGGAGGTCAGGTCTTTCATTTTTTAAAAATTCTTGTGGCACACCACTTGAAAATCGCTGTACTAGAGCAAAAGTGTTGAGGAAAACCAGACACAGGTTGTAGATAGGTTTTATTATTTGAAAAATATTTAAATTTTATTCTTTCTTTTTTGAAGGCAGTAATTTTATATCTAACTTTTCTATAAAAGGATGAAAATTTGGGGGGGGGGGGCAATAGTTTAGATGCATATGTTCTCATTGTATAATTTTACTATTAGTAGGAAACCAGAAAAAATGAATGAATGTGTGTAATTCTGCACTTGGATGTGTAGGATAAAGAGACTTAGTGGTTCTCAAGTAATAGCATAGTGTTTTATTTGCATTTATTAAGTAATTGATAAAGTGTTTACTGCCAACAGATAGTCACAAATGTAAGAAATACAATTCATGGCTTCAAAAAGCTTCATGGACGATCATTTGATGATCCTATTGTGCAAACTGAAAGGATCAGGATTCCCTATGAGCTGCAGAAAATGCCCAATGGAAGTGCAGGAATTAAGGTAAGTTTATATTCCCAGAATACAAACATATATTTAAATGAAAGAAACCACTAACTGGTTTGGCTCGGTGGATAGAGCGTTGGCCTGCGGACTGAAGGGTCCCTCGTTTTATTCTGGTCAAGGGCATGTACCTTGGTTGCGGGCACATCCCCAGTAGGAGGTGTGCAGGAGGCAGCTGATCGATGTTTCTAACTCTCTATCCCTCTCCCTTCCTCTCTGTAAAAAATATATAAAAAATATATTTTTTTAAAAAAGAAACCACATTCCATATTTTTTTCTTTATTGTTAGCTAGGAAGTTGAATGATAAAAATTGCTTTTGTGGGAGGTAAGGATATGGAACAGGTAAAGACACTTTGCAGATTATTTGCTTGTAACAATGTGTTAGGCACTGAAACTTCAGAACTAAGAGATTATAACACTAGAACAATCGTTTTGGAATGTAACTTCCTTGAGCAATGACTTTGCCTTTTTCACTGTTGTATATCCAGTATGTATAGTGGAGATTTTCACAGAATATTTATTGGATGAACAAATGACTCAATAAAATTCTCTCAACTTTTGGTTTCAGGTGCGGTACCTAGAAGAAGAGAGACCTTTTGCTATTGAGCAAGTTACTGGAATGCTGTTGGCTAAGCTTAAAGAGACTTCAGAAAATGCTTTAAAGAAACCAGTAGCTGACTGTGTGATATCAGTAAGTTTTACTTCAGTGATGAGTACTCTTGAATCCTGTTTTCCAGTGTACTGTAGTCCTTCCTTATCCATGGGGTTAAGTTTCAAGACCCCCAGTGGATGCCTCAAACCATGATACCAAACCCTATATATGTACTATGTTTTTTGTATACATTCATACCTTTTCTCTTAAAGAAAGGAAGCACTTTACAGCTTCTCTTTGGCATATTCAAATTACCAGCATTACTACTCTTGCACTTTGGGGCCGTTATGAAGTAAAAATAAGGGTGAGTTGAACACAAGCACTGTGGTACCACAACAGTCAATATGTATGATAACTGAGATGGCTACTATGTGGCCCCTGGGCAGATAGTGTATGCAGCATGGATACTTGGGACAAAGTGATGATTCAGCCAGGCAGGACAGAGCAGGATAATACTAGATTTCATCACACTACTCAGAAGAGCATGCAATTTAAAACTTAAGAATTGTTTATTTCTGGTATTTTCCATTTAGTATTCTCAGACTTTGGTTGACCATGGGTAATTGAAACCGTGGAAAGCAAAACTGTAAATAAGGGAAGCATCCTGTATTAATGTTACATTAAAATGCTTTTCTTCCCTTTCTTTATTGTATCTGCCCTTATCCAGTAAATAAACTAAATCCAGTTTTACTTTTTTGTTGTTGTTAATCCTCACTGGAGGTATTTTTCCATTGATTTTTATTTTATAGAGAGTGGAAGGGAGAGGGCGAAACACAGAGAGGGAAATGTCGATGTGAGAGAGACACATCGATTGGTTGCCTCCCATATGAGCCCTGACTAGGGCCAGGGATTAAGCTTGCAATTAAGGTACATGCCCTTGAACGGAATCAAACCCAGGACCCTTTGGTCCACAGGCCAATCACTCTGTCCACTGAGCCAAACTGGCTTGGGCTCTATTTTTACTTTTACATTAAAAAGAAATTACCTTATTCAGTAAAATTCAGGAGTGAGTTTCCCCAAAATCATTTGTGATAATGAATCTTTAAAAAAATACAACTAATATATGTGATTAGTGGCTGCTGTAAATGTCACTTCTCCCTAAGAATCTTTCCAGGGAGCACTGACTTTCCCACCTCTAGGGACTTGAACATTGTATCTCAAAGGTTGAAAATTCCCACATGGTACTTTGAGAGTGTGAATATTCTGTATCAGAAAGAAGAGATTTATTTTTTAATGATAAATTGGATATATTTCTAAAGTTTTGACATATGCATATACCCATAAAACCATCATCACTGTCAATATAATAAACATATTCCTTTGTGCCTTTTTAAAGATAAAACATGTTGGTTATATAAGCTGTACAATGTGATGCTTTCATATCATAGTGAAATGATTAGTGCTGTCAAGTTAATTAAAATTAAAATATCCACCTCCTCATATGGTTACCTTTTTATTTATTTTGTGTGTATGTGTGTGATGAGAGCACCTGACCTACTTTCTTACAAAATTTCCTTGATACAATATTATAAACTACAGAGCCCGTGTTGTATATTAGATGAACCAATATATTTTTTCATAAGCCAGACCGACATAAGTTGGTTTTATAAGCCAAACCAACATTTTGGAAGTCCTGCAGTATTATTCCATATTATTCCTTGCTTTACAATTGTTTGTACTTTAGGTCACCATCTTATGATATAGAATAGCCAAACTTAAAAAACAAACAAGCTGAGACCGGTTTGGCTCAGTGGATAGAGCGTCGGCCTGCGGACTGAAAGGTCCCAGGTTCGATTCCGGTCAAGGGCATGCACCTTGATCGTGGGCACATCCCCAGTGGGAGATGTGCAGGAGGCAGCTGATCGATGTTTCTCTCTCATCGATGTTTCTAACTCTCTATCTCTCTCCCTTCTTCTCTGTGAAAAATCAATAAAATATATTTAAAAAAAAAAAAAAAACAAAACAATGCCCATCCCCCTGGGTCTCTCATAGTGCCCCATGCCAGAGCAAACTGTGACCATGAACCATAGCCTGCAGGCACTGAAGCAGGTTACACAGTGGGTGGGGGCGGGTTGGGTGGAAGAGTATGTTTTCTCATTTAATTTACATTTTTCAGCTGATGAAATGTTTAAGTAAAACATATTACATAGCCGAAACCGGTTTGGCTCAGTGGATGGAGCGTCGGCCTGCGGACTGAAGGGTCCCGGGTTCGATTCCAGTCGGGGGCATGTGCCTGGGTTGCGGGCACATCCCCAGGGGGAGATGTGTAGGAGGCGGCTTATCGATGTTTCTCTCTCATTGATGTTTCTAACTCTCTGTCTCTCTCCCTTTCTCTCTGTGAAAAATCAATAAAAATATATTTTAAAAAAACATATTACATAAATTTAATATACTTAATTGTTGTTTTTAAATATCAGATTCCTAGCTTTTTCACTGATGCTGAGAGAAGATCTGTGATGGCTGCAGCCCAGGTTGCAGGTTTAAATTGTTTAAGATTGATGAATGAAACTACTGCAGGTGAGCACTTTGCTGTTTGAAATGACTGTCAAAAAATACTGTTACTTTTTTAAAACTGTTATGTACTGGTTCCTGTAAGCTTTTCTATTTGGAGTATAAAATTTTCACATGTTGTACATTGGCTATAAGAATCATTAATTTTCGAGAGTTATAGATGAGTAAAGAAAAAAATAACATTAAAAACATTAAGAGGGAAGGCGGCTCGGACCCCGCTGCAGGCTCCGGCCACCAGGGGGTGCTGCGCCTCCCTCTCTCGGAGCGGCCTGCCGCCCAGTGGGTGTGAAAAAAATAAAAAAAACATTAAGCAAATTATGAAAAGTTAATTTGAAATTAATAATTTGTATTACTCTACTGTGTATTAAAGTGTGTAGTATCAAAGTGATTTATCTGTCTTCCACATGACTGCTATACTGAAAGTAACCTAATTCTTTCTTCTTGCACAGTTGCACTAGCATATGGAATTTATAAACAGGATCTCCCCTCGTTGGATGAGAAACCAAGAAATGTAGTATTTATTGATATGGGACATTCTGCCTACCAAGTCTCACTTTGTGCTTTTAACAAAGGAAAACTTAAAGTAAGTAAGTGATTTGCAATATTTAGCTTTAATGGTTCAGAGCATTTAAGACCATATAGAGGACCTTTATGTCTGGGTCTAAAATCCTTTCTCTGCCACATGAAAACTATGAACTTAAGCAAGTTACTTAACCTCTCTAAATCTTAGGTTTCTCACCTGACGATAACATTAGTAACTATCTCATAGAATTTTTGAGGACAAAATGAGTTAACGTATACAAAATGCTTGGAATGCCAAATAGTAGATACTATAGTGTTCGTTAGCTATTTATATTGTTGAGGTGTTACTTTAGCTATCAGATAATTTTACTTAGTTATCTATAAATATACATAAGGAAACATTTTTAAAAATGATTCCATTGTTTTTAGAAACATTTGTATCTAGGAATCCTAATCAAAATTTTCTATAATGTGGCATTATTTACTTCTATGTGCCTATTTTCTTATAGTCTGTATTTGGTTTTCTATTTATTTTTACATTGGTTATCTTATCTAGACTTGCACATTCTCTCCATTATGTACATGTGTAGAATTGACTAGAAGATGAAATGCTTTGGGTTATCCAACACTTTTTAGAGCCTTTTGTCTTACCTATATATATAAAAGGCTAATATGCTAAGTGTCTGAATGTCTGACCGGTCACTATGACGTGCCCACAAAGCAACACTCGGCTTCCCCCAAGTGGGACACAGGCCCTACCACCATCCCAAGCGACAGCCCACCAAATCGCAGCCGACGCTGCTGCTGCTGAGACCCCATGGCACAAAATGTGGCCCACAGCCCAGCCCAGCCTGGAAATGGTGGCTGTAGGTGCCAGGTAATGACATCATATAGCAATGCCCGGCTTCCTTTCCCTACCAATGACTAGCCTCCTTGCAGTTTCTTCAGCCCAGGAACATGACTTGCTTTATAGCCAGGTGCAAACATTTCACACTTTAACCAAATGTCTGTGAAGCGTTTTCCCATGCCTCATCTCATTTAATCCTCACAGAAGTCCTGGAGTAGGTAAATAGGAGACTTGGTGGAATCCTATTTTCTTTTCATTAGTCAGAAAATGGAGATTTAGAAAGTTTAGACACTTGACCTGACTGAAAAGAAGTAAGAAATGGTGGACCTTGAAAATGACTTCAGGTTTTCACACTGCAAAGAATATAGGCAAACACTGCTGCAGTTAAATATTTTACCCTTTGTTCTCCCTGCATGATCTACAATAATAATCTGCTTTGTGTTGATATTTACCGCTGTGTTGCTGACAATTACCTGAAAGAGAAGTTGGGGTGCTTCACTGGGCTGGAAAAAGTTTAGCTAAATCAGAAAGCAGGTCTAATTAAGCAAGTTTATCAATATATATATAAAGCTCTCACTGATGCCATATACATCAGTGTGTTCAATATGTCATTGTTAATCGTGAATTTGGTTGACACTTCTATCATAAAGGGCGAATAGCGATATTAAAATATTTCTTCTAATTAATTTCCTTTCAGTGTGCATGAATTCGTGCACTGGGCCACTAGTAGTTTATATAACTATAACATCATCCTTCATATCAGAAAATTAAATGGAGATGACTCACACTGAATGTAAGGTAGTTTTCTGTAAATTGGTTTCATTCTTGGTAGTTAGTCTTGAATTTTAATTTAAGGAAAATTAAATGAAAATTTTCTTTCCTTTTTAGTAAATACCTTAAAGTAGTGATCATAGAACCCTTTGAAAATTTGGTAAAAGCTGTTCTCTCCAGGAGGATGCACATTTGTACAAGTCACATACCAATACAATTTTGCATGATACTGGACCGTGTGAGAAGTCTGTGCATTGATTCTCGTGCTAGTCTGCGGGAGGACATTCCAGTCAGATTACACTCACTTCCTACTATCATGCTTACCACTATTCCACCACCCATCCTTATGGGGGGGAAAAAAAGTTGACGAAAAACACAAACAGTGGGATTCCATGCTTTAGTAGTCACTTTGTAAGTAGTCATTTCTGCCCTCTACTGTAGGGTGAGAGGCTACACATCTTGGTCCTATGATTTCAAGAGCTCTGGTGTTAAAGTTCTGTGACTTGTCTATTCCTGTTCCACCTGATTGCTAGCTGGGCTTATTGCTCAGCATGCTTACCATGTCAAATTCTTGTCTTTCTTCTTCATACTTTTCTGTGTTCTTTTTTGTTCACTCATGTATTCTTTTGTTTTTCTGTATTTTTATAAAAATAGCCTAGTTTTTTTTAAATAATTGAAGTTCTACTCTCTCATCTATAAATTGACCAATTATAGTATTTTTTTAAATATATTTTATTGATTTTTTACAGAGAGGAAGGGAGAGAGATAGTTAGAAACATCGATGAGAGAGAAACATCGATCAGCTGCCTCCTGCACATCTCCCACTGGGGATGTGCTTGCAACCCAGGTACATGCCCTTGACCGGAATCGAACCTGGGACCTTTCAGTCCGCAGGCTGACGCTCTATCCACTGAGCCAAACCGGTTTCAGCCAATTACAGTATTTTAAGTTTAATCTTTGGATCAGCTTTTCTTGGGTAATTTATTTTTCGTTATATATTTATGACTATTCTTTGTTCTGTTAAACTTAGTTTTTGGCCTACCTGTTCAGTGCTGTTATAGAATAAAAAGGTGTGTAATGGTAAAGTTTTAGTTGTTGTAACTCAATTATTTCAGAACTAGAGGCCCGGTGCACAAAAATTTGTGCACTCGGTGGGGAGGGTCCCTCAGCCCGCCTGTGCCCTCTCGCAGTCTGGGACCCCTCAGGGGATGACCACCTGCTGGCTTAGGCCCATTCCCCAGGGGATTGGGCCTAAGCTGGCAGTCAGACATCCCTCTGGCAGCCCGGGAGCCCTCGGGGGATATCCACTTGCCAGCGGGGAGCAGGCCTAAGCTGCAGTCGGACATCCTTAGCGCTGCTGAGGAGGCAGGAGAGGCTCCCACCACCACCAATGTACTGGCAGCCGTCAGCCTGGCTTGTGGCTGAGCAGAGCTTCCCCTGTGGGAGCACACTGACCACCAGGGGGCAGCTCCTGCATTGAGCATCTGCCCTCTGGTGGTTAGTGTGTGTCATAGTGACCAGTCATTCCCAGTCATTCTGCTGTTAGGGTCAATTTGCATATTAGCCTTTTATATAGGAGTGCCTGGCCAACCTGGGTGAGGGGCTGATGCCTGTTTTCAGGCTGGCTAAGTCCCCCAGCGGGGTACCTCACCCCATGAGGGTGTGGCCAGCCTGGGTGAGGGGCTGATGGCTGTTTGCAGGCTGGCCACGTCCCCCAGTCTCCCAAGCTCCCCGTGGAGGCTGGCTGGAAGCAGGTATCTGGGATTTATTTGTCTTCTATAATTGAAACTTTGTTGCCATGAGTGGAGGCCACAGCCGGCTCAGGGCAGGTGGGAAGCTTGGCTTCCTCCATCGCCCAGGCAACCGAGCCTCCTGCTTGCTCCAGCTCTGCGGCTGCCAGCCGCCATCTTGGTTGGGTTAATTTGCATATAGTTGCTCTGATTGGCTGGTGGGCATGGCTTGGGGCATAGCAAAGGTATGATCAATTAGCATCTTTGTCTTTTATTAGTGTAGATTAGAGTTATTTTTTTTTAAAATATATTTTTATTAAGAGAGGAAGGGAGAGGGAGAGAGAGATAGAAACATCAATGATGAGAGAGAATCATTGGTTGGCTGCCTCCTGCACATCCTATACTGGGATTCTAGCCCACAACCCGAGCATGTGCCCTAACCAGGAATTGAACCATGACCTCTTGGTTCATAGGTCGATGCTCATCCACTGGCCAGGCTAGAGTTATTCTTACATTATGATATGTTGATCTGTAACCTAAAGCAGATAATTTAGAGTGGGTAAATATTTTGGCTAAATATAAATTATAATTGATATAAGTGACTTCAAATTTGGCACCCTAGTGATTTTTGACAAGTTTTTTGGGTTTGATTTTATTTTAATTTTAAAAGGGTGTTTTTGTTTATTTGTTTGTTTGAAAACATCTATATTTCTGAAAATTCAGTTCTGATTTTTTCAATTAAACAGGTCTTGGCTACTACCTTTGATCCATATTTGGGTGGCAGGAACTTTGATGAGGCTTTAGTAGACTACTTCTGTGATGAGTTCAAGACCAAATATAAGATAAATGTGAAAGAAAATGCTCGAGCCTTGTTGCGTTTATATCAGGAATGTGAAAAACTAAAGAAGCTAATGAGTGCAAATGCGTCAGATCTTCCACTGAACATCGAGTGTTTCATGAATGATCTTGATGTTTCTAGTAAAATGAACAGGTACCATGTATGTTTTCAGTTGGGAAAGTGTTTGCTTATTTTATAATGTTTAGACTCTGTTATTTTAGAAGATATGCTTGATTTTTAGGTCTCAAAATAGTGAATTTCATTTCATTTTTCTACAGGGCTCAATTTGAACAATTATGTGTTTCCCTCTTTGCCAGAGTTGAACCACCATTAAAAGCAGTACTGGAACAAGCTAGTAAGTGGAGATTATTAGACTAACCATCGAAACTGTAGCATGGTGTTATTCATTTGAATGGTATAGGACAGCAATTTTCAACCAGTGTGCTGCAAGAATTTTTAAAACATATAATACCTGACTATTTAATCAGAGGCAATGACATTTTTCCCCCTTAGATTATCAAATAAAGAAATGACAACAGCCAGCACAACAATAACCATCCACTGTGGATGAATCAAAATTATACCTATTTTTTTGTGAGATCAGCAAAAAATATAATTTTGGTGTGCCACAGAATTTTAGAAATTAGTTTATATGTGCTATGAGAGGAAAAAGGTTGAAAATCTCTGGTGTAGGAAATGGTAAAACTATAAACCTTCATCTGTTTTTTGAAGATTTGTATTTCTCATTTTAGAGGAGGAGATTATGACTCACTCTTTATTCATAAAAATAAGGTAGTAGAAATCTGGGTTTTTGAGAACTTATCCTGGTTCGTTTTATTGTTTATATCATAAAACTAATGCTAGTAAAAACTGAGGTGTTTAGAAGATTTCTAAGATGAAAGTAAAGTAGAAATGGGACCCTAGCTGATTTGCTCAGTGATTAGATCATTGGCCTGTAGACTGAGCGGTCTGATTCCGGTCAAGGGCACATAACTCAGTTGCAGACTCAATCCCCAGTTCTGGACTCCCCGGTTCTGGTCGGGGCACGTGCAGGAGGCAAGTAATCTATGTGTCTCTCACATCAATATTTCCCTTTCTCTCTACCTCTCCTCAACATCTCTCTCTCAACATCAATAGAAAAATATCCTCAGGTGAGGATTACATTTTTTTAAAAAGTAGAAATGGGGATATGCTTGTTTGTTGTCAAAGTTTTTGGTAATAATTAAAAGTACCTTCTATGGAAAAAAATTATAATTGAAAACTGTTCCCAAGGAAAAAAGTGTATTTTGTCCTTTAAAAAAATTTCTTTCTGTGTGGATTTGGGAGGTGAAAGATAAAACATTGAAGGACTCTGGAGAGTCCCTTTAAAGCCCATGAGGCCCTAGCTGGTTTGGCTCAGTGGATAGAGCATCAGCCTGCGGACTGAAGGGTCCCAGGATCGATTCCAGTCAAGGGCACGTTGTGGGCTCGATCCCCGGTAGGGGGCATGAAGGAGGCAGCCAGTCAATCATTGATGTTTCTATCTCTCTCCATTCCTCTCTGAAATCAGTAAAAATATATGAAAAAGAAGTAAATAAATAAATAAATAAATAATAAAGCCAAAGGTGCTTGTTTTTATTGTCACTGCATCACCAAGTGCAGTGCCTGACACATAGATAGTATTTATTAAATTTCACCTTTTATTTGCCCATCTTCTTTCCTTTTATTCTTGTTTTAAGCAAATGAAAAAATTCACTTTTTAATAAAGTACTTTCCAAGGTCTACTTTTTACATTGTTATAAAGATTACCTTATTTTTCTCAAAATTTTCTCACGTTTTGCTTTCCAGACTTACAGCGTGAAGACATAAGTAGTATAGAAATTGTAGGAGGAGCAACTCGAATTCCTGCAGTAAAGGAACAAATCACTAAATTCTTTCTTAAAGACATAAGTACCACATTAAATGCTGATGAAGCTGTTGCAAGAGGATGTGCATTACAGGTATGATTAATATTATTTTTATTTTGGAATGTATATTTTTCCAGAAATATGGTGACTGACCTAAAAGGAGTTTAAATATTATCTATTCTAACCACTTGTCAATAGGCTAAACGTAAATTGAAATTATTTCTGAAAAGTAAGTCTTATGCCTTTCCTATTTTTTATTTTTGTTAAGGATATTTTTATTGATTTCAGAAAAGAACGGAGATGGAGAGAGAGATAGAAACATCAATGATGAGAGGGAATCATTGATTGGTTGCCTCTTGCAGGCCCTTTACCAGAAATCAAGCCTGCAACCTGGGTATGTGTCCTGACTGGAATTGAACTGTGACCTCCTGGTTCAGAGGTCGATACTCAACAACTGAACCACACCAGCCAAGCTATTTATAATTTTACATGATCATAAAACAGTATGTTTATAACTCTACTGAAATAACATTTATTTTATGAATCCATATAATTATTCCGATTAAAAATTCTTTTTTGGGGTTTTAAAATATTTTTGTATTAATTTGTATAAGGTCACAGAAAAAGTACTCTGACACTTTTATTAAATATATTTTTTTATTGATTTCAGATGAAGAGAGAGGGAGAGAGATAGAAACATCAATCATGAAAGAAAATCATTGAACAGTTGCCTCCTGCACGCCCTACTGGATTGGGCCTGCAACCCAGGCAAGTGCCATGACCAGAAATCGAACTGTGACCTCCTGACTCATAGGTCGACACTTAGCCACTGAATCACACCAGCTGGGCAACACTTTTAAATTTTAACTAGTTTTACCATTAAACAGTAATTTTTAAAATGTAACAATTTTATTGCAAGGACTTTATTAAGCAGTTTAATCAGGGGTAATCTAGTGTGTGTTTTGTGTTTGTTGATTTAAATATAATGTACATTTTATTGGCAGTGTGCGATTCTCTCACCAGCATTTAAAGTGCGTGAGTTTTCCATAACAGACATTGTTCCCTACTCAATCACATTACGATGGAAGACCTCTTTTGAAGATGGAACTGGGTCTGGGTAAGTTACTTTTTAATATGTTTCTGTTTTTTATTTCAGAGAGAGAGAGAGAGAGAGAGAGAGAAACATTGATGTGAAAGTGAACCATAGATCAGCTGCCTTCTGTACACCCTCTCCTGGGGATTGCGCCCGAAACTCCAGGCATGTGACCAGGAATCAAACCAGCAGCCTTTTGGTTGTGAAGCAAAAAATACCCAATCAGAAGAGCAAAAGAAAAAAATAATCTAAAAATATGAAGATAGTATAAAGAGCCTCTGGGACAATTTCAAGTGTACCAACATTCAAATTATGGGGGTGCCAGAAGAAGAGAGAGACCAAGATATTGAAAACCTGTTTGAAGAAATAATGACAAAAATTCCCCTACTTCGTGAAAGTAATAGACTTATAAGTCCAGGAAGCACAGAGGCCCCCAAACAAAAGGAATCCAAGGAGGCCTACACCAAGACACATTATTATTAAAATACCAAAGGATAAAGACAAAGAAAGAATCTTAAAAACAGTAAGAGAAAATCATTTAGTAAGAAGATAAAAAATATGGACAATATCAAATGGCAATAAATATATGTCAGCAATTGAATCTAAAAAAATAAATGAACAAAGAATCTAATGAACAAAAGAAACTGATGAATAAAATAGAACCAGAGGCATGGAAACATGGAACAGACTGACAAATCTCAGAGGCAAAGGGGAGGAGGGGCAGGAAAAGATTAACCAAAGAACTTATATGCATACTAGTGACCTGGTGCATGGATTCGTGCACATTGAAAGGTAATTAGGAGGTGACCAGCAGGGTGAGACTGGATGAGACAGGCTGGACACGCCCTGGAGCCAACCTCCCGCAGTCCCTCCCCAGCCAAATACACCTGGAGCAGTGCCGTGGCTCGAAGGGCATCTGTAGAGTGAGCGGGGTCCCTCCAGCAGGTGGGGTCCCTTGGCGTGGCCTGCGGGGATCTGGCCAAAACCAGCTCTCCGACATCCCCCAAGGGCTCTCGGAGTGCTAGAGGGCACTCTGCAAAGTTGCTGTCTTACAGGGTGTGGAACACAAATGTGCAGTAAAGCCGATTTGGGGCCAACAGTGCCCCAGCAACAACAACAACCCACAACCAAAGGTGGAATTGCGCAGCCCCACAAGGAATCAGAATCTCTCCTCTCTGGTTCCGGGGTGCATCACCCAAGAACTGCTGCTGCCAAGTCACGGCAGCTTGGCAGCTCCTGTGTTGAGCATCTGCCCCGTGGCGATCAGTGCACATCATACCAACTGGCTGGTCGGACGGTTGGACCTTAGCCTTTTATATATATACATACACACACACACACACACACACACACACACACACACACATATGTGTTATATATATATATAGATATGCATTACCTATGGACACAGACAATAGGGTATTGAAGACTTAGCTCAGGGCCAGAACCAGGTGGAGGGGGGCAATGGGGAGATAAAGGGGTATATCTGTAATATTCTCAACAATATAGATTTAAAAGAAAGAAAATATAATGCAAAGCTAAATTTTAAAGTAAATATATCTTAGTGACTACAATAAGAAAATAGAAGGTAGTGGGTTCTTGAATACTAGGATATAGAAATGGTCCATGAATGTGAAAATTTTAAACCTTGCCTAATTAGTAGGATGATGCTATGTATTGAAGAATGTGTTTCTTGGACACTGTAAACAGTTATAAAACTGTTATACTACTTAATGAATAGGAATTGCTTTGTAGGTTTTTATTTTATTTTTTTTTTGATTAGTTAAATCTTTATTGTTCAGATTATTACATTTGTTCCTATTTTTTCCCCCATAACTCCCCTCCACCCAGTTCCCACCCCACCCTCCTCCCTCACTCCCCACCCACTGTCCTCATCCATAGGTGCACGATTTTTGTCCAGTCTCTTCCCGCATCCCCCTCACCCCTTTCCCCCCCAAGAATAGTCAGTCCACTCCCTTTCTATGCCCCTGATTCTATTATAATCACCAGTTCATTCTGTTCATCAGATTATTCACTTGATTTTCAGATTCACTTGTTGATAGATGTGTATTTGTTGTTCATAATTTGTATCTTTACCTTTTTCTTCTTCTTCCTCTTCTTAAAGGATACCTTTCAGCATTTCATATAATACTGGTTTGGTGGTAATGAACTCCTTTAGCTTTTTCTTATCTGTGAAGCTCTTTATCTGACCTTCCATTCTGAATGATAGCTTTGCTGGATAAAGTAGTCTTGGTTGTAGGTTCTTGGTATTCATCACTTTGAATATTTCTTATCACTCCTTTCTGGCCTGCATAGTTTCTGTTGAGAAATCAGCTGACAGTCGTATGGGTACTCCCTTGTAGGTAACTTACTTTCATTCTCTTGCTGCTTTTAAGATTCTCTCTTTGTCTTTAAACCTTGGCATTTTAATTATGATGTGTCTTGGTGTGGTCCTCTTTGGATTCCTTTTGTTTGGGATTCTCTGCGCTTCCTGGACTTGTAAGTCTATTTCTTTCACCAGGTAGGGGAAGTTTTCTGTCATTATTTCTTCAAATAGGTTTTCAATATCTTGCCCTCTATCTTCTTTTGGCACCCCTATAATTCTGATGTTGGTACGCTTGAAGCTGTCCCAGAGGCTCCTTACACCATCTTCGTATTTTTGGACTCTTTTTTCATTTTGCTTTTCCGGTTGGGTGTTTTTTGCTTCTTCATATTTGAAATCTTTGACTTGATTCTTGTGATCCTCTGGTCTGCTGTTGGGAGTCTGTAATAATATTCTTTATTTCAGTCAGTGTATGCTTAATTTCTAGTTGGTCCTTTATCACAACCTCGAGGGTCTTATTAGATTTCTTGTAGGTCTCATTAAGTTTATCAGCAGTTTCTAGAAAATTCTTGAAAAACCTTAAAAGTGTGGCTTTGAACTCTATATCCAGTAGTTTGCTTTCCTCCATTTCTGTCATTTGTGTCCTTTTTCTTTATCTCCGCATTTTTTATGCTTCCCTGTGTTGATAACGTGGTTTTCTGTGCTAAATGTCCTCTAGGGCCCAGTGGTTCAACCTCCCCAATTACCTGAGGAGGACACTCTTGGTGCACCCCCTTGTGGGCTTTGTGCACAGTCTTGTTGTAGTTAAGCCTTGATTGTTGTAGGTATCACTGGGAGAAATTGACCTCCAGGCCAATTGGCTGTGAGAATCAGCTGTGTCTGCAGTGGGAGAACTTCTGTGCTGGAGACACCCCTCTGGGGCAAGACTTGCTTCAATGGGGCTTTGGTGCTCACTGAGTCTGCCCCCTGAGTGTGTCCTTTATGGTTCCACGGAGCTGCAAACTGGATGGTCCCACTCTGACCTCTGGGTACATTGGCTCCTGGATCTCTAGGGAGATGCTAATCTAGCCTCTGCCTTAGGCTATCCAGCAAAAGCCTCCTTGCAGGGCTTGGGCGGGGTTGGTCCCACAGGATCAACAGGGCGGGGCTAGCAGTTATGGCTGCTCTCAGAGGCCCACTTCTCAGTGTCTCGGCAATCGCTGCAAGCCCCTCGGAGAGAAAGCTGCCCTCGAGTTCCGACCGATGCCAGACAGTCCCGCTTCTCCTGTATGAGTCTGGGTCCCCAGAGACTCGCCCGGAATCGGAGGTCAGAGCCTGAGACTCCTTCCCGATTGAAAACAGCCGCCAGCCCGCTCCGTGTGCGCCTCTGTACCTTAGTATTTTACTTCTGTACTGCGCCTCCTCTGAGTCTCGGTATGCTTTTCTCTTTTCTTCTAGTTGTAGAATTTCCACTCAGCCAGCCTTCCTGTGGTTCTGGATGATGTCCGTTCCGTCTTTTAGTTGTATTTTTGAAGTGGTTGTTCGAGGAGCAAACTCCAGTGTTTCGCTTTGTAGGTTTTTAAATTGCCTGTACTGGAGAGAAGAAAATACTACAAATGACATTATTACATCAATTTAAAAGATTGAAATATGGATTATACATTAAAGTGTCAATGTAAATTTATAAAGTTGACAGTTGTACTGTTGTCATATTAGAGAATATCCCTATTAGGAAAAACACATTGATCTATTTAACGGTAAATGGCCATAAATGTATGTAACAGCCTCAATTGTTTCAGAAAAAAATATACACATACATTGACAGTGTGTGTACACTCAAATTATGAAACAAATGGGGTAAAATGTTAATAGTAGCAAATCTAGGTTAAAAATATATATAGTTCCCTAGCCAGTTTGGCTCAATGTATAGAGTGTTGGCCTGCGGACTCAAGGTTCCCGGGTTTGATTCCAGTCAAGGGCACATGCCTGAGTTGCGAGCTCGGTCCCCGGTAGGGGGCTTGTGGGGGCAGCCAATCAATGATTCCTCATCATTGATATTTCTATCTCTCTCTTCCTCTCCCTTCCTCTCTGAAATCAATAAAAATATATTTAAAATATATGTGTGTGTGTGTGTGTGTGTGTGTGTGTGTGTGTGTGTGTGTTATTCTGTTTATTCTTGCACAATTCTGTAGGTTTGAAATTCTTTTCAAATAAAAGTTCCTTTTTATAGAAGCTAGAATAAAAAAGTTCCATATGAAAGTATTTTGGAAACTAATGGGTAGGATTTGGTCCTCAGATGGAAGCAAAAAACAATAAAAAAAAATCTATCTGTATTGGCCTTAACATATACCTATTCTCAGGTACTTTTTTTTTTTAATAGAACTATTATGTTGACAGACATTCTAAAATCTTTGAGCCATAAGCCTGTCAAAATCCAGGTTAATAGTACAAACAATTTATTTTTCTATACTTTGTGCATGGAGAGAGGCCTTTATAATTGCTACTTATGAATTAAAAATGAGGTGGATTCTGTAATTATTTTCATAGGCAAGTTTCTACTTGTTTTAAACTGAGTGTTTTCTCACTCCATGTTAGGGAATGTGAAGTATTCTGTAAGAACCATCCTGCTCCATTCTCAAAGGTCATTACTTTCCACAAGAAGGAACCATTTGAGCTAGAAGCATTTTATACTAATTTACATGAAGTGCCTTATCCTGATCCAAGGATTGGTAAGAGAAAGTTCTCATGCATTTTTTATTTTTATAAATAATATGTTAATATTTGAATTAAGGAAACAAATAAGTTGATAGTTAAGCTAAGCCAGCACTAGACTTTAAAAGAAAGATATTCCATAACTTTTTCTAAAATGTACTTGTTAGTGTTCAGAGTTGATATCTGGAATAACAGCAAAGTTTGAATATTTTCAATTCATTTTGACATCTATATTTAAAGTGTTCTGTAATTGGCCTAAAAGGTTTGGGTAAGGATTCTTTTTTATGGAAAAAGTCTAATCAATAAATTGAAATTGTTCTGCCAGACTTATTATGCATATATTCTGATTTTAAACTTATGCTCACTGGTGGCAAATAGAATATCATTAGATTGATATGAAAGTGACAATAGGAGACTGTAATATCCATTTTAGTTGAGTAATCTTCCTAAAAAATAAAAAATAAAATCATGATTTTATATCATTTGAAAGAGAAGGGGTCTGACCAGCGTGGTTCAGTGTTTAAAGTGTCAGCCCGTGCACCAGAGGGTCTCGGGTTCAATTCCGGTCAAGGGCACTTACCTGGGTTGGAAGTTTGATCCCCAGCCCCTATCTGGGTGCCTGTGAGAGGCAACCAATCAAAGTGTCTCTCTCACATCGATGTTTCTCTCTCTCTCCTTCCCCCCTCCTTTCCACTCTTTTAAAATCAATGGAAAAAATACCCTCAGGTGAGAATTAACAACAAAAAAAGAGAGAAAGAATAATTTTTAAGTTTTAAAATTCTCTATATGTATTGCTTTTATTGACAGACTAGAAAAGGAACATTATAAATATTTCAAGTACATTATTTAAATCATAGACATTAATTACTGAACGTGGTATTCATTTGCTAGGGTTTCTTAATAAAGTACCACAAACTGGGTGGCTTAAACAATAGAATTTAGTCTCACAGTTCTGGATGCTAAAAGTCTGAAATCAAGGAGCTGGAAGGATTGCTTCCTTCTGAGGACTGTGAAGGAGGGATCCATTCTAGGCTTCTTTCCTTGGCTTGTAGATGGCCATGTTCACATGATGTTCTCTCTGTATATCTGTCTCCAAATAAACATATCAGTCATTGGATTAGAGTCCAGTCTGATAACCTCATTTTAACTTGATTAACCTCTGTGAAGACCTTATCTTTAAATCAGGTCTCCTTCTGAGGTATTGGAGAGTAGGACTTCAATATATGATGGGCAGGGAGGGGGGCATAATTCAATCCACAACATAGGCCAATCATATTGTTTACTACTCATTTTTTCTGCCTAGTATTCTTTCTCTACTTATGGGTATCCTTATTTGAGATTTTTTAACATTAGAGTTCTTTTTTTTTTTAATCTTTACCTGAGGATATGTTTTTATTGATTCTAGAACAGCAGTTCTCAACCTGTGGGTCGTGACCATCGGAAAACACATATAGCATATCAGATACTTACATTACGATTCATAACAGTAGCAAAATTACAGTTATGAAGTAGCAACGAAAATGATTTTATGGTTGGGGGTCACCACAACATGAGGAACTGTATTAAAGGGTCGCAGCATTAGGAAGGTTGAGAACCACTGCGAGAGAGGGGAAGGGAGAGGGAGAGAGAAAGAAACATTGATCGGCTGCCTCCTGACCAGGGATTGAACCTGTAACCTAGGTCAGTGGTCGGCAAACCCATTAGTCAACAAAGCCAAATATCAACAGTACAACGATTAAAATTTCTTTTGAGAGCCAAATTTTTTAAACTTAAACTATATAGGTAGGTACATTGTTATGAACTTAATTAGGGTACTCCTAAGCTGGCCTTTGCTAAAAACGTCCTCAATCTGAGGGGTCGACCTCAGCGAACGTACCCCCACTTCTTCTAACGCCACTTCTTCAAAATAGACTCGCCCAGGCCGAAAACCGACTTCTGTGCATGGGCCACGAAGTTTCAATCGCACTGTACGTGCACGCCCGCGCGCACGTGGTATTTTGTGGAAGAGCCACACTCAAGGGGCCAAAGAGCCGCATGTGGCTCACGAGCCACGGTTTGCCGACCACTGACCTAAGTATATGCCCTGACTGCAAATCAACCCGAAACCTTTTGGTATACAGGACGATGCTCCAACCCATTGAGCCACCTGGCCAGGGTAGCATTAGATTTTTTTTTTTTCTACTTACATAATTTACTCCTTAATGTACTTATATATTTATTTTTACATTTGCCTTAAGTTATAAATAATTCAGAATAATTGCATGATCTATAAATCTCTGTATATCAAAATGTTGATTTAATGACTTGATGGTGAATGTTTCATCATTTGTGTTTTATCTCTCTACCATTTTAATTTTGAAAATTGCAGAGCTATAAGAAATTGAAGGAATGGTTTAGTGCAGTGGTTGCCAACCTTTCGGACCTCACGGACCACCAGTGGTCTGCGGACCACCGGTTGGCCACCGCTGATTTAGTGAACGCCATACATTCACCTAGATCCAGTTGCTAACATCACAGATACATACACTTTTTGACAAACCGTTTGAAAGTTTGGTATAGATATCCCAACAACTCACCACTAATTACATGTCATAGGTCTCTCAAGAAGAACATTCTCTTACATAAAGACATCATTATCATACCCAAGAAATTTAACACTGGAATAATACTATTTACTATACAGTCCATATTCAAATTTCTCTGATTATCTACAAAGATATTCTTTGTAACTGTGCTTGAAAAATTAATATGACCTTTGTAGGTATTAGTGACTGGATAACAGCAATTTTGCTATAGGAAAAATGCAGGAAAATTTTAAGTCATTTTATTTATGAATTACCAAGATGATTATGATTTGCATAGCTTGTAGCAAAAAGGGGTAATTTTATATTTGGTTTTCAAACTCAAAAATTTGAATTTTATTTTGGTTTTAGAGCATTAAAAACATACTTAAAAGTTATATTGCCTTGAGTCAGATTGTCCTTGGTTAAAATCCCAACTCTCCTTTTTTCTAGCATTGTTGATTTTGGACGGGTTACTTACTCTTTCTGAGTCTTAATACCAAATTTATTAAGGTATGAAAATGATCTGGGGAAAATACCTGTCCCACAGTAGTTAATCTGGATGTGGTAATAATGTTACAATTATTTGCCAGCATTGGAAAGATGATAGTCAAATTACTGAATTTAATGAACTGAATGAGTTAATCTGAGGCCCATGTATTGATCAAAGCTCTTTTTTCTTTAAGGGAGCTTCACTATTCAGAATGTTTTCCCACAGTCTGATGGTGATAGTTCTAAAGTGAAGGTTAAAGTTCGCATTAACATCCATGGAATCTTCAGTGTGGCTAGTGCATCAGTAATTGAAAAGCAAAATATAGAAGGGGATCACAGCGATGTTCCTATGGAGACAGAAACGTCATTTAAGGATGAAAGCAAAGATGATGTGGTATGTAAAATTGTTTCAAATTCCTCTAATTAAATATAGAGTACTAGAGGCCTGATGCATGAATTCATGCACGGGTGGGGGTCCCTTGGCGTGGCCTACAGGGACTGGGCTGAAACCAGCAGTTCAACACCGCCTGCTGCTCCCGCTCATCCCGGCCCCGCAACGCCAGGGGGAGGGACCATGGGAGGTTGGCCTGCCAGCCCCCCCAATTGGGGCCCTGGGGGAGGGACTGTGGGAGGTTGGCTGGCTGGGGGGGAGGGGCCGTGGGAGGTTGGCCAGCTGGGGGGAGGGGCCGTGAGAGGTTGGCCGGCCAGGGGGAGGGACCCCAGGAGGTTGGCTGGCCAGCAGGGGGGAGGGGCCACGGGAGGTTGGCAGGCAGGGGATGGGGGTGGAGGGGTGGGGGAGAGGTGGGGGCTGAGGGAGGTTGGCTGTGGGAGCGCACTGACCACTGGGGGCAGCTCCTGCATTGAGCGTCTGCCCCTGGTGGTCAGTGCACATCAAAGCAACTCATCAACCAGTTGTTCCAGCTGTTTGGTGGTAACAGTCGCTTAGGCTTTTATATAGAGAGATATTAAAGGCCTAAACTGGAGCAATTTTTTAAACAAATGATAGGTCACTTATTAATGGTCTTGATGGCACAAAGGACATTATTATGTAGAAAAATACATACATTAACAAATTAATTTAATGATTTTCAGAAGCATTGGCTTCTGAATGTGAACAAGTTTTAGAACTACCTTAACCAATTTATTTGGTTAATTTGCCTTTAGATGTATAAATATATATACACACTAGAAGAGCTCTTTGAGTAAGTATAAAACAAAAATGCCAAGTGAGCCCTGGCTGGTTTGGCTCAGTGGATAGAGCGTTGGCCTGTGGACTGAGGGGTCCCGGGTTCGATTCTGGTCAAGGGCACATGCCAGGGTTGTGGGCTTGATCCCCAGTAGGGGGCATGCAGGAGGCAGCTGATCAATGATTCTCTCTCATCATTGATGTTTCTATCTCTCTCTCCCTCTCTCTTCCTCTCTGAAATCAATAAAAATATTTTTTAAAAATGCCAAATGGCAAAGCATTTTGGCCTTTTAATTGGCAGCATCTTTTCTTAGTATTATAAGAAATGGAGTAAATAATGTAATTGTGTTTTCCTACATTACGTCAACTCACCACTGTCACTTTTTTTTAATTATTGTTAATCTTCACCTGAGGATATTTTTTCCATTTATTTTTAGAGAGAGTGGGTGGAGAGAGAGAGAAAGAGAGAGATCTGTGTCAGAGAAACACATTGATTGGTTGCCTCCTGCACACTCTAACCACTTAGCAACCAGCCATAGCCCCCATGTTACTTTTTTCACCTCTTCTCAATCACAGGGTTGGAGAAACTGTACAGTTAGAAGGTGCAGGGCGAGTTGATATGTCAGAAATAATTATCCTTTTATCGACAAAGAACACTTACAACTTGTTTTTGTCTTTGGCACAAATAAACTTATTTTTTTATTAAAGCTAGCCTTCTGATTATCCTGTATGTGCTTATTCCAGATATATTAGAAGACCTAAATTATACTGATTCCTGAATCCTAAGCTTTCTTCTCTTTGAAAGGACAGTAAAGGATAAGATTTTAAAAACCAGAAAAACCTAATACTTAGTATTATTTGCCAAATAGAGAGTCCATTTTGGCAGCCTTAACTGGTTGAAAGTTTGTCTTTTAGACATAAAAAAAATTTAAGTTTATGTTATAATAATTCATAGACATCAACTTTGACAATTTTGCTGTATTTCCTTGAGTATTTTGTTACATTTAAAAATATTGAATTTATGAAGTACATAAATTTTGTATCTTTTTTATTTTCCCACATTAAATTCTTTATTGACATTTTTCATGTGAAATTTATAGGGGTTTTTTGCTGCTGTTCTTGTTTGTAAGCTTGCTTTTATGAATTTGACTTGAAATTTTTTCATTTATTTTGTGTGTGTTTTTACCACAGGTGAATCACACAAGATTTATTCACAGCATCAAATAGATCTTTTCATTTTAATTACCTGTTACTTGTAGTTATTCTCATGATTGAAAACAAGCTTCTATTTTACTATTTACACAGTTCAAAACAGACTTGAACTCTAAGATGCTGTTTATTAAAAAAAATAGACACCATAACTACTATCAATTACTTATTTTCTTTTCAGGATAAAATGCAGGTTGACCAAGAAGAAGGTCATCCAAAATGTCATGCTGAGCACACCCCTGAAGAGGAAATTGATCACACAGGAGCCAAAACAAAGGTTTGTTTTACTATTTCTATGGTTGTGTCTTTTTGGGATTGAATAATTTAAGTTTATGTATTTTCTTTATATTGCATGTTTTTAATACACTTGATTTTTTTATTTTTTAAATATTTATTGTTGAGAGTATTACAGATGTCCCCCATTATTCCCCCATTGTCCCCCTCCATACGGTTCCTGCCCTACTCCAGGCCTTCACCCCCTTATTGTCTGTGTCCATCAGTAATACATATATGTATATCTTTGGTTAATCTCTTCCCACTCACCACACCCATCTTCCCTCTGAGATTGATCCATATTTCCATGCCTCTGGTTCAATTTTATTCATCAATTTATCTTGTTGATTTGATTTCTTGTTCATTTATTTTGATATTTAGACTCAATTATTGATAGATATGTATTTATTGCCATTTTATTTTTCATATTTTTTATCTTTTCTTCTTCTTCTTCCTCTCCTTAAAGAATACCCTTCAACATTTCATATAATACTGGTTTGTTGTGATGAACTCCTTTAGCTTTTTCTTGTCTGTGAAGCTCTTTATCTGACTTTCAATTCTAAATGATCACTTTGCTGGGTAGAGTAATCTTGGTTGTAGGTCTTTGCTATTCATCACTTTGAATATTTCTTGCCACACCATCTGGCCTGCAAAGTTTCTGTTGAGAAATCAGCTGATAGTCATATAGGTGCTCCCTTATAGGTAACTAACTGCTTTTCTTTTGCTTCTTTTAAGATTCTCTCTTTGTCTTTAAACCTTGGCATTTTAATTATGATGTGTCTTACTTGATGTGGCCTCTTTGGCTTCCTCTTGTTTGGGACTCAGCATTTCCTGGACTTGTAAGTCTATTTCTTTCACCAGGTAGGGGAAGTTTTCTATTATTATTTCTTCAAATAGGTTTTCACTATCTTGCTCTCACTCTTCTTCTGGCACCCCCATAATGCGAATGTTGGTAAGCTTGAAGTTGTCCCAGAGGCTCCTTACACTATCTTCATACTTTTGGATTCTTTTTCTTTTAGCTCTTCTGATTGAGTATGTTTTTGCTTCCTCATATTCCAAATCATTAATTTGATTCTCGGAATCCTCTACTGTTAAAATCCTATAAATTATTCTTTATTTCAACTAGTATATGCTTAATTTCTGACTGGTCCTTTTTCATGTCTTTGAAATTCTCACTAAGATCCTTGAAAGGCTCACTAAGTCCCTTGAAGCTCTCATTAAGATCCTTGAGTAACTTATAACCATTATTTTGAACTTTGTATCCAGTAGATTGCTTGCTTCCATTTCTTTCATTCTAACATGTTTCTTTGTCTCCTCATATTGGCTGCTTCCCTGTGTTTGTTTCTATGTATTAGGTAGAGCTGCTATGTCTCCTGGAATTGGTAGGGTGGCCTTGTATAATAGGTGTCCTACAGGGCCCAGTGGCTCAGTCTCCCCAGGCACCTGAGCTGGGCACTCGAGGTGTGCCCCTGTGTGGGCTTTGTGCACAGTCTTGTAGTTGAGCCTTGACTGCTTTTGGCATCACTGGGAGGAATTGACCCACAGGCCAATTGTCTGTGAGGACCAGCTGCGACTACAGTGGAAGAACTACTGTGCAGGAGACAACCCTGTGGAGCAGGACTTGCTTCAGTGGGGCTTTGGTGCTCACTGAGTCTTCCCTTTGAGTGTGTCACTTGTGGATGTGAAGAGTTGTAAACTGGTATAGTCTCAAGCTGTCTATTGGGCACACTGGCTCTGGGGCCTCCCAGCAGGAGCTATAGAGAGATCTACAGATTGCTACTACTTGTATTTGGCTGGCAAGTGCCCAGGCAAGGCCCAGTTGTGAAGCAAAGCAGGTTGGTGCTAGTGCTGGGTCTTGGGCCCATTATTGATAGGTTTGTGACAGGCTGACTCCAGCTACTGCTTGTTTAAGAGATTTTAGCAAAGTCTGAAGCCTGAGTCAGGACAGGCCATTCATATAAAAATGTATCTGCAAACAGCTTGGGTGGGGCTGCATATTGGATGGGGCGAGATCTCAGGGAATCATCAGGGCAGAGAAAACAGTATGGGCCATGCTGATGGAAACTCAGATATGGTTGCCAGTTCACTCTGCCATAGGGGAGGTACCAACATGGGAACCATGAACCCTGTGAGCACCCCAGGCTGTGAGAAAGTCACCTCCAAGTTCCTGCCCTGATATCTGACAGTCCAGTTCCTCCCCATATGTTCCTAGATTCCTCCAAAGCCTCTGCCCAGCACAGGAGCTCAGAGGAAGCTAGACTATGAAAGATTGTGTGTGGGCCCTTCAAGAGGAACACCTGGGTCTCCAGCAGCCTCCACGTCACTCAGCCATAATCCCCACTGGTTTTTACAGCCTGAAGTTTTGGAGACTTCTCTTCCCAGTTCTGGAACCCTGGGCTGGGGGTTTAGTGTGGAGCTGGGATCCCCTGCTTCTCATGTGAGGCCTTGGAGATATTACTCCTGATTAAAAATAAATGCCACAGGTGGTTGTCAGACCAGCCTGTTCTATTCCTCTGCCCCTCCAATCAGTCTTTCTTTACTTAGAGAATAAAAAAGAATGTGCTCTCTTCTTACTTCTCTAGTTGTAGGACTTCCATTCAGTCAGATTTCAGGCAGTTCTGAATGATGGTTGTTGTGTATTTTAGTTGTAATTTTGATGTGATTGGGGGAGGCAGTGAATACTGGAGTTTACACTACCATCTTGGTTCTCCAATCTTATATAATAAAAGGCTAATATGCAAATCGACCAAACGGCAAAACGACCAGTCACTATGATGCACACTGACCACCAGGGGGGCAGATGCTCAACACAGGAGCTGCCCCATGGTGGTCAGTACACTCCCACAGGGAGAGCACCGCTCAGCCAGAAGCCGGGCTCATGGTTGGTGAGTGCAGCAGCAGTGAAGGGAGCCTCTCCCATCTCTGCGGCAGTGGTAAGGAGCAGCGAGCCGAGCGGTAAGGAGCAGTGAGTAGGCATGTGGTAAGGAGCGAGGACTCCCGGACTGTGAGAGGGCGCAGGCTGGGCTGAGGGCTCCCCCCGCTCCTCAGTGCATGAATGTTGTGCACTGGGCCTCTAGTACACTTGATTTTTTTAAAATATATTTTATTAATTTTTTACAGAGAGGAAGGGAGAGGAATAGAGAGTTAGAAACATCAATGAGAGAGAAACATCGATCAGCTACCTCCTGCACACTCCCTACTAGGTATGTGCCCGCAACCAAGGTACATGCCCCTGACCGAAATCGAACCCGGGACTCTTGAGTCCGCAGACCAACACTCTATCCACTGAGCCAAACCAGTTAGGGCACACTATATATTTTTAATCTTACTAATATGGAAATGTAGAGAAAGCACATAACCAGAATAAATACATTTCAAAGATTTATATTATAGAAGATGTTTTAAAGAATGAACTTGATAATACTATATAAGTAAAATTAACTTTTTGGTAAGAAAAAATGTATTTTTTGGTAACTTCACTAAAAATACAATCTCAGAGAAAATAGAAAATAAAATAATTATATGAAGAAAACTTAAATTAGCAGTAACACTGCATCTCAAAGTTAACTATTGTAAGCATTTGGCTGCATATTATAAAATATTTTTCTTTGTGCAAAAACAAATATTTTTTAAAATAAAAATATAAAGGATAAACGAGAGTCATTGTTTTACGAAGACATCATTGCCTTTCTCATACTAAGCAAGATAAGTCAAACAGAAAAAGTCAAGAACCATATGATTTCACTTATATGTAGGATATAAAACTGAAAGCAGCCCTACCTGGTTTGGCTCGGTGGATAGAGCATTGGCCTGCGGACTGAAAGGTCCCAGGTTCGATTCCAGTCAAGGGCATGTACCTTGGTTGCAGGCACATCCCTAGTGGGAGGTGTGCAGGAGGCAGCTGATCGATGTTTCTCTCTCATTGATGTTTCTAACTCTCTATCCCTCTCCCTTCCTCTCTGTAAAAAATCAATAAAATATATTTTTAAAAAACTGAAAGCAATAAATGGACAAACAAGAAAAACAAACAAAAACTCAGAAAACAGTATGGTCATTTTCAGAGGAAAGAAGGATGAGGGTAGTGAAAGGTAAAGGAGTCAAATATATGGTGACAGAAGATGGGACTTTGGGTAGTGGGCACATAATGCAATATAGAGATGATGTATCATAGAAATCTATACTTGAAGCCTATACTATAATCTTATTAACCAGTATCACCCCAATAAATTTAATTTTTAAAAATGACATCATTGCTGATAAAAGGAGGGAGAGACCCTACCCCCATCATTCAGATAAATGGGGCTACAATTCTAAACTATCATCTTCAATAGATTGTTCTAACCTAACCTGAACAGAATTTAATCTGTGTAGGTTAGCTATATAGATTTTTCTTCAGAGATTATATTCAGTTTTAACTATTAGGCTCTTAAGTAATTTAAAACCTGAAACCTATTTTTATAAATTTTTAATTTTACCTAATATTTTTTGCTTTTGTTTATTGATATACAGTTTACCTACCATACAATCTACCCATTTAAGTGTACAATTCAAGGGTTTGGTTTTTGTTTTTGTTTTTCAATCCTCACTCGAGGATATTTTTTCCATTGATCCTTACAGAGGGTGGAAGGGAGGAGAGAGGTGGGGTGGGAGAGAGAGAAACATCGATGTGAGAGAGACACATCCACTGATTGCCCCCCACACAAACCCTGACCAGGGCTGGAATCGACCCTGTGACGCTTTGGTGCATGGGCTGATGCTCTAACCACAAAACGGTCAGGGCTCAATGGTTTTTAATAAACTCAGATTTTTCAACCATTTTCACAATTTTACATTTTCATCACCACAGAGAGAAGCCCTGTACCCATTAACAGTAACTCCCTATTTTTCCCCAGCCCTCTTCCTGCCAGTCCTAGGCAACCATAGATCTTTCTATTTTCCTATTCTGGACAGCTTCTTTCACTAATGTTTTTCAAGTTTTTCCAGGTTGTTGGATGTATCAGTACTTCATATAGCTGAATAATACTGCATTGTATGAATGCATACCACATTTTATCTAACTATTGATCAGCTTGGGCATGTACCTAGGACTGGAATTGCTGCATATATGGTATCTCTATGTTTATTTTTTGAGAAACTGCCTGTTTTCCAGAACTGCTCTAATTTACAATCTTGTCAGTATGAATGAGGGTTCCAATTTCTTCACATCTTCACTGAATCTGGTCATTTTCCATTTTTTATATTATAGCCATCCCAATGGATGTGAAGTAGCGTCTCATTATGGTTTTAATTTACATTTCCAGCCCAATATATTTTATGTGAAAAGACTTAATGTGCAGAGTATAAAATACTATCAGCATTTAAGTAGTATTTTAAAATATAGTTGATAAGTTTTGTTTGATTTTATTTTCTTGTTTCATCTGAAATTACTCTTAAATCTATTTTTAAACTAGCTTTGGAAATTTACTTTATTATTATTATTTTTTTTTCAGACAGCTCCCTCAGACAAACAAGACCGATTAAACCAGACCATTAAAAAAGGAAGAGTCAAGAGTATTGATCTACCTATCCAGAGTAGCCTGTGTAGACAATTGGGCCAAGATCTTCTCAATAGCTACATTGAAAATGAGGTATATAAATCCGAGTTGATGTTGAAATAGGTAGTAGTATATTCTGAGATTTTTGTAGAAGTCAACAGTTATCCCCCCAAATGAGGTAATTAGCCTGTAACTCCTAAGAAATTATTAAATAGATCATTGAACTACTTTATTTTGGACAAAATATTGAGCTGTATTAATGTCATGTACAGTACAGTTTCATCTTAGTTATATGAGAAACATGATATTTCCACTATAGAGGAAGACTAGTCTAACAATAGTGATTCCTACTCCTTTTATTCTGTCTTTAACAGTAACACCCAGCAGATACCTTATGGGGAAGTAATAGCAGCTCCCCTCTTCTAATGTGTTGTCCTAAAAGATTAATGCTCTATTCAGAATGCTTTCTGACTTACAATTAATACTTTGTAAAATCTGTTGTCATTCTTGAAATTTTCCTTACATGTCTAAATGTTTAATTTTAGTCTCTTGAAGAGTTTTGTTTCTTTAACATAAGTAGTTGTATAAGAAGTAATTTATTTATTTATTTATTTTTATTTCAGAGAGGAAGGGAGAGGGAGAGAGAGAAAAAAAAATCAATGATGACAGTCATTGATTGGCTGCCTCCTGCACACCCCCACTAGGGAACGAGCCCACAACTTGGGCATGTGCCCTGACTGGGAATTGAACCGTGACCTCCTGGTTCATAGGTCGATGCTCAATCACTGAGTCACACAGGTCTGGTTATTTTTATTTTTAAAATTTACACTTAAGTAGTGTTTCCTAGTTTCTGCAGGCTTGGCTGGCATTAAAGAAAGTCAGTTTTCTTTGAAGTGCCCCAATATTCTTCCATCTTCTGCACATTATTCTAGGAATTTTTTCATGAGATTCTGACTATTAACCAATGTCACTGCAATAAATTTAATAAAAAATAAATTAAAAAATAAAAGATTTTGACTTTACAGTACTTGCTCTTTTTAGTACCTACCTATATCACTTATGCATTAGTTATTGAAGGCTGCATTTTATGTGAAGCAAGCATTCCTGCAGACCCTGAATAATTCAGAATTTGTATGTTTTGAGACTAATTTTCCCAAAGAAATGATTGTGAGGAAGTGCAATTCTGGCAAATTTTGCATATAAAATTGTTCCTTAAGTTTTTAAGTGTTTCGCTGTTTTAAATTCACAAATGTCAGTATACCGAAGTCTTGTGTTTAAAATAGTGTTTCTATTAAAGTGAAAATTTTTTCTTCAAGTAATACTAGCCCCCAATTTTTTTTTTTTTGCTTTTGATTATAACAATACTAATTTTTGCTAGCATCTTAAACACGTTGATATCCTATTTAATCCTCAGAACAACCCTATGATGTAGGTACTGCTATAAGGCTACATTTTACAGATGAGGAAACAGGAGCAAGTAGACTAGATCACTCAAGGTCAGAGAGTAACCTTTTATTTAAATCCAGGTAGTCTGTATCCAAAGCTCAAGATCACAACCACTATATTATATTTCCTCTCAGGGCTAACATTTTTTCAGCATCAGTTACATGCCAGGCACTGGACTAAATATTTTATGTGGTCTCTGTCAATCTTATTAACCCTATGAGCTAAATAGAAGTATGCTTTGTAGTTTAGGATGAGAAAACTGAGGCTGAGAGGTTGACTTTTCTCGATGCTAATAAATGGGAAACCTAGAATTTGAACCTGAGTATGTACAATGACATGGTCTATGTGGCTTTCTTTAAATATAAATTCTAACCCTAGCTGGTCTGGCTCAGTGGATAGAGTATCAGCTTGTGAACAGAAGCTCCCGGGTTCTATTCCAGTCAAGGGCACATGCCCAGGTTGCGGGCTCAGTCCCCAATGGGGCTGTGCAGGAGACAGCCGATCAATGATTCTCCCTCATCATTGATGTTTCTGTCTCTCTCTCCTTCTTCCTTCCTCTCTAATCAGTAAAAACATATTTTAAAAAATAAATAAATAATAAAATAAAAATTCTAATCCACTTTCTGTCTCTATAAATTGGCCTATAGGTGAATGTAATCATACAATATTTATTATATAAATGTAGTTATACAATATTTGTCCTTTGGTGTCTGACTTATTGCACTTGATATTTTCAAGGTTTATCCATGTTGTAACATGTATCAGAACTTTTGTTGTAGGATAATATTCCATTGTGTATATATACATTTATTTATCCATTTATCTGTTAGTGGACAACTTCCACCTTTTCGCTATTATGAATACTACTGCAGTGAACACTGGCATACAAATATCTGTTTGAGTTGCTACTTTGGATATATACCTAATTGCTGGGTCATATTGTTATTTGAGGAACCACCAAACTTTTTTTGTCACTGCAGCAGCATTGTACATTTCCAACAGCAGTGTACAAGTATATCACATTCTGCACATCTTCACCAGAATTGTTTTGTTTTTTACTTAGTCATCTTAGTAGGTATGAAGTGATATTTTCATTGTGGTTTTGATTTGCATATCCCTAACTCCCTAATATTCTTAATGGCAACTAATCTGAAACTTTTTGAATAGGGGAAAATGATCATGCAAGATAAATTGGAGAAAGAGAGAAATGATGCTAAGAATGCTGTTGAAGAATATGTATATGATTTTAGAGACAAGCTGGGCACTGTCTATGAAAAGTTCATCACTCAAGAAGTAAGTCTAGCTCTGGCCAGGTGGCTTAGTAGGTTGGAGTGTAATTCCTTACACTAGGAGGTTTGGGGTTCTATTACCAATCATGTCATATATGGGAGCAAACCAATTGATGTTTCTTTTGTATCTATGTTTCTCTTTCTCTCTCTCGCTCATCTTCCCTTCCCCCTCTCCCTCCCTCCCTCTTTCTCTCTCTAAAAATCAATAAAAAACATATCCTCAGGTAAGGTCTGAAAAAAAGTAGTATAAATTTTACAGTTTTTAACTAGAACTACTTAAGTATTTGCTGGTGACTGCTAATACAAATTATATAAATAAATGTGTTAAATGCATTATTGTCAATCTTCTTGAGCACATTTAGGAATGGTTCTTATTTTTCCAATTAGTGGAAGTATGGTGAAGAACATTTATGAATAAAAGTCAGAAAATATGAAATTCAGTTTTCTATATTTGAAAACAGTATTCCTTCATTGAACTTGTATTTCTAAGGAGAGCATTTTTAGTCACTGTCTTATAAATGTATATCTAGGACTTGAATAAACTGTCTGCAGTATTGGAAGAGACAGAAAATTGGCTTTATGAAGAAGGAGAGGACCAACCTAAACAAGTTTATGTGGATAGGCTTCAAGAACTAAAGGTAAACTTTTTAAAGTCCCTGTTAGTATAAAATAAAACATTATTAAGTTTTCCTAAAAATTGGTTGTAAGGTGTATTTTTTTTTTCATAAATATGTAAGAAATTACTAAGGCAGACGTATAAGAGGAAATGTTTCTAAATGTTTCTCGTTTAAAAAGCATTTTGAGAAGTGAGCAATGCTACATGTAATTGAAATCAAATAATAATCATATTTGTCTGTCATGATACTCAGATATAAATATTTAGATGACCAGAATGTTAGTATTACTTTAACAAACCATATATTTCTGAGATGTCTTATTAAAAGTGATTTGTCAACCTGACCCCTTCTTATTAGAGGAGTCACGCTTCCTCAGCTTCTCTCCCCCTTCACTGGTTTGATTTTCACGTTGCAACTGTGGGGACACTTGGTCAGCAAAGAACTTCAAAAATTTTCTTTTTACAAAGAAATAAGGAGACGTGGTCACCAGATTGCCTTTTTCTAGGCCAATAGTATGATTTTAAGAAAAGACCACTAGTAATCCTTTTTCACCTCCTTACTACCCAACCCTCCTCCTATCCTGAAAAAAAAGTAGTTTGATTAGAAACTCAGACTGGAAGGATGACAGGTAATTTTAGTCTTTCCTTTTTAGTGTGGATCATAGTGGGCTTAAATGTGTACATGAATTACCTAGGGCTCTTACTGAAATGCAGATTATGATTCAGTATATCGAGGTGGGCCCAAGATTCTGCAGTTTTAACAAGCTTCTAAAAGACTCTGATGCAGTTGGTCCCTAAATCATTCTTTGAGCAGCAAGGGACTACATAGAAGCTAAATAATGGCATTAATAAGGATTTCTAGAATATGAGAAACAGCAATCTGTTAACTGGAGGATGGGGGTGCAAAAGAAGTTAAGCAAAAGAAGTTGATATCTTGCAACAATTACTTTCATGCCAATAAATTACTTCCAAAGGGAATAATTAGAAAGCAACTAGTAAACCCAAGCTTATGACAGCAATACAAGGCTTTATCACATTTTATCTTCTTGGTGATTTTACTCCCTATCTCCCTAAGAGAATGCATGTATTTTGGGCTATAGGAACAGCCAGGCAGCTAATGCTAATAGAAATAACTGGAAAAGCCCAAAAGCACCCCAAATGGATGTTTTGCCTCAAATGTATAATTAACCATAAAAATGAGTGCTACATAAGTTTTTATAGGCTTTACTATTGTTTTGAGATGGCTTTTAGAAATTTAAAATGCAGTACTTGCTTCTTCTTCAGATATATTTATAATAAAAAGTATGATGTATAGACTAAATGCAATATGGTATCCTGGAACAGAAAAAGATGAAGTCCGAATAAAGTCTGAATTTCAATTAATAGTAATGTACCAGGGTTGGTTTCTTAGTTTTGACTAATACGCTGTGCTGGTATAAAATGTTAACATTAGAGAAAAGTGATAAGAAGTGCTTGTGTCTGTCTTTTATTTCCTTTGTAACTTTTCTGAACATCTAAAGTAAACTGATTCTTATTTAAGTATATAAACAATTTGAAAGAAAATAGTTACTCATTCTTCTATATTATACCTCTCCTGAATGTTATATAGGCTATTTTAACATTTAGAAACTCCCCATTCCAGGGTCCAAAGATTTTTTTTTCTGAAAAAATACAGATTTATTTTTTAAAGCACTGCATTTATAATACAGTATACATTTTTAAAATAATTAATAAACATAATATACATAATATTCAATGTCTTCTGTTAAAAGGTTTTTTCTGTTAGTAACTTTTTCTTTTTTAAAAAATTTACTTATGTTAACAGAAATATGGCCAGCCTATTCAAATGAGATACATGGAACATGAAGAGAGACCAAAAGCTTTAACCGACTTGGGGAAAAAGATTCAACTTGTCATGAAAGTGATAGAAGCATACAGAAACAAGGTATTGAATTCATAAAGTCAACTGATGATGAAGGCATGTGGAGTTCATGGTGAGAGTGGGGCAAATCTAAAAGTTTTCAGCTACAAAGCTGTGACAGTTGTTGCTACCAAATTTCAGAGACATTGTGCACCAAACTTGAAACTTTTCATTTTTTATGAGAATTATCAGTAAATGATATTACTGCATTTAAAATACAGTGCAGGTATGTGCTTTTAATTTTTTTAAATTTCCTAAAACCACATTAAAAATTAATCCAGTGATCAAATCCATAGTGAGAGGCTTTCTTGGACCTTTTTTATTACAGGCCTTTTTGTAACTGGTCTCTGCTAGCCTTTATTTTTGTCCTGTTTCCTTTTTCTTTTGGTTTCCCTCTGTCTTCCAGTCTATTACTCATTTGCAATCCCCTGTACCCATGGTTCTTTTATATACATACCCAAATCTATATTACTACCCTTGACCTTTCCACTGATTTTAAGCTTCAAAAATTTAGTTATATAAATGATATCTCCACTTGGATATAACAATAAGATTTAACAAAATTAAGCTTATCATTTTTTTCCTCTAACCAGAGGTTAGCCAACTTTTTCTTTAAATATTTTTTTTAAATATATTTTATTGATTTTCCACAGAGAAGAAAGGAGAGGGACAGAGAGCCAGAAACATCGATGAGAGAGATTGATCAGCTGCCTCCTGCACGCCCCCCCAGTGGGGACGTGCCCGCAACCAAGGTACATGCCCTTGACCGGAATCGAACCCGGGACCCCTGAGTCCGCAGGCCGACGCTCTATCCACTGAGCCAAACCGGTTCGGCTTCTTTAAATATTTTTAATATATTTTTATTGATTTCAGAGAGGAAGGGAGAAAGAGAGATAGAAACATCAATGATAAGAGAGTATCATTGATTGGCTGCCTCCTGACCGCCCCACACTGGAGATTGAGCCTGCAACCAGGGCATGTGCCCTGACCTGGAATCAAACCATGGCCTCCTGGTTCATAGGTTGATGCTCAGCCATGGAGCCATGCAAGCTGGGCCAACTTTTCTTTAAATGAACAAATATTTTAGGCTTTTCAGGCTTTATCTCTATACAGCTATTCAACTCTTCATTGTAGTACAAAAGCAACCATATAGGACATGTACATTAATGGGCCTGGCTGCATTCCAAAGTAACTTTATTTAAAAACGTGGCAGACTGTATTTGGTCTGTAGGACAAGTTTGCTGACTCCTGCTTTAAATAAATATTCACCCAGCCAGTGTGGCTGTGTTTAGAGCGTTGTCCCATGCACTGAAGAGTCGGGTTGATTCCCAGTCAGGGCACATATCCAGGTTAAGGGTTTAATCTCCTGTCAAGGTGCATACAGGAGGCAGTCAATCGATGTTTCTCACATCAATGTTTCTCTCTCCCTCCCTCTCCCTTCCTCTCTCTCTATAACCAAAGAAAATAACATATCCTCAGGTGAAGATTTAAAAAAATTAAATATTCATTTTGGTAGCAAGGGAATACATAATTTTCCCAATTTTTATCATTGCCATTACATTGAATTTAACAAATACATTTTTATTGACTTCAGAGAGGAAGGGGGAGAAAGAGGGAGGGAGGGAGGGAGAGAGGAGGAGGAGGATGAGGGAGAGAGAGAGAGAAACATCAGTGATGAGAGAGAATCATTGATTGGCTGCCTCCTGCACGCTCCACACTGGGGATCGAGCCCGCAACCTGGGCATGTGCCCTGACTGGGAATCGAACCATGAGCTCCTGGTTTATAGGTTGATGCTCAACCACTGAGCCATGCTGGCTGGGCAGGAGAGGCTAGCTAGCACCTGAAAGATTCAAGAAGAGTATCAATAATAGCTTACATTGATCAAGCACTTAGTGAATTTGAAGCATTTTTATATGGATTATCTCACTTCATTCTCACAAGGATATATAAGAAAAGTGCAGTGCTTAAGCAACTTGTCAAGGTCGTAAATAGTGAGGGTCAGGATTAAAACCTAAGCATCACCCAGCCAGTGTGGTTTAGTGGTTGAGTATCGACCCATGCACAAGAGGTCGCTGGTTCAATTCCTGGTCTGGGGGCATGCAAGAGGCAGCTGATCGAGTTGATGTTTCTCTCTCATCGCTGTTTCTATCTCTCACTCTCTGTCTCCCTCTCCCTTCCTCTCTCTCTCAAAAGAAAAAAAATCAATAAAAACCATATTTAAAAACAAAACACCTAAGCAGTACCAAGTTAACATACAAACTCTTAACTATGGTGCTTTTTACTATACAATGTAGAAAGAGGTTACTTACTACAGAAAAAGATTTGTGAAATTTATAAAATAATATTGCAATCCAAGCAACCTAGAAGACGATTCCAGGTAAAGATTGTGAATATCCCTGCCAATGTCAGCGTCCTAACTGTCCAAACAGGTACAAATAGAACATAAGGATAATGGAAAGATAGGAGGAGCAAGCCGACAGCGAAAACACCAAGACTGTTTCAAATGTGGTATTGGAGATTCCCATACAATTACTACGGCCCAGGCTGTAGCAGTCTTCTTGAGAGTGCAGATTTAAGAAATTATCCAAAGTAAGAGAGACACTTATGTTCAAGGATTTTTCGTTTTTATCATGTGCCAGACTCCCTTCAAGGGGCTGGAACTACAGCATCAAACAAAAACATTGAACCTTATGCTTTAGTGGGAAAAGGTAGCATATAGTGATAAAGAGCTACGGAAAAAGTAAGGAACTGTCAGAGGTAGAGATTTGTCAGAAGGGCAGACTGCTAATTAGATGACATATATGTGAGGGGAGAACTGAAGGAGGTGAGGGTTCAAGATGTATGATAAATGTAAGAAAAAAGTTCTACAAAAAGGGAATAGCAGTTGCAAAACCCGAGGGGAGAACATGCTGGAGAAACAACAAGGAGGCCACTGTGGTTAAAACGGTGGTGGTGGGTAAGCAGTTACCAGATCATAAAGGGCCTATTAGGCCTTTAGAAAAGTTTGGCTTTTCCTCTGAGAATAGGAATCCATTGCAGATTTTGAGCATAAAAGTAATATGATTTAACTTATTTATGTAGGGACCTAGAAGCAGAGAGACTAGTGCAGCCATTATTAGAATAATACAGACAAGAGACAATGGGAGACTTGAACTTGGGTAGTGGAGGGGGAAGAAGTGGTTAGACTTTTGCTGCATTTATTTAGAAGGCAGACCTAATAAGATCTGATAGATTTATATAAATATAACAGAAAGAGGAGTCCAAAATGACTCAAAGGATTTTGGTCTGGAAGGATGAAGTTGCCATTTACTGGGAAGAGTAGGTAGGAAGGTGATTGAAATGTAGGGCATCATTTCAAACTTCACAAATAGAAAATCAATTTGGAAGTTGGATATAGAGTTGGGATTTCTGAGAAGAGGTTCAAGGCTAGAGTTTGTGGTTTTTTGTTTTTAAGAATGTAGATACAGCATGAATGGGGAAGAACTTAAGCAATGATCCATAAGTTGGAAGGAATTCAGAAAAATGGGGGGGCGGGGGGGGGAATACCCAGAAACTGAGAGATGATGGGTGCATAATTTGTAATCATACAAATAGAAAGATGGATCGAGTATCTGATGAAGCATCACCATCCTCTCTGTTCTTTGGCTTTGGAGTGTTTTTTCATTCTCTTTTCCTTTATCTCCATGTCCAATCTCCAGTTCATCAGGAGACCCTCTTTTCATATGTTGCATTGCCCATTTTTTTCTGGTTCTGTGGCTAACAATTTAAACCATGGCTTGTTATCGTGTCCTGTATGTGTGGCAGCTGCAGTTCTCTCTTTTTTAAAAATATATTTTTATTGTTTTCGGAGAGGACGAGAGAGGGAGATAGAAACATCAATGATGAGAGAAAATCATTGATTGGCTGCCACCTGCACACTGCCTACTGGCGATCGAGCCTGCAACCCAGGCATGTACCCTTGACTGGAATCAAAACTGGGACCCTTCAGTCTGCAGGCCGACCCTCTGTCCACAGAGCCAAACCAGCTAGTGCTGCAATTCTCTTTTTCAGACAGCATTATGCAATTCCCCTTATCAACAGCTTTCTATAGTGTTTTGTTGTATATTCAGAAATTTCTGTTTAGTTTTCCATATGCCTGCTTCCCTGATTTCTCTTTCCTAACAAATTCAGTTCCATGCAGCTTCTTTTTTGGCTAAGTATCTTTCCTTGAATATTCACCACTAGTCATTTTTTTTTTCTAAACCTGAATCCTTCAGAAAGCCTTTCCTTTTAAGAACCCATACTGATTTTTATTTTGCCCCAGTCTCTTCAGTTCTATGTAACATGTATGTGGCTTCTTCACATGGGTATGTGCAAGGTATATATTCAATAAATTTTATTAATAAAATTTACTTCCTGAGAAATGTTCCATTAAGTAAAGTTTTTTTTAATAGGATGAAAGATATGATCATTTGGACCCTGCTGAAATGGAAAAAGTTGAAAAATATATCAATGAAGCCATGGGTTGGCTGAACAGTAAGATGAATGCACAGAATAAACTAAGTCTCACTCAAGATCCTGTGGTGAAAGTTTCAGAAATAGTTGCAAAGTCAAAGGTAAGAAACTATAGAATTCTCTTTTTAAGGGGTTCAAGCACTAAAATTTTTTAATGGGAGTCATAATTTTTTATTTTGAAAAAATTCTAGGTGGGTCATCTCTGTCCCTTGATTTCATTAGTCACACAAGGCCTTTTTTTAAAAAAAAAATTTTAAGTGTAATGGCAGAATGAAATAAAGCACTTTGCCAACTTTTGACTGTCAAATATGTTAGACTTTTCTGGATTGGGTAAGACCTCTAAGTCTCCATTGTAAACTTGGCAGTACGGTCAGTCTTTGCATAATTCAAAATGTGTTAAGTCCTATGGTAAAATCTTATTTCTAGGATAAAGTTTCTATTCTGAAAACATTACTACTGAAAATTTCAGTTGATCATAGAAAACATAAAAATAGGGCACAAACTTTTCAATAAAGATCAGCATCAACGTAGGAATATGAATAAAGACATTGGATAAGCAGTTGACAAAAGAAATACATGTTCAATAAAAATATGGAAAATATAAAAAGTATTGTTTATCCTTATCACTAATCTAAAAAATACAAATCTCTTTTCACCCATCTGAAGTTGTGTGTTTACATTTATAATCTTGCCATAATTGTCAAGGGTATGAAGATGAATGCTTTCCCTGCATAACTTGGTTAAATTTGTTTCAACTTTTCTGGGATATTGTATCACAATATGCATACAAATTTAAAGTGAGTAGGCACTTTAACCCGGAAATCACATTTCTAGGAATTCATCCTAAATTGATTATTGCACAGGTATATGCAGATTAAATACCCTTGTTTATAATAGCAAAAAATTGGAAACACCTAAAATACCTATCAGTAAGCAAGTCAATGAATAAATTGATACATCCATATAACACACTGTAGTCATTAAATATTTTAAGTATTGAGATACATCTATTTATATATAAAGATGTGTGCAACATATTGAGTGAAAAATGATTACAGAATATAAAGTTATCTCACTGTATAAATTAATGTGTTAATAGATGGATATATTTGTATATATGTGTGTGCCTGGACATTCATTTAGAAGGATCATCACCCAAAATGTTAGTATCTGTAGGATATGGAATTTCAGATGGTTTTTCACCTAGTATGTTTTTAGGTATCTGATGTTTTTTAACAGAAACAGGTATTATTTTAATCAAATAGAGCACTAAACGTATTTTCCTTTTGTGAAAGTTTTGCAAAGAAGCTGTAATAATTTATTCCTCATCAAATGAAGTGCTAAGTATGATGAAAGCAGTTTGCCATTAAAACATTCCCCCAGGATGTTACTCCCTATCTTTCCATCCCTATCTCAATCTCTGTGACACCGGTCTTGAAAATATTTTAATGGTCTTTTTGGTATATGTATATAGAAATAAATAAATAAATAAATAAATAAAGCAAGCAAGCAACAATTTAGAAATACTTGTATTTCTTCTAAATTATTAAATTGCATTTACTTTCATGGTTTATTCTCTCAACATATAAGGCTACTCAGTTGTTTTAAAAAAGTAAAGTTAGTGTGTATGTTTTCATGTAAATGTTGAGAAATATCAATTCATGAAATAGGTGCTGACATAATTCTCATAACAGAGCAGTAGGCATATTTTAATGAAATTAATTAAAAGTTATTTGCAATAGTAATTCAAAAAGAATTATGCATCCCTATGTTAATTACAGCATTTTTGTAGTAGCTAAGATAAAGAAGCAAATTAGGTGTCTGTTGATAGGTGAATGGATAAGGAAGATGGAATATTACTCAGCCATAAAAAAGAATGAAAAATTGCCACTTGCCACAACATGAATGAACCTAGAAGGTGTTATGCTAAGTGAAATAAGTCCGGTAGAGAAAGAAAAATAGCATATGATTTTAGTTTATGTGACAATCTAAAAATCAAGACAAAATAGAAACAGACTTCATGATACAGAGTACAAAAGTGATGGTTGCCAAAGAGGAAGGGGAAGAGGGATAAGTATAAGAGGTGAAGAAGGAGGGGAGGATAAGAGGCACAAACTTCCAGTTATAAAATAAAGGCATTATGGAGATAAAATGTAAAGCATAAAGAAAATAGTCAATGATACCATAATAACTTTGTATGGTGACAGTTAATAGACTTATTGTGGTGATCATATCATAAGGTATATAAATGTTGAATCAGTATGTTGTACATCTGAAAGTAACATCATATTGTATGTCAACTATAATAAAAAAATTTTAATGTTTAAAAATAAATAATAATGATTCCTGCTGAAGGTAAACTATATTTTAAATTATGAGGAACCAACTAGGAAGATTCTATATAAAAACCACTGTTAAAGATTAAAAAGTTCCACTGACATGCACTAGCACAGAAGGTAAATCTCTCATTGAGGTATTTGAAGAAACTCAGTTGATTATGTTACTGAGCTAACAAATTCAGGAATGTGGAATTATATGGAAATTTAGAAAGTTAATGTGGAATTTAACAGTGGAATTTTTAATGTAATCAATATTCTTCATGTCTTTAGGAACTGGATAATTTCTGTAACCCCATCATTTACAAACCCAAACCAAAAGTAGAGGTTGCAGAAGACAATGCAAAAGCTAATAGCGAACACAACGGACAGATGGATGGACAGAGTGGGACTGAAACTAAACCAGATACAACAAAAGACAGCTCACAGCATACTAAATCTTCTGGAGAGATGGAAGTGGACTAAGTCTTAAATTTACCTTCACATAATTCAAACAGTGCAAGTAACCATGGGATCCATTCTTCTTTTACATCTGATACACACAACAGATGTTCAGTTGTTCTTGACCACTTTTTGTCATTTGTTATTTGGAGTAGTTTTGAAAAGTGTTTTATATTGAGTACACATCTATTAATTTCCATTGCTGCTTATGTGAAGCTTTAGCTGAATATAGATTTACAAGTCAGTTTAAGCTCTCCTAATATATTTTATATCACATGCAAGATTGATATGTAGTTGGCCACAGTCTACCTTATTTAAAGCTTCTACTTGGATAAACTTCAGCTTCTTATTCAGGAAAGTACACTGTATTGCACTATTGTCGCAGAAGCATAGATATAACTGATCATTATTTTGAAAAACAAATATTGAAACTGATGTGGTTTAAAGTCACTGGGGCACTGACTTTTTCCTAGTTATTGTATTGTTCTAACTTAAATATTAAAACAAATAAGAGGTTCCTTGACAAATTAGTCCATCTCATTGGTGTGTCATGAGAACTCCAAAAGCTTTGCTTTCATCACGTAAATGAACCAAATCGCACGTTGAAAGGGAAAATGCATAATTTTATGTTAAGGTGACACCAGCAGTTTTCTTCCTTTATTAGAAATGTGGATTGATGTTTTCCTAGAGTAATTCAGTATCATTTTCACTTGAAACTTCTGATCTACTTGTCCTGAAGAACTGCTGCTGCTACTAGCCTAAAGAAAGCTTTTTTATGAAAATACGTTCATGTGAAGTGGGAAATGCTGTTGACCTACTCAGACATGCATCTGTAATATTGATAGCCTGTTTCAGTTTTGATAGTTGTTTTAGTTTTATGAATTGATTCTGTTAATATCTTAACACAGGGAAGGGGGAAATGGCACAATGTATTGCATTATGTACACTTATCACTGAAGTACTTAATGTTAAGATATAGAAAAACACTATTAAATAAGTGGTAATACTTGAAAAGAATCACTTATACCCTAAGTCTTAGGAAATAATGCTTGTAATGAACTTAACTATGTTACATATCAACAGGCAAAATAGAGAATGTTACAGAGTTTAATATGATGTGATTAAATTATAATTCCTGCTATATATTACCTGTTCAGACCTTGGCTCCAGTTTTGGTGCTTCTTACATAAATTATATGGGACAAGGGACTGTGAAATTAAGATATTTTAAGGACTTAATCTGTGTTTCATCACCAGATTTGTTCACATTGTTCAGTTCTGTCCACAGGCTTGAAATTAACTGGGAGTAGACTGAAATGATTTTTAAACCTATAAGAAGCATAGACAATGCCTGGGTTCTTGTATTTAATGCCAATCAACTAGATTGACCTAATACTGAAATTTTCAAAGGCTCATTTTTTCCCCAAAGCTAAACCTTTACATTAAGAATAATTAATATTCACTTAAGTAGTACAAATTGAGAGTTTAATATCTTTATGGATGGTCATTATTTCTCACAACTAGTTCTCTAAGAGAGATTTTTGTTTCTACAATGTAGTCTGCACTGAAAGGGGAGTGTGGAGGGAGTGCACTTTCCAGGGATGTTTATTCATCCTTTTTGAGGAAGATGTCCCTTGTTTGCATTTTTAAAAATCATATATCCTCAATATATTTTAATGTTTTCTAGTCTTTAAACTGTCCTTGTTACAATACATTTAAAATGAAATAATTATATCCATTAGTAATAAGTGATAAAGTACCTTATTATAAAAAGCATTTATCAGTTACTTTTCATTTATATGTTGAATGTATATGTTCATTTGGGGAAGAACAAAATTATTAAAGGGAATTCATAACAGTACAAGTAAGGAGTTTATAGCTTTTTCTTGAGTTAGCAAGACCACCACTATCACTATTTTAGGAGCTATTCCTCAGAAACCTCTTAGGAATAAATGTGGGAACAACCCTTTCTTCATCTTAATTGTCTAGTATGTCCTGATATTTTTCATTCCTAAATCAGTTTATGTAGTTCTGTGTTTTGGTCCGATATATAACATTCCAATTGTTGCAGTTATATAACACTTAATGAGTTAAATACATCCAAAGATAATATGTATGCTTTTTACCTATTGAATCAACTTAATTTATATTTTCAAACACTCTTTAACCTTATTATGTAGTTATTTATTGACTACATTAGAATGTAATGTAGTTCTTCTACAAGAGAATGTTCTCCTATACAGTTTTGGGTAGGTAGTATGGTTTAGTTTAATTTTAATCACTGAAATATGCAGTGCTAGACAAAAGAATTAAATATTTTTTTCAAAAGCAAAAGCCATTATAGATTTTTAAAAGATACATAGCAAAATAGACTGTTTTCCTATAGTAGGCAAATAAGGACTAAGTATAAGAAATATCTAGGATGATCTACACCAGGGGTCCTCAAACTACGGCCCGGGGGCCACATGTGGCTCGCTGAAAACATTTATCCGGCCCGCCGGGTTTTTGCCACCGCTGCCTGTCCTGCTTAGCAGCCGACTCATCCCGGGCCCGCAGTGCGCATGTGTGGAATGTCTGAGGGACAGTGAACTGGCCCCCTGTTTAAAAAGTTTGAGGACCTCTGATCTACACTAATAAAAGAGAAAGATGCAAATTGACCATATCTTTGCGACGCCCACCAGCCAGTCAGGAGTGAGTATGAAAATTAACCCAGCAAAGCTGGTGAGTTAATTTGCATATGCAGGTGTCGAGCTGCCTGGGGTAGGGTGGGACGTAGATGTTCCGCACTGCCCCAGCCACTTCCGGCAATATGGGAAGGCGGAAAGGCGGCTCCAGCCATAGAGAAGGCAGTGCCGATAGCCAGGGGAAGGAAGGCCCATTCTTGCACGAATCTTCGTGCATCAGGCCTCTAGTTAATAAATATTAGTATATTCTGACTATGGAAAAATATAAATTCTTTGGTTTGAAAAATAACTTTTTTTCTTTTTTTATTGTTTAAAGTATTACACATAGTAGTACATATATATCCTTTTTTTCCCCCATTGACCTTCCCCCAGCCTCCCCTACCCCCTGTTGAAAAATAACTCTTGATAGCCTATTATTATGATTATAAAAACAAACACTGCTCAATAATATAGCAATAATATAACAAATTTTTATTCCTTAGCAGTAATCAGAATTCTTGAGTTTTAAAATAACTAGAAACAGCACACCAAAGAATTAGACTATTGGAATATCAGATAATCTGTTTTAAAAGGGTAACTGGTCTCTTATTAAGAACTAAAGATTTCTTAGACTTTTGGGGGTGGCAATTTTTAGTATGTTCATGATTATTTCCTTGATAGAACTCTTTATTAATTTTGGGGCTCAGTTATCAATATAATAAAATGGTAGTGTTAAAGCATTTTATCCAAATTAGCACATCTTTAACTATTTTGAAAAATTATTCATATTTAAAGACAATAGATACTTGAATATAGTAATCAAATTAGCTTATTTCAGTTTGTCCCAAAATAGATATAGCCATCCCTCTTTTTCATCAATTTAAACTGTAAACATTCCCATTAAGAATTTTTTGTTGTAATTATTGTTAATCCTCACCCGAGGATATTTTTTCCCATTGATTTTTTAGAGAGAGTGGAAGGGAGAGAGGAGGGGGGGGGACACACAGAGAGAGAAAGAGAGAGAGAGAGAGAGAGAGAGAGAGAGAGAGAGAGAGAGAGAGAAAGAGAGAGAAAGAGAAAACAGATGTGAGAGCCTCACATCAACTCGTAGCCTCAGGCACATGCCCTGACCAGAGCCTGTAATCAAATCCTCAACCCTTCCATGCCCAGGCCAAAGCTCTAACCACAGAACAACACCAGCCAGGGCAAGATTATTTTGTTTTTTGTTTTTTCAATATTTTGTTTTAATGGTTGGTTTTGGTAGTCCACACAAATTAATGCTAAGGCAAGATTTACAAGTCTTAAATTACTAGAAAAACAGAGTTCATGTTTCTCACCTTGTAGAATTTTACAACAAAAAAAAACTTCAGTTCTAAAGTAAATGTTATTTTGTGTTTAAACTTTGGAAGTTTTGAGTTTTAAGTGGAATTTTATTTTGTGATATTTGATTCTGTAAAACTTAATCAGAGGCATATAACTAATCGTATTGCTCTATTAATATTTGACATCTGATAGCATAAATTAAATAGCAACTGCTAACTTTTCAAATGATGTACGTAGGGACACTTACAAAGTTGGATACTGATAGTGTATCCTTTTAATGTGTTTTTAACTGAGTGATTTAGCAAACTAAATCTTCTTAAAGCAGTCAGTTTCAGAAGATAGACTTTTTGATCAAAAAAGAAAAACAGGTTTAAAATTACCTTTTGTTTTTTATCAAGGTCTGATTTAAAGTATTTTAAAGTAATTCCCTGGAAGCACATAAACTTTTAATAATTTACAAAAAATTATTGCAAATAAAAAAAACCAAGACTTTTAACCAAACAAAAAAGAAACTTTAGCTATTTTACTTTCACATCTATAATTTAAAATACACTATTCTTCTATGTATGCATATGTTTCCTTTGAAAGAAGCTTTGGGTTTACAATACGGCCACGTCTAAGTTTTTTCCTACTAAATTCAAGGGTAATTGTTTCACATAATAAATGGGCACCTGGAATTTTTAGAATAACAAACTGCTTAGAAGAAGAGAAGAAAACGTTAATGTCTGTGGCAGTGGTCAGTATCGATAGGTAGTAATGGCTTTTTCCATCTGCTGGTTCCCTAAGGGATACCTCACATATTGTTAGAGTATTAAAAGAAAAGGCACGTGTGTTAAAATACATTATCAAATGACTTGAGCTTTCAGTAAAAAAAAAAAAAAAAAAAAAAAAAACACAAAAAACCACAATTGAATCATGAACATTTTGATTCAGTCTTTCAAATAGGTAAACATCCATAACAACAGTTAATTAATAGCATGATCTTTGCTTTGGAATCTCTAATTAGTATCATGTTCTAAGTCACAGGATAATTATTAGGGAAATGTACTGATACCTAGAAATGACCCATCCTATAAAGAGATGAGTGAAAATTCAACATGTTTTAGATAGTTTGATTGCATTATGATGTGTAAACTATAAGTGGAAATGGTCCTTAGTCTTTTCTGTCACATTTTATTTACCTGTTTGTCCAGTTCTAGACTCTTAATAATCATTATATTTTTCAGAAGTCTATTTCTCCTTTTTATTTTGAATTATTCTTTAGACCTTTTATTTCGTGAATTTTGAAAATTTAAATCATTTTTTTATTTTTCAATTACAATTGACAGTGTTATAGTTATATAACTAAGTGATCATCCTGATAAATCTAGTTCCCATCTGATACCATGCATAGTTATTAGAATATTATTGACTGTATTTCCTGTGCTATACTTTACATCCCCATGAATATTCTGTAACAATCAATTTGTATTTCTTAATCCCTTCACCTTTTTCACCCAACCCCCCTCCCGTTTGGCAGCCATTGAAATGTTCTCTGTATAAGTCTGTTTCTGTTCTGCTTTTGTTTATTTTGTTTTTTAAGATTGATGAGAGAGCCCCTAGCTGGTTTGGCTCAGTGGGTAGAGCATCAGCCTGCGGACTGAAGGGTCTCAGGTTCGATTCCAGTCAAGGGCACATGCCCAGGTTTCGGGCTTGATCCCCAGTAGGGGGCATGCACGAGGCCGCCAATCAATGATTCTCTCTCATCATTGATGTTTCTCTCTCGCCCTTCTCCCTCCCTCTCTGAAATCAATAAAGATATATTTTTTAAAAAAAGATTGATGAGAGATAAATATTTATTGTCATTTTATTGTTCATATTTTTCATCTTTTTTTTTTCTTCTTAAAGAAGACCCTTTAACATTTCATGTAATACTGGTTTGGTGGTGATTAACTCTTTTAGCTTTTCCTTGTCTGTGAAGCTCTTTATGTCTTTTAATTCTAAATGATTGCTTTGCTGGGTAATCTTGATTATAGGTCTTTGCTAGTCATCACTTTGAATATTTCTTGCCACTGCCTTCTGGCCTGCAAAGTTTCTTTTGCGAAATCAACTGACAGTTATATGGGCATTCCCTTGTAGGTAACTAACTGCTTTTCTCTTACTGCTTTTAAGATTCTCTTTGTCTTTAACCTTT